AATAATTATAAATAATAATTATAAATAATAAATAAAAAACGATAGGAGTATATTTAGATTCAGATCGTTAACTCACTCTTCATTGCCTATGAGGCGAAAAATTATAAAAAAATTTTCGATTTTATAAATTTTATAAATTATTTTGATTTATGACTAATTTTATAATTACTAATAATAATTAATAATATTTCTGTAAATTTGAACAATTTTTTGAAATTATTATATAAATTCTTATAAAGTTTTTTTTATAAGAACTTAAAGGATTTTTTTAAAAAAATTTTATTTTAAATATTTGCTCAATAATTTATCTTTTTTTTTTTATAAAATTCTATTTTTTCTTTTCTTATGGTTTATCCAGAATTTATTTATCCAGAATTATTTGATTATTAGATGCGCCGGTTGTAAGAAAACATCATCGAGATATTCTCAAAAATTAGTCTTATCTTATTTCCTTATTTCATTGTCCAATCACCATTAATGGTTAAACTCGCTTCACCGGCTTGTCGCATCGGGCATTATGCCAGGGAGTCCCTTGGCGATAGAAATACAGATGAGTTCGCCAGCATCACGAAATTTTTTTTCTACAGGTTTACTCCTGCTAGGAATCGAACCTCAGCATCGGCGCTACCAATTGAGCAACAACCCACTGAGCCAAAAGCAAAAAAATGCTAAAATGTTCTTAATTAATTTTTTTTTTTCATTGTCCGATCGTAGTAAAATGTAAGCAAATGGCAAATGTAATGATGGCATCCATAATTTATCTTCATACTTACTTCCTTTATCCCGAAAAATTAAAAAACGATTTAGATGAAGCAAATTACGAGCCTTACAAATCCAATTCTTCTTACCTTTTCACTATTTTTATTATTTCCTTTATATGTTGTAAGTTCCTCGAAAGGCATGGAACCTCTTGAATATGAACGTATTTTAAAATTTTGATTTTAAATGATTTCTTGATGATAATAAGGGTTAGAATGATGACCTTATCATGAGCATTTTTTTCTCGCCGTCAACCGTCTTTTTTTTTTGAAATTCTCGACGAAAGCGATAGGAATTATTTTTGATGAACCAATGAACTAAGTTCGTTATGGCAACGATCTTTTCGAAAATGTAAAAATTATAATATTTCGGCAAGCAGCCTCTTTGTATGTCTATTTTTTATGATACTATTTTAAGATTTATTTCATTTTTCCTGAAAGAATCCACGTCAAAAACTGTAAAACCTTTGCTGTATGTTTTAATTAAAAATAAGTTCTTATACAATTAATTAATGAAGTTAACGATCAATTGCCCATAATAATTAGTGATTCCAGTTTTCCTGGGATCAGACCAAATCTATGCCGAGCGAATTCATAGGAAAGCAAAGGTTTGACATTACAGGAAGAGAAATTTTTGCAGTAACCGGCTTTATTTTAGTCAAATAATTGCATTATGACACTTTTTGCCTTCTAAAATTATGAATAAATAAAAATTATGCATTATGACACTTTTTGCCTTCTAAAATTAAATTATTTTCAATTATTTATTTCAAGAGATATGAAGACTCAGTGTCTTTTTTGCCTATTTGTGACAAATATCATTCAAAAATTTCCAAATGTTTGTCGTAAAATATAATTGAAATAAAAATTAGTAGGCGAGTAGTGTTACAGGAATAACAGCAATGACGAGGGTCATCTTCTCGATTCAGATCGGACTGTCGTAAAATTTCGGTCATCTGGCGTAATTTATTCTATTTTCATTTGATAGATGTTATTTTTCTCGAATAAAGAAATTTATATTCATAGCCCATATCCAATTCTTAAAACTGAATTTAAATTGAATTTATGCATAGTTGCACATATTTTTTTATTTTAAATTATAATTAAGCCTTAGTAAAAGTCAAATAATAAAAAAAAAACATCTATCGGTAGTGCGGGTAATCCAAGCGACGTACTCCTATCGCTGGGCGATTCTCCAGCAAAATTTGTCTTATCCGAGCGAGCTGAGTGAGAGTCTAAACCAATAATGATGAACGCGCTCTCCTCGAAAAAAAAATTCTATCGGTAGTAATTCAGTGAACCCGAAGTTTTTTTAAAAAACTACTATTGTTCACTTAGGAAATTTGAGTGAGTTTTAATATTGTAATAAAATATTAAAATAATAATTTAATAATTTGAACGTGGATAGTTCTCACATTTTTGGTTAAACTCGCTCCACGTGCTATTAGTAAACGATGAGAATTTTGTTTAAATAATCACTTTGCGATGGAATATTTGGAATTTTTTCCAGTCACCTGCAATATGGTCCGAATGTGCTCATGGAGATAATGTGAGCAAAACCCACTCGATCCTTCTCTCTCTCTCTCTCTCTCCAATTTAAAAAAGAATTTCGAACAATAAAATGATAAAATGATAAATGATAAAAAATGATGAAATGAAATAAAAAATGGAATGATGAATGATAAAAAAAAGAAATATAAATATCTGTTAATGATGGTACTAATTGAAAGATTTAATTCTACATTTTACCAGCGAATTTTACGACTTTTATTCGAAGTTTATATCGAGAAACACTTTAATAATAATCGACAGCATTTATTACTCCGATTGTTATTCTTCATATTTTCTCTTTTTATTGTTGTTGGAACGTCGGTCGTTTTTATTTTAAATTTCCGAACTAAATAGGTATTGAAAGTCATTCATTTTTCTTTTTTTTTTTACCATCATTCTTTCATTCATTTGGACTTTTAAATTTCAACGAATTCAGTGATCTCGATTACTATTATCAAAATAATGGTGAAATTCTCTGTTTGTTGAACGATTGAATTTGACTTCACATAAACCATTCTACCTATAATTAAGGTCGAGGAGCGTTGAAGCGTTGAGATGAAATTGCTCATTTTTATTCGTCACATAACCACCTTGACATAGGTCAAAGTGAAGATGGTATCCAGTAGAAATTGATTTCGTATATACGGTATATATTTCGACTGTTAGCCTCTTAAAATATCGTTCACGATATTCATGATAAGTTCACACTCTTCTTTATTTTTCCTTTTCCTTTTCCTTTTTATTATCCTAAATCATGGTTTCTGATTGATTAAATTGGTTGTGCTAGATTAGCATGGAAACTCATCGGCAGAGAGCCATGGAAATGCACGTAGGACTAAAGCGTCACATGGATTTCTTCTACCAATTAGCAGGAATGGAGCATAGCTCATGCTACTTTACTCCAGTAACATTTTTGGCATTCAATCATTTCTTCCTACTGTTTGCCGAATTTTCCAGACCACTTTTCGAGAAACCTCTCGTACTTTGCTTTTTCTTTCGTTTCCTATCCATAGAGTTATTTTCAAAAAAATTTTTTTAGAATTTTTTAAATTTTTTTTATCATTTTGATAGTGTAGAATGGTTTAGTAGGATATTGCTCTCAATCGGAGTACCAATGTTGGGATTCTATTTCTTACAAGAATAAGAATATATCTTGCAAAAATTCGGGATGTGGCAATTCTAACCTCCGACTAGCTCTCCGGTGAAATTTGTCGAGTGCTTTCTTGCTAAGCCAGCGGAACTAACCAGAAACTTTTGCATCTACTTTGGTTAAAAGTTTATTATAATCCATAAAATACGAAATAATTTTATTCAAATTTTGAATATATTACATATGTTTCGTTTAAATTCGACATATTTTATTTTATCTAATTCAAATGATTAAAATAAAAATGAATAATTCATTTTGAGAAGTGAATTCGATCTTTTTCTACAAAATGACCTTTTCTAACCTAATTTTTATTTACCATAATGCAACAAATCTCATGCATTAAATTCTTCCTCTTCATGCATTCTTTCAATGCAATTTATATATTAGTTAAGTTCTCCATAAGCTGATTCGTCTCACCAAGTGCCACCAGTTTTTCTTTTACGTGATTCCGCTGGTGAGAGCACTGGTCGAGCATTGGTTAAAATGGTCTCTCGCTTTGGTCGGTGATTTTGAATTGAAAAAATAAGTGAAAGAATTGGTTCTTGGTTCTCACTCAAATATCCCATTATCCTTGTCGAGCATAGAAATACACACCAGTTTTTTCTTTCGGCTTTTTCCAAAATATTTTCCTCTTATCAATGGAATAACGAAATATTTCGTTGTGATAGGTGATTTCCAATTTTCTAACCTTTTTTTTTATACATTTATATTTCTCAATCGGCGTCAATCATCATCCAACCGATCGTATGACCTTTGTTTATATATGTGCAAGGCTATTACGGCATTTTCCATCTTTTTTTTTCAATGATGATTACTTTTATTGCGGTTTCAATTGACACATTATTCCAATTTTTCACTATTATTATTTGCTTTTTTTTATTTTCCTACAATGCAACTCATATGTTTCTTTTATTATTCACTTGAAAATTCCAGTGAAAGTTAAGAATATAAGTAAGTGGATGGCTTTTAGCATTTCTGGCTAAGCTGGCTGATTACTGTGATTAGGGATTTTTGCCAGGGAATCACTTTATGATAGAGGAAGTACCATTCGGTTTTTTAACAGGTTTGCTTCTATTCGGGATTAGAGTAGAACCCGTACGTCTTAATATAGCGATTTAAGCCATTCAGCCATTCTTCTCAAAGTATAAATAATGATAAATAATTACCATATGATTCTTGTGAGAAAAAATTTCGTCTTTTTAATATTTAATGCTCGAATTTCTTGCGGCATCTAGGATTTCAACAAAATGCCACAATTTTAATGGATTTTACAATTTCTCAATTATTTCACGATTTCTTTTTCTTCTTCTTCTTCCAGCAGCTCTCAGCATTTCTGGTAGTCCTGTTGGAGCTACAGACTAGTCCTCAGTACTAACCAGAGAAATTATTTCAAATTTATTATTAATTATTTATAAATTGTTGAAAGGTAGGAATGGAATGATGTACTGGATCATCAACTGTTTAGTTTCGATTTAATTTTCTTGATGACATCGCCCATAATTTTAAACTGGTAAGTGTTGTTGTGATGCGCAGTTGAAGTCATGTTACTTACTGGTTTTCTATAGTGTAGGTGTTCTATATTTGTGATCGGCTATAAATATTAAAAAGTCTCTTAATTAGCCTCTCAGTTTCTTTTTATTCAACTTCAACTTTTTCTTTTCTTTTTATTCTCCCTAGGGATAAATTATGGAAAGCTTTAAATAGAATTGAGATAGTTACCGTGTATTATAGCCTGTGAGGCATGATAAGTAAGTAGTTATATTTGATCAGATTTTCGCCTGAAGCGTCAGAGCTCTGTAATCTCTGACAATATGAAAATCCGAATGGTAACTATGGCTCATCTATGGCTAATACTTATATTGCCAAGTGACAAATTTTTCATCAATCAGTCGTAGTATCATTCAGTGACCTAGAAATGGCGAAATGTATTAAACAAATTAATGGAAAGTGCTTCAGGCTGTTTTTAGAAAGCAAAATAACTGGTTAATTTTATAAGTTAAATTTATTGCAGTTTAAAACCTTGGATTTTCTTAAAAATAGCCCTTGGTTATTATCGCATTCGATCGATTAGCACGAGTGACCGATTTCTATTCAATCGGTTTCCGACAAAATATCCTTTTTTAGACACTTATCAACTACTACGTACTAAATAAATGACCTCGCCTAACTACAATATATTAAATTATTCTGCGTGAAAACGATTAATGCATTTCATTCATTTTTTCTATAGAATTTGGCATTTAATCAAGCCCCAACTTATTTGTTGAAAATTTATTAAAATTATTCAGTTGATCATTCGAACGTCGCAGATATCAACGACTCAAGCCAAATGTTATTAACCAGCGCTGCACCACTTAATCTGCAATCACGAAATGTCATAATGCGCGATTATCCGTCAACTACGGATGAAGTTACCAGGTGAAAGAGTTGATAAACAGTAACATCAATTTTTAAAGAAATTCAAGCAAATTTACTTGTGAAATATTTTTTAACACTTATTTTCTAAAATATTTTCTAAGCCATTAACGCTTAATAAGCCAATTTTAAATCTCGAATATCTCGAAGATTACCCGAGAAAAATGTGGTATATTCTAAAAAGAAATACATTATATATTCTTTAAAACATCTGTACTTTCTATTCCAAAGAAACCCCCTTGGCAAAAATATTATATAATGCATGGAGTGGAACCGAGAACCCGAGAAGCATATAGATTGCGGGGAAATAAAGCGAGAAATCAAGTCACGCTGATCGTTTCAGATTGCTTGAAACTCAGATGTCTTTGTTTTTTGCGAGAATAAAAAATTCATTTAATCATTCTTGAAAATAAAAACAAAATTAAATAATTAAAATATTTTAATAATAAATAAGAAATAAAATAAATGAATACTGAATATATTAAAATGAATGCAAAAAAAGATGCGATTGTGATAAAATCTATCCTTGGTGCATCGCAAATTTTGCACATTTAAAGTGGAATCAAACATTCTTTAATGCTTCAATTAAACCAATAAATTTCGAGAATGTTAAAATGAATTTGGTCTTAGAAAATATTCCATTCGTTAATCGTTATCGGTTACGATAAAAGAGAGTCAAAATGCGAGGGTAACAAATCATTTTATTCTTTAATTCAACTCTTCCGACAATTCGAAGAATTTATTCGATGAGCTGATAATATGCAAATATATAATCGCTCTAATCAGTCATTTTATCATAAAACAACTATCCTTCCTTTATTTTATTGTTAAATAATATTTTGCGAGTTAAAAGCACTCGGAAATCAAAATTTTCGTTACAGTAGCGATTTCGAAATCCGAGTTTGCATGCAATAGAGTCCGTGCTAATGTTTTTTTTTTAGTTAAAATTTAAAATTAGTGTTCGAATACAAAAACTCGGAATAGACCATGAATTTTTAGCACGACGAACACTATGCCATTTGCTAGGAATGCTTCATCTTTACCAGCAAATCCACTAACATCGGCTAAACATATTTGTGCCATATGTGGCGACAGAGCTTCTGGAAAGCATTATGGCGTCTACAGGTGATTATTTACCTATCAGAATAACTTTCCTTAGTGGAAAAATAGTCGTTCATGGTTAATTTACGCTAAAGAGTTATCGGAGAGGTTAAAGGCGATTATTTATTAAATAATTACTGTTTCTGTTTGGTGCTGTCCTACCTCTTAAAAAAAAAAAAAACCCAGGAGGGCATTTTTTTTCTGCAGTTTCGCATCATAATTTCACGTTTTCTTTGGCTTCCGAAAGAGAATTATAGCCATTTGGCTTTAATTTATTTCGGATCAAAAAAAAAGATCGCAAAAAACGACGACCGCCAATTTCGTTGCACTGATTAACGACGCCATTCTAATTGTTCTATTTATTTTCTTATCGTATAATTTACTTTCAGAACGAAAAAAAAAAGGCAAATTAGCCATTAAAAAGACGAGAAATTTTCTATTCCATATTATAAAAAAATTTTTATCACTAAAAATTTCTCTTGAAATTTTTAAATAATTTCAGAAAAAAATACAAAATACTAAGCAGAAAAGTAGGAAATATTTCTTGTTTTATAAAAATGTCCTTGAAATTTCTTCATCATTTCATTTAATCTTTTTGAGATTATTATTATTTGTTTTTTTTTTTAATTTAATATATAAAATTTATTTCACTAATTTATTTTATTTTTTAATTGATTATTAATATTAATTACATTAAATGAATTTTAAATAAATTTGATAATTTTTCTCAAAGACTATAAGGCAAAAGATTTTTGAAGAATCGAGCAAGTCGAGAAATTTTTTGTAAATGAAAGTAATTTTCAGTTGTGAAGGTTGTAAGGGTTTTTTTAAACGAACGGTACGTAAAGATTTGACTTATACATGTCGAGAGAATCGTAACTGTATTATCGACAAGCGGCAGAGGAATCGATGCCAATTTTGCAGATATCGAAAATGTCAGAATATGGGTATGAAAAGAGAAGGTCTGGTTTTTCTGCCTATGGGTTTAGATAATAACGCAAAAATGCAGACTGAAATTTTCTGTCAATATAAGAAAATTGGACAAAATGGATTGAAAAAAGTAAGTAAGATGAGTATTCTCCATTTCTGGGTGAACTCCACCTTAGATTATTCTCTGGATGTTTGAGCAAGTACGATGTTGGTGTAGGATCCTTTCATGACAGATTTATTCTTGTCCGAGCTTAATCACTGACTTCTGATTTGATAACCTGATAAGATATCAATCACTCGGTTGTCCTTCTTTCAGATTGGACAAAGTATTACACAAACTTTTTATTATAATTGAAATCAAAAAAATGCGTTTTTCCAAATCTTTTACAAAATGCGATTTTTGTTAATCTATCAATATACGCCTGTTATAGCAGTGCAAGAGGAAAGGCAAGGATCGAGAATGGAAATCCGGAAAATTCTTAATGCTCAGTTGATTTCTAGTCAAATGGAAGCAGAAAGTACTAGTAATTATAATGTTGAAATGCCTCCCGAGAGTATCGCTGGCGCGGAAGAAGCTTCAGAAGCACTGCTTAACAGCATTAAGGTTTTTCTATCTTTTACGAAAGCAAGTAGGCCTCATTTTATTCTCAATTCTCTTTCCTCTTTTTAACGAATTATTCTCAGATTGAATCAAATAATCCAAGTAGTTGTGAATCAGTTCAGTGGCAAGTTATGCGAATAATTGATTGGGCTTTAATGATACCTTCATTTGGTGATATTCCCGTCGAGGATCAGTCGAGACTTATACATGCTGGTAGGAATTTTTTTTATTGATATTCTTAAAGTGTTGATGCTTAATTCTTTAGTAGAAGATTAAGAATCCAGTGTAAGAGAGTAGAATAGCTCAGCGGGTTGTTCTCATCTTTCAGAGTGCTCATCCTAGAATTTTACTCCCAGAATGAGCAAACCTATCTTCGAGCGGTACTAGCGACTCAGTACCATCTTGAATCAGCACATGACGAGCGTTTTCTCATATTAGTTAAATAGTGCCTTAATATTAAATATAATATATAAATATTAAATATTGACAAATTTTCTATTTTTAAACAGTAATATTGGAAGTAATGTGAATAAATGATGACAGTACAACATATTTTCAACATATGTTCAGGATGGAACGAATTGATTTTGGCGGATATCGCTTTTCGATCTACTAGAACGAAGCTAGTGTTATGGCCAGAGCGGCCAATGGAAAGGCGAGAAGCCGAAAAGCGTGGTTGCCATATACTTTTTGATCGAATACTCATAGAATTGACTAGTAAAATGCGTGAACTTGTTATGGATCGCATGGAACTCGGTGCTTTGCGATCTATCGTCCTCTTTAATCCAGGTACGGCTGGCAGTTTAATTTTTCAAGTTGATTAGAAATTTATTCAATAAAAAAGATAATCGAAATTTTTAATGCTACTGGGAAATAAGATGGAAATAATTATAGATGTAAGCGGTTTACGATATTCTGCGCTTGTCGATTCACAACGAGAAAAAGTTTACCAATGCTTAGAGGAATATTGTCGACAGCAAAATCCACAACAAAGTCAACGATTCGCTAAATTATTGCTTCGATTACCTGCACTTCGTTCCTTAAGTCTTAAATGCATCGAAGCGAACGAATTTATCATTTCTTCGCCCTCAACACAGGTGTTTTTCATTGAAACGAGCCAATCTAAGAATATTTTAGAATCGTTGACTAGGGCTATCAAAAAATTTCAAAAAATTTTAACCACATTTTACAGTTAGAAAATTTAAATACCTTCATGAATGATTTCGATTTTTATTTTATCTAAAAGGGTAAATTATTGGAAAGATTTATTTATTTCCATCGGTAGAACTATGAAAAAATTATTTTCAGGAATTGCTTCATATTCTAATTCAGCGCCAAAGCAAAATGTGATAAAACACCAAAGATTTAGTTTGTTCGACTTATGGACCAAACGGTTATTATGTGCAAACTATATTCCAAAATATTACACCACGATCACTTCTAAAGTTTATTTCGTTTTCTTCATCAATTTTTAAAATTTTTCTTTCTTTCGGTCTGGTTCATATATCTAGGTAAAACCTGAAAAAAATGAAGAATTAACATAGGTTTTAAAATAGCACAATATATGACCCAAAGATTGGGAAGTATGGACCAGTAGTGAGAACTGTGCGCTTTGTTCTCTTTGTCACACACATTCCAGCGTATTCTGTCGTTTCTGTCGTTTTTTGTACAGGTATTTATAACCAAAAATTTTTGTGTTATGCCTACTGCCTCTTTTTATGATTATATTAATATGTAAATTTAAAAGTAATAAAGATATGTTTGAGTCAAGTATTACCAAGCATTATTAATATTGTTCTTTTAATATTTCAAAATTTTCTCATATATCGAGGATCATAAGACGAGGAATCAGATGACTCTTGTCTCTTGAAGGAAAAAAAGCCGTCGTTGGAAGCGAAACCCGCGTGGTAATCGCTTATATTTCCACCCACCTTCTTTCGTGAAAGAGTCTCATTTAAGCCAGCAGAGCCAGAATTCATTATTATTTGAAAAAAAAGAACATATAAATGAAAGTGGACTATCGCCATTTAAAATGCACTATTTAAATAATTTATATCGATAATTCAAATAAAAAATAATATCTTCAAAAGCACAAACACAGTAACAACAGAAAAAAAGTTGACAATATTGGTTTCAGCAATTTAATTGTACTAATTTACCATAAAATAATATTAATATTATATATAATCTATTATTAATAATATTAATACCATAAATTAAAATTTTAATGAATGGGATAAAATTAAAAATTACGAATAAAATGGCATAGATCTAAAAAATTCATCACCAAACACTTCCTGCCTTTTTTCCATTGACGTATCTTAATGAACTTTTCGGCAATTTATTGAAAATATGAAATCCTGCTGAACGTTCAATCGAATTCACTGGTGTCAAGAAAGTACTGAGCTCTATAGAGTCGGGAATTGCCTTAAAATAATAGATATAAAAGAGTATTGAAATTATTAACTGATAAAATTGTTCGAATTCAGTCAACAAAAATCTACTTAGCGGTTTTTTCAATAAATTTGCCAAATTCTTTCAAAAATAATAAATTCCATTTTTTCCCTATGCAATTAATCAAAGTTATCTAACAAATTTATCAATAAAAAATAGGAGGGAACACACCGAATTAGGCATGACATAGGCTTCAATATCATATTGTCCCTTCGTAAATTCGATCAAAATCACCTAAAATCACGCAAAGATCAGGAATTTTAATGACAAATTTTAATGGTAAGAAATAATCAGAGCTAATATTTGAAATTTTCTTCCTTGATTTATTTCAATATACTAACTGCTTACGCTTTTCTAATTATTCCTATAAATTCTTAGGAAAAAACCTTAAAAAAATGAGTTGGGACGGCGACATTGTTCTTTCCTATAACTTTGTATTTTATGTACATACTTCCATCACTTTCTAGTCGAGGTAGATATAATGGCCCAGTACAGACAAAAACATTCAGGTTTTTACGAGCCAGTTTCCTAAATTTTCATGAATAAATAATAATATGAATAATAAGAAAAAACGACAAGCAAAAATCAACCAAGAAATATCAAAGATTTAGCCAAAGAAAGAAAAAAAAATGAAGTTCAAACTAAATTTGATTGGTACCTAACACGTTTTTCTAGTTCGTTCCATTTGTCCCTATTGAAGCCTTTACCAACTTGAGGAGACATATTACTTAAAACAAATGTTTGATCTATTGAAGTTTGACTAGTTCTGTGATTACCTGCAGCTGCAAGATGTCCACGGTCATAACCGCTTCCCTTAAAAAAATAAATTATGAAAAAATTCGCAAAAATATTTTCTCCGGAATATGCCTAAAAAGTTATTCAATGAAGATATTTCAAAATTCACGAAAATAAAATTACAATAAGAATTTAACTTTATAATCATCATTAGTTGATCTAAAATATGGATGAATCGAAGCATCTTCATGGAAATTTGACTTTGATCGATCGATAGAAGGGTGATATACCATCTTGTCAGGTCTTAAATGTTCAACAACCCAATGTGCTGTCCTGTAAAGAAAATCTAAAGAAAAAAAAAGGACGTTGCATTGATCAATCAGTACGCAGAATTCGCTTTATCTTAAAAACTTTGATAAAGTCATCTGTTTTCAATTCCACTTTTGGTTGACCTTGTCAATTATTTAACAAATGCAAATTTACGCTTCTATATATCAATCAAATTCATTTTATTTTTTTCTTAATTTTCCTTTCAGTCAAAATATAAAATTCTCTTCATCGCAATATAATAATTTTTAGCAAAATGCGGCGCCAGAGTTAATGGGTATAGTTAATGGGTAACAAGAATTACCTGTTTCTACGGTCGTAAGATAAAACAAAATCTTCGAATGTTCGGAGATTATCGAATCCAGGATACCCGTACTGCATAATTTCTGCAGTACGAGAAGGTAGGACTTTGGTGTCCGTTTGAGGAGCGGGCGTTGGCAGATCGGGCATTGCTGGTAGCGTTGTCTATAATATCATACTAAAATGAAAGCAGAATCTGGTTCCAATCCATCCCACCATCACCATTGCATTATAATGTTCCCAAATAAAGCCATTTTTTCCCATTTAAAGCCTACAGAAAGCTTTGTCGAAGGTAGAAAGCAACAAAATCACAAACTGATATAAAAATTTTCTTTTAATTTCCCACCTTAATGCCTAAAAAAATACGACAAAATTTTTTATCTTAAATAAATTGAAGCTTGAAAAGAAAACTCACGACAGCTGTAGCAGCATTAACTTTTCCAATATTCCACTTTTCACAGTAAATACCAGCAGTAAACGATGTAACAACAGCACCAACATAGCTACCGTACCGCCAATACTTGGCCCACATAATTCAAACCTGGAACTCAACAATTATGGAAAATTAACTTAAGTGGATAAACAATCTTTTCCATTATTATTTCACTGAAAACGGGAATATATATTTTCTATAGCTAAAATAGGAACAAAAAAATAGAATTAGAATGCAAACATTGGTATGTCACACGACACATAAACGACACGAATTATCCGATTAGATAAACCAGCAATCCACAAGTAACACAGCAGTCTCCAAGCATTTTAAAAGAAGCAACTGAAATCTGAGGGGTTTTGCCTATTATTAATTTCAGTAATGCCAGAGATGACCAAACGTAACTGAATCGCCTTTATGCTTTCTATATTTCCGCATTCCATAAAGTCCACAATCCACAAAGAAATGAATTTCATGAAATTAATTGAAGCAATTTCGAAAATCTTAATGCAATTTCTAAGCGATCCAGCTTGATACAGCTTGACAATTTCTAACTGTTTTAAGCAGATGAATGTGGAAATATTATCGAAGTAATCGAATTTAAAATGAGGTTACGAATGGACTGAATGGTCTAAGGCAAAATAATAGATAGATATTTTGAGGTTAAGCGGATATTTGGTAGGATTTGGAAAGGTTTCTCGCAAAACAGAACATTTTGCGGGACACCAAAGAGCCCAATCACGGCAAATAAAGATTTTTTATGCACTATGATCAGTTTTTAAGAGCTTCACTAAGTTCCATTAATGGGCTATAATAAAATAGTTCCTGCAAACACATCGTGATAAGTCATCTCGAATTAGTCGTCCTAAAGAATTAAAATAGTACGAGCGAGTCAAACCTAATCGATATGCTTTTAAAAAGGATGCAGTTCAATGAACGGCGCTTTAAAAAGACTAAAAGATAAAAAAGGATTAAATTTTCAGGTGACCCTATGACCCTAACAAATTCTGACGAACTTTTTAAAGATCTATAACGGTTTGTCCGCATCTTTGTTAGCCATTACTACATTTTTCCTAGTAATTTGTAGTTCTTCATCATCCATGCTACCAACATTATTTATTATTCGTCAAGATGGCGAAGTTTGATGGAGCATAAGGGAAAAGAACTTAGAAGGATTCCCAGCGTTAATGGAAAAAGAAAGGAAAATGTTTTAAAAGACCTGAAGGACCGACTTTGCGGAAACAAACTGACATTGCTAGAGATAGATTAGAGCAAAGTGGTACTCCGGAAATCCGGAAGTGAAGTTACAGAAGAAAATAACAATTTATGGTTTGCATTATTTAAGGGGCACTGGAAATTTGGAAAAAATTTGGCCAATTTTGGAGGAAATTGAGTAGTTTTTTTGCACAGCAAATTACACTAACATGGCAAATTATTAAATAGATTTTGGGAAGTCACTATCCGCGAATGCCATCCAAATCCCACTCGAAATCTTCCTAAATTCAATTACCAATTTTTACATAAAAATTTTTCCTGCAACTTAACACCTCTAAAAGAATGGAAGCACTATGAAAGACGAAGAAAATAAATTGTGAAATTTCCAGGTAAATTAAAATGATAGCCAAAATTGGAAAAGAAAAACCATATAAAAAAAATCTACAAATGAATGAATCCACTATTTGAAAATACACTTTTTTTTGAACAAATATAACAAATTTATAAAACCGAATCAATAATGAAATTATGGAGCTTTTTTTCTAAGAGTGCCCATCATTGTTCCTCTAGCTTGTCGGTCAAAAGAAACTTTGCAGGAAAGTTACTTGGGAACCGAAGTACAAGGAAGTCATTAGCACCATCCGAATTTTTTAAAAGACAGGTTTGTTTCTGTTAGGAGCAGTACCACAGCGCTTGCACTCTTAAAATAAAAGCAACAATACACTGAAAAAGGAAAATAACTGAAATCGTCTTTACTATTAGCAACAATAGATGCGATGCACACAACAAACTGAAAAAAAAAACGAATAATAAGCAACATAAAAATAATCTATTAAATCAGATTCTACGTCGTTTTTTGATTAAATTTTCTAAATATTTTTGAAGCATTTTTTAACTTTATTATGCAACCATGAAACAAGATGACCAATAAAAGGCTTAAATACCATAAATATATTAACATAGATAAATTTTAAAATGAATGACTGGAAGCGACTGGACAGAGATTGGTTAAATCAACAGGTTTTAAAATAGACTCAGACGAATCCAGTTGATCACGAACAAATGCCACAAAAACATCTTCGATATTGTTTTGTGATATTGTATACGATTCAATTTGTAGCGTTTCTGCTTTGAGCATTTCTTCGCACAAAGCAAAAAGTTTAAACAAACGAACATTGTTACGAACTTCAATGTGAACAAAATTAAAATGAGTTTCCTGGAAAAATAAAAAAATCAGCTCGATAAAAAAATATTCGGAGTAGCATATTTACTCGACCTAAGTGGCATTTTTACTTTCGCGATTATAACATAATTAATAATACCTTAAGTATTATATGTGGAAAATGATCCATGAGAAAATGGAAAATTTTATCCTTCACGTCTTTTCCAGCGTCTTTCTTTAAGCGTATCCTTATTGAATATCCCTTACCAAATTTGTCTTTTAAATGTTGAGCACTACCTATGCATCGCAATTTTCCATTCACCATTATTGCCAGCCGATCACATAAAGCCTCGCATTCTTCTACACTAAAAAAAAATATATTTCAAAAAATATGGAAAAAATATCAAAATCAAAAATCAATAGATATCAAAATATATATCAAAATTTTATTTGAAAAAATTTGTTATTATTTGAAAAAAACCTGCTGATAAAAAAAGATCAAATTTTTAAAATAAAATAAAAAGGAAACTAACCTATGGGATGTCCATATTACAGACTTTCCTGAAATAGCTAAACCAGCAATAATACCACGAATAAAATTACGTGCACCAGGATCCATACCAGTAGTCGGTTCATCTAGAAGAACGACCTAAAAATGATTGTAGCTAGCTGAAACTTTTAACACCATTATTCCAGCGCCAAAATTATGCAAAAAGTTAAGAAAAACCTGGGGATTGCCAATCAACGCAATTGCCACCGAAAGTTTGCGTCTAGTTCCACCACTATAAGAAGCCACCATTGAGCTGGAATAAGACAGAAGATCCAGTTGATGTAACAGCCAGTCAACTAACTAAAAAGAATAAAAAAAATAAGCAATAAAAACCATCACATGTATTTGATGACCAATAACAGACCAGTTGGAAATAGAAGGAATATATACATATATTATATATATATATATATATATATATATATATATATATACAGATTTTATACAGATTTCACCTCTTTGGCTGCAGCAGGAACATAACCATATAATCGAGCGTAATACAGAAGATGCTCCTGACCAGTCAATTCGTCAAAAAAAGCATCAAATTGAGGACAGTATCCAATATTCTTTATTACATCCCAGCTAAAAAAAAAAATAAAAAATTTATCTAAGAACCGCTAAAATCCCATTTTACAGATTATTCCTTGTTCATAAGTCAAATAATATGGCATCTTTTCAACGATTTCAACGGACTGAAAAAAGCGAAATTTACTTCTTATGCAAGTCCTCGCCACATATAAATATATTGCCACTGGAAGGTGACGTTATTCCGCACAACATATTAAATAAAGTGGTTTTGCCTGCACCATTCACTCCAAGAAGACCAAAACATTCTCCTTTAGGAACCGAAAAGTATACGTGGTCAACTGCACGAATTATATCTTCTTTCTTTGTTTTGAGCTTTTTTATGAAAATCTAAAAATAAAAAAATTTAACATTAAACATTAAAATTCCAAAATAACTGAAGAATGTTAACGAATGCCTCATTATCTAAATTACTCTGTTCTTTCCTATTTTTTTAGTAAAAATAGTCTAGCCTTCGTAACACTTTCTAACTTGATAACATCATTTGAACTGCTAGGTCCCATTGCACGTGCACGTTCTGCTGCCACATCAGAATCTTCATTTTCATTAGCTGAATCAAGGAAAGAAGCATCAAAGGAAACCCTTAAAATAATTCGCAATGGTTTGAATTGCAGGAAAAAGTAGGTGAAAATCATTCGCTCACTTTTTAATTTTCTATTTATATTTTCTTAGCATATGACTTATAATTCTTAAGTACATGGCATTAATTTTTGGCACAATAATATTATGAAAAATAAAAAAATCAAACCAAAGACCAAAACGAGGACCAAAATATAAACTGTAATATTACGAATAAAAATTAAAAATAAAAAATATAAGATACTTTGGAAATGAATAATCCAATGATATTACAAGAACAAAGCACAATAGTCCGATTCCACCCATAACTAGCAAATTTTGAAAGAGAAGATCCCAAGAAAAAGGTGACTGAATTTTTGAAGTTTCGCCTGCAATTTTAAAATACACGAAGATAAATTTTAAAACAATATTCAAAGAACAGAAATAACAAAACGTTTAGAAAAATATTGAATGTATAATTAGACGACAAAATATAAATTAGGAGATAAAAAATTTTCTATAAAAGTTTTAAAAATAGAATAATTAAAACTTTTTGAATGGTTTATTTTACCTGAATTAATTTGCTGAATATTGCTAAAATTAAAATAATCTATAATCTATAATTAAATAATTAAAATACCGAAAAAAGTATAATACTGATTGAAATATTCGTTAAATGCGACATCCAGAACCCCACGCCCGAAAGCAAATCCAGGGAAAATAAGGAATATTCGACGCAGAGCTACTTCTACTGAAGCTAATGTAGGATTCTCCAAACCAAAAAGCTGAAAATAAATCTCGATAAAAAATTAGTGGAGATTAGTGGATTTGGCAAATTACCTGAAGCAAAAACGATGCGAAAATGGTTGATAAACCAATAGAAAGGTTGAATACAATTATAACTATATATGCAACTGAGGGTGCATCAAAAAGATAAGACAACAGATAAACCAGAGGAATACTTGCCAAGCCATAAAAAAATAGAAGTGAAATTAAAGCCAATAAATTGGTAGAATGAACGTATGCTGGAATTTGAAAAGACCTAAAATATATTAAAAGCTATTTTTTCATGAACCATCATTCTTCACTTTTCCTAACTATCTCTGAACATAAACATTAAAGTTAAAATAGATTTAAAAAAGATAATGGGAAAACCACATATTCTTCGTCTTCTAAAATCAAATTAAATAAAATAAAATAATAAAAAATAAACAATCCATTTCATACCAAATGATCGCTGAACATATTAATAGTGGGATACAAAAATTAAAAATATCCCACGTAAAGTTAGCGAGCCAATAAATACACGGACGCATTCCGGACATTTTTTGCAAATGAAAACAATAAGTGGATCGCTCATAAACCAAGAAATAAATAAACGAAGCAGGTACGAAAGATATGCCAATCACCATAAAAATTGCTATCAGAACATCATTCGTTTCCATTCTAATATGGTAAACTTACTCGAGAAATAAAATTTTGAATAAACGCAAATAAAAAAAAAAAGAAATATGGAATTTTTAGGCTTTAATTATGCCAACTATCAACTTAAAACTATCTAAAACTATAATTAAAACTATCAAAAAAAAGAATCTCAAAAGATTTGTCGCATTTTTATTTAGATGAACTTTACATTTTCCTCCGAGAAATGATTCTAGAACTTCCTCCCATTGGATGATTTATTAATGTGATACCAATCGCTGCAGGATTCGAAGAAAAATTAGAATTGTTTCGTAGAGAAGTACGTAAAATCGCATTATTGAGAATATTCAAGAAAATCGGCATGGCATGAAATGCTCGGTTATTATACCAAACCTACAAGCAATATTATTGCTATTACTATTATTATTATTTTATGAACTATTACTTTGAAAAAAAATTTAATTTCTCCAATAATTTCCTCTTTTATTTCAAAACTGCTCTTAAAAATTGCATAGTGAAAGAAATTATCAAATTAATTAACTGCTAACCTTAGATATATGATGGACAGCAAGTGTACGCAAAATGTCCGAGGTATTAACACCGAATTCTGGTGGGACATTTTCCTTCTCAAAACCAAGACTTATACCACCATACCTAAATTTTATTGAATAATAATTTAACAAATTATAAGAAATTTCGAACTCAATGACGCTAAGATGAAAAAGTTAAAATTTATCATCTGGAAGAAAAAGTATCAAAAAGATTAAAAGACAAACCGAAGCTCGAATTGACTGTTTGTGCTGATCAGATAATTAGAAATATTTAGGCCAGTTAAATCATACAATTCATCACCAGTCATAAGCAATCGATAATTATAATTGTCTTTTATTGGTGAACAAATTACACCACTCCCATGATGGACACATATGCAACTTGGATAATAATCTAAAACTCAAAACTGAAAAAATAATCTGTTAAAGATAAAAAGAATATTTAGAAACTATAAACATACAAGTCACGAGACTGATATCAATGATATTTAAATAACTTTAATACAATATAAAATATGCTTAAAGCAGATCATATAATAAAAACCTGATCCATTTTTTGGTTTAACATAATCTGGAATTTTGAAATACGATAGATTATGACGCATACTGTTTTTTTCAAAATATTTTCGCTCTCTGCAATCATCAATTAGATGATCAAAAGTAACATTTCGACCATAATATTTCTTATTAGCAGCCCAGTTAGCATCGAGCCAAGTTGCTGACTTATTTTTTACCAAACATTCAGCACCTAAGCCAGGAACTCCATAAAAGGATGCAACTATGGACGAAGCAGGTAAACGACGCTAAAAAATACTCTGAATTATTAATTATCAAAAAAATTTCTATATCATTATTTCTATATTTATACAATTTTCACTTCATATAAAAATATTTTATAAAACCAACGGAAAACATACACTATCAAAAGAAATAATATCATCAGAGGCGTCGTTAGAATAAAATATAGTATTATTCTGACCAGATGAAATATTCACAAATTGAAAAGTCGTTAATTTGAGAGGAGGTTCTTCAGTAATAATGGTTGGCAAAGCAATGAACATTGAACCAGCAATAAAAATCACTACAATTCATGTTATGCATGAAAAACTTCAAATTAAATTCTCAAAAAACTTTTTATTTTCATTTCTAAAAATGGGTAAGTAAATAAAATCTCTGAAATGAAATCTATTAGAATATGAAAACTAACTTGGTAATATTAGTTGTGAAATTAAGCTTCCCCAATTCCTTGAAGCATATAAAATTCGTTTCCATAAGATGGCGTAAAACTTAAAATTTTATATTAAATTATTTACAATGTTCTATTGATATATTCGAATAAAAAATTTGAATTCTGATTATTATTTTTTATCACATAAATAAAAAAATGCATTTGGAGCAATGGAAAGCTTTTTTCCGCATCTATAAAATAATGAATTTTTATACTAACAAATATATTCATAAAGTTCATAAAGTTCAGTTATTTGGTACTATTATTTATTTACAACGAGCTCTTGCAAAAACAAAAGGCTCCTTGCTCTTATTGGGTCTAATGATTCGATAATGAATAAAGCGGTACCTGCTGAAAATAAATTGCAAAGGGTTTTTTATATCGATCGAATTGTGGAATTTGTATAGCTTTCTTCATCTCCCTAAAAATATTCTTTAAGAAATGAGCTGTTAAAAATTTGGATACGAATTTTAAAGCAATATAAAACCTGGTAATATCCTTTGAAGAATCGGTGATACTATCGCTAACGCCAAGCTTCAAGAAAACCTAAAAATTTCGCACTAAAAAAATGTGGCACAATCCAACAAAATTTTCTGTAAGGAAAAAACATTATTTCATATTGTTAATTGCATAATTTTCTCAAAATTGTCTATCATATTGTTTCAAAATTGGTGATTAACATGAAATAAAATAAATGGTCGCCTAAACGAAAAGAAATTTTTAACAAAAGAAATTTCAGAAGATACCTCCTGGAGAGTAGTATCTCTGATGCCGAATGAAGAAATGCCCATTTTTAAACGTTCGGATTTTGATTCAACAAATTTAAGTAGTGAAATAATCTACAACTGCATTACAGAATGACAATCAAACAAAAGTTGAAAGGCAAACAGCGTTTTATATATATCCACAGATATTAAATAATTAAATACCTGTTCCATAGTCCATTGTTGAAGCTGATAGGTTCTTTCATATGCACAACCACTAACAAGCAATGGATTTGGTCCAAAACGACTACACATTTCCATAAACTATAATAAAAAACAAAATTTTAAAAAATAACCAATAATTTATAATAAAAATTATAAGTCGTTAAAATTCAAATAACTAAAATGTAATAATTATAAAAAATAAAATTAAAAAAATAAAAAAATATAAATATACTTTTTGTGTTAATATATTCTCTCTTTCTTCATATGAAGTTATACTAAGAGCATATTCAGTTGATGTTGGATCGTTTACGAAAGTTATAAAATAACCGTCTCCAAAATGCTTTTTAAGAAATAACGGCGATCCATATGCTTTAAGACGTCCCTGAAATATGTTATTAAATAATCGTCGTTTCTTATAACTTGAAAAAATCAAAAAAAAAAAAAATTGTTACGAGTGATAAGACTGCAATTCGATCGGCTAATATATCTGCTTCATCCAATAAATGTGTGGCAATAAGTATTGAACGGCCATATCTATATTTCAAAATCATATCCCATATGAATCGACGAGCAAAGGGATCAACACCAGCAGTTGGCTCATCAAGTATCACGGCAGTGGAACCTAAGAAAAAAGAACTAATATTAACATTAATTCATTAATTGTCCTACACGGTTATGTCTACCACCTACTCTATTTTTCTTATGGTTATTTTAACCATTAACGATGGTCGAAGAGCATAGCAAAACCAAGGTTTGATCACGGATTTATGCTAAAAAAAGAAGTCGAAAAACTTAAATCAACTTCTGTCCTTTAAACATGCGAAGCAAGATAAAAGCACTATAAAAAGAGTTGAAAAAAAGCAATTTTTTAACCAACTAGATCAGTTTAAGACTTAACTAAAGACTTCTTGCCTGCCGTAAAAGATTTCAGATTAATGCAAATTGCAAATCTAGTTTATTGGCTAGAACCATAAAAATTTTTTAATAGGCAAGAAGATTTTTGAGGAAGAACATTACGAAACGACAGTAACCAGCTTCAACAGTAACTGACTTAAAGATAATTGAACTTCCATTAACATGGAACCGACATAATGATAGATCGATTTCTGCAGGTCAAATAGTAGCATAAATAAAGCAAGAAAAGATTTTGCACAATGATGATTTTTTCTTTTATCGTCTTTTTTATCAATATTAAATGTAAACCACTCGAATTAAGGCTATTCTCAGTGAAGAATCCCCATGATATTTCGCGAATATCGAAACTTGGTTATATGATAGTATTGAAGATAAGTTAAAATTTATGGCTTTTGAAATTACAAGAATCACGTCCTAGATTACATCATAGTTGCAACTAGTTCAGACAAAAGTGGTTGCCCCATACCTATTGCCCTTCCCAGTATTAGTATATATACTGCAATGAACTTTTCTGATAAGAATGAATCACTAACTGTTAAAAAATTTCTTTAATTCCAAAAATTTTCTATATTAAAATATATATAGAGATCCTCTGGTTACTATACAGATTTATTATCAATTTTAATAATATGCTTGAATCGAATTTCATAAAGACTTTATTATTGAAGGTGATTTTAATTTCCATAATATATATTGGATGAACAATGTATGTTCAGGGATAACATTCGAGGAAGGCTTCTTAAATCTTTGTTCATATACTGGTTTAGAGGTTCCTAACTTTTTTTTTGGCTAATCGACTCTTTTTTCCGTACTTATTTTATTCAACACTTCTTCCAGTTAAAGGGTTTTTTGTAAATTAATCTCTTAAAAGAGATTTAAATGTAATTTTTTAAAAAGTTGTATTATTGCACTGAAAGTTATACTGAAATAAAAAAAATGATTTTTTAAAGCTAATTGTTATTCAGTGCACCATCTCCATTCTCATTAGATATAGCAATGCATGCCTTGATCTTCTTACTGCTAATGATCCTGTGATAAAACTCTTATCGATACTCTTACTAGATTTTAATATTTTAAACATCATTCCGACCACAAATGAATAATCTTCTTTGTTGAAGATGTATTCACAAACTTCTAGACTGAATGAGTAATAGTTCATCCCACAGACATATTAGAGACTTAATTTGCATTATTGACAAAATTGGCTGGGATTTTCTACCTTCTTTTAGGGAATTCGTTGACCAAACCTGGATATCCTTAAAAATTTCCACCTATTTCGTTGTTTGTATCAATTCTCAATTTTAAATTGATGAGTAAAAAGTTAAATTCTCATAACTTGATTCATTGGTTGATTGGTTCATTGAGAATCTTGATTTTAATTTGCATAGTAAATATGCTGTTAGAAAGTCTTTTAAGAATTTAAATCTTACGCAATGATCCTTCAGGAGTGGGTCAATGTCTTTCTTATAAACAATAAAATATAGAATAGTTCACCTCGATGTCAGTAAAGTTATCAGTAGAAAAAAATTATAAATTTTAAATTCAACCTAAAATTATACAAATCTTGATTCGCTTAGGGCTAAAAGAATTAAACAAGATTTGATGTTTATTACTAAGAATTTGTTCGCTTATGTTAATTTAAATTATACTAATTATTAGGCCTTCTTTTGAATTTTAATATTACCAAAGATAATAGGCTATATTATTCAACTTAAACTTGCAAAACCAATATACTGCCTGATAACTTCAATATAAATATTAATTACTGAAATAAGTTATTGGTATATTTTTGCTTGGTCTTCAGAAACTAAGCCTATGATTTATTGCCACTACAAAAAGCATTAAAAATAATATTTATGTATTATGATTTATTTTTCTTTTTTACATTCCTTCTAACATTTTCAGTATTCTTTCAGTATTATGTTTTACGTTTTTTTTTGGCTTTAACCAGCTTTTCGCTCTTCTCAATTCTTACAAATAAATAAAATAAATTAACGTTAAAAAGATCAGTGGATCTAAATCTGAATGCATAAATTCATGAATATTCTAAAATCGATATTTTCAAAAAATAAAACATTAACCCCCTATGAAAGCGATCGCGACTGAAAGACGTCGTTTCATACCACCTGACAATTTGCAAACAAGTTCATTTTCTTTATCATCCAAGTGCAAATCCTTTAGAAATTGCCGCGATTCTTCAATTGCCTCCTAAAATGAGTTAAATTAAATTAAATTAAATTAAATTTCGAAATTAAATTCAATTCTATTTTTTGAACGTCCATGTTTCAATTTCTAAAAATTTATTATTTTTGACAATTCATCTAAAATTCATCTACAATTCATCTAAAATTTTGCAAAAAATTCAAGAAGAAAAAGTAATCATTCCTTACGAGTTCTAACAAGAAAAAGTGGAAATGAAATAATCAACCTGATTTGTTTGCTTCGATTTCAATTTTGAATAGAAATATAAATGTTCCATTGTTGTAAGTTCATTGAAAAGCACATTATGCTGAGGACAAATGCCTAACATAGCTTTGATCACATCACTTCGTGTTTTGATAAAGTGACCATTAATACATACATTTCCAGCTGATGGAACACATGTACCATCTATTATATTCATTAAAGTAGTTTTGCCAGCACCATTATGACCAAGAATTGCCGTTATCTCATTCTGCAGATATAAAAATATCCCTCAAAATAAACTGAAATAAAATCAAACAAAAACAAAAAGAATGAAATTATACATTTTGTTTCCAATAGGATAAATAAACGTTTAATTTTTGAAGTTGTAGGTAACTGCATTATTTTTAATTTAGATAAAAGTTTAGAATTAATGACCCATTTTTTATCCTTCATAAGATGCAAAATAAGGTCAAGTCCACTTTAAAAATTATCTCAAAGTTTAGTAATTTTTTTGAAACAGATTTTCACTAAATATGAAATGGCTAAGTTGTTTTACATATTTTTCATCATCCTCAATGATTCCATTAATTAATCTTTTAATTCCATAATATTTTTCTTAATATTTTTTTAAATACCATTCAAAAAATGGCTAACTTTACGAAGTGCGAGTGAAATATTGAATAAAGCATAGGTTCGCGCACTATGTTTATATCTCTTGCTTATTCTTTTGAGCATTACGGAAATTTTGGTATCATCTGACTCCTCTTCGAATTTAATGTCATCATCCATTAACGATTCTTCTAAAACCGTAACGTCTTTTCCCAATAAATTTCTTACCTTGTTATACAAAAGTTCAAATGGAAAGTACCATTTACTTCCACTGCTTTCTTTACCAGGAAATACCTAAATCTTTCGATGGATATAAAAAAATTAAAATTAAGAAATCGAGCTGATAATTAACTTCTAGATAAGAGTTTATAAATTTACTTATTTTAAATAAATTATAATTAACCGTTAATTATTTTGATTTACCTTATCAACATAAATCGCAATAGCTGCATATATAAAGCAATCAAATAACATACAAACCATCGAATGAGCAACAGTGAACGTTTCTTCACTGATAGGTGATAGATAAAAATTGTAGAATTGACAACCTTCACCTAGAAATTGATCTTGATTAGAATAATGTTTTTTTATTCGATAAACAATTCCTTTTTTTCCTTTTCAATTCCTTATTTTATCAGAGCTTTAAATGCAGGAAATATTAAAAATAATGTCAAAATCTGGCTAAATTACAACCCAATCTGACCTAATATGTATAGAAAATACAGACCTTTTAATTCATAATAAAACAAATATTTTATAGCTATGCTAAAAGCAGATGTCGAAATGAACGAGCAAAAGAAATTCGAAGCAAATGACATAAGCTGAAGTCTTGATTGTTCTCTGATTGAAATGAAAAGCGCAGGTAGACAACTAAGGAGGTATATAATTCCAGCACATGCCGCTGCCATTTTTGCTCGAGAGTAAAAAGTTGAAACCATGAATCTGAACAAAATAAAACGATTGAATAGCTCATTCTAGAAAAAATAATTAAATGGGAAAGTTATCATCAAAAAATAAAAATGAAAAGATATCATAAAAAAATAAAAATTAATTGTATATGCGAATTATGCAACAATATCAATGTTTTGCGATAAAAATAAAACAAAATTTCTAACTGAATTTTTTTTAATAGATGAATGAATTTAAGGTTTCTTTTCAATCTCTGAAGAGTAATTAATTTCATCGATGATCGAATATATTTAAAAGCCAAAATTTAAAAAAAAATTTAAAAAAAAGTCTAAATAAAGTTAAATAGCTATTGCCATCCAGAGATCGAAATTGAATTAAAGTCGGTTCTATCAAAATCTTTGAAAGAAATTAATAAGATTAATAAGCATGATTAAATAATTAATAATACTTACCCAAAAAGAATAGTAACCACTGCAAATTCTTCAAGAATTATGAAAATAAACAATGCATCTGAGTGTGGAAATAATTGCCCTTTTTTCAGCAATATTGTTAGTAGTATCGACGTAAACGTCATTTCGGCAAAAATAATTATGAATCTTGATGACCAAAGTACACTACGATTTGTTCCCATAATGTAGATCACCTGCATATTTTTCACTTTTGCGAAAATTAATGAAAAAAATGTAGTTCATTCAGCGAAAAAAAGCAAAAAAACCTGTTGTAGTTGCGACTCTTTCCATTCCACTATAGTCTGTACCAATAGCGAAAAACTAAAAATCCAAGATAATGTGAGAATTAATGGAAATAATCGTTCAATATACATCAGAAACCTGTAAATAAAAAAGATTTTACGATCAATGAATTGAGCGGAATGGCTTCAATATAAAAATATGATTAAAAAATGAAAAAATAATCATACTCATCAAAGATAAAACAAGGATAAGGAGATTGATGCAAGTATGTTCCAGGTTCAAAGATAGGTCCACCATTGAATATTTCTATTAATGCACGTTCCACGAGATCCTTAATGATAAAAGACTTTCATTCATAAAAAATTTTTATCAGTATTCTTACATATTCTAAGCCTTTTAAGCTTTTAAACATTATCATAAAAAATGTTCTCATTTCTGATCAGAATTGAATCAGAGAGAGAAAAAAAATGAAAAAAGTGTTAATTTTCATGAAAATTTTTTTTTCAGATTTTTTCTTCAAATTTATAAATTTTAAAAAATTTTCGTTACTAAAAAATATTCCAAAAATAATCAAATGTGGTAGTAAAATGTACCTGTATAAACAAAAATCCGAAATTATAATACGAATAATCATAATCCCTAGGGCCAGGATATTTGAAAATTAATTCTGCACTTTTAGTTGTTGGTGTTAGGGAAGCATTTTGCCGAATTTTGTAAATTACGTGTGATGGTAGACTATCATTATTTATATTTGTAAATATTAAGCCTGAAAATTGGACATAAAATTTTAAAATTAATGCAAGGAATCGAAAAGAAAAGAAAAGAATATTAAAAGAATATTAAAGAATATTAACATACTTGCTATAACTGTAACATTATCTTGCATGGCGTTGTTTTCCACATAATTCACCACACTCCGTTCATCTTTATGACCCTAAAATCAAAACTCAAAAGGTTAAATTTTATATTTTACATAAATCAGAACTGACGAATAATTTACATTAATTAAATAAAATTAATTGGATATTGCTGATGACCCACCCGTACTCTATCGCCAAGCAACTCTGGCAAAATTTGTCTAGTGCGATAAGCCAGCAGAATATAAAATATTGAAACAGGGAGCGCTCTTTAAAAAAAATAAATAATTTATTAATGAATAACTGCACAATGGTTACTGAAACTAAATTATATCAAAAATACTTACCATGAACAGATGTTCACAATCAATTCCTTTTAACGTATTAATAAAAGTACAAGTTACAGCTTGAACAAATCTCAATTTCATTTCAAAAAAACCGTACTCAGGAATATGGAAAAGATTCTGAAAAAATAATTTAATTCGAGAAAAGAAAATGGAAGAAATGGTAATGGTAAGAAATGAAAATTTTTTTAAAATAATTTCTCCTAAATAACGTTAAAGATTGTATTCTAAGAAAAATAATTCAAAAAAAATACAGCTGTAATATAAAAATTCTACAAATTCTTCACTTTTGATTGATACAAGAAAATATGGAAATCGCCAGTTATATTAAGTAATTCATTTGCAAGACTGATAGCATATTCCACAAAACTTAATGTTCTATTCACCTGGAACAAATATTTTTGAAAAGAAATTAGTTTTATCATCAAAAAAAGCAAGAATATGAAGAAATTTAATAATGAATTTTTCCGCATGGTTAAATTTTCATTGCTGATCCAATGTAAACTGAATATCCTTAGAATTCATTAAACTAATTAAAAATCTACATATGAAAAGCAAAAACCTTCTTGATAATTTCGTCGGCAACTGTCGCATTTGGTGCGTATAATATGCGTACTTTGTGTTCCAATAATATTTTAATAAATGCACCTGAATAAAATTACTGCTAATGCTAAAAATTACCATAATACTAAAAATAATTATAATTATGAATAAAAGTTCCATAATTATATATATATATATATATAATATATAAAACAAGGAAAATTGCAAAAAAACAAATATTACTATTATCTCCTGATAATATTTGACCAAATATTGTATTGAATTTTAATGATTGGTTGATTTCATGATCAGTTTCACCACAAACAATTATTTTTATAATATGCCAAAAATATTCGTAACGGTTCATCTAAATAATATTTAGGAAGTTAACTGGTAAATATAAAAAAGTACTAAAAATAAATATATATGGTAGCCTAGGAACAAAGAAATATATTAAAATATTTTTACATAAAAATATAATATAAATAACTATAAATATAAAAATATTTTATATAAATATAAAAATATTTTTCCTATTATTTAGAAATTTGGAAAACAATATTTGCAATTGAAAATATTATAACAATTTCATGATAAATATTAAAATATTTTTGGAAGGGTAAGGAAATCATATGAGCTCTTCTAATCAAAGCAACAATTTCATCTCATCTCACCTAGTCGTATAATTCAACTATAATTCTTGCTTTCTTCTTAAAAAAAGTAGCCTTTTTCAAAAAATATGAATAAAACAGTTCAGATGAAATGAAGCTGGCCAACTTCAAGTCGACATCGTTACTGAGATTAGAAAGAGTTGCAAATCGTAATGAACCAGAAAATCGCAATGATCTTTGAATCCACTTTTTTTGCTGCATTATCACCAACTACATCTCTACAGAAGTCATTTAAGGTAAGGTAAGTGAGAAAGATCCATTAAGAAAACAAAATTATTTAGGAAATATGATGACGAATTCATACAGAATCAATTAAGCAAAAGAAATCTCAACTTGAATAATATGAATAAAGAAAAACTAAACCTTATTATCATTAATGATTTCAAAATGGTTTTTATTAATCACATATTCATCTGCACAACTCTGCATCACTGGAAATCCATTTATTACAGAATAAAAATTCTCAATGTTGTTCATAAATTTTTTTACTCTATATTCCTGCAATAAAAAATGGTAAAATGGTAACAATTTATATTTTATATTTATAATGTAAGAAATAGATTTTTTCCATAAAAATTGTAAATGGTAAAGTAAAGATGAATAAAGAAATAGTAAACAATTATCGTACTGCTTTATTACTGAAGAAAATTCACCAATATAATAACAAAATGACAAAATAAAATTGTTACAATAAATTAAAAACACAAATAGAAAAAATATACGTAATCTCTGAAATTTGAATTGGACGGTGAGAAATGTTCTGGATTTTCAAATGGAAATTGCTTACCTAAAATAAAATCACTCGAAAAATAAATCAAGACCGAATTAACCTTGATTTAATCGTTCTAAATTTCTTAAATCTAAAATAAATAAAATGATATTTCAAAAATTTACTTGAATTATCAATATTGGGGAAAAAATGTCGAAAAGATGGAATATCAAATGATGCCCAATCAAAGTTCGAAAAAGCACTTCCATTTCTGTTGTGCTTACGAATAATATCATCGATTATCGTTAAAAACTGCTTTAATCTAAAGTATTTACGTTTTCTTTGAAAAATTCAAAAATCTAATTTCACCACAAAAATTTAATTTCATCACCTATAATGGACCTAAATTATTTTACCAGCAAGAAAAAAAATAATTGTTGCTCATTTAATCAAATAATATAATAATTTGTCTAAAAAAAAAGCAAAAAAACACCGAAAATATAAAAACAAGAAAAATTTGTGTTTGCTACATCAAAAAGGTCGTAAAGGATAAGTAAATAAACATTCTTCTTTTCCCCTCACAATTCGAGCCATTGCTAGTTTAGTTCGCTACACCAGCGACTATAGTGAGGTTTTCCAAACTTCGCGATAAGTAAATATAACATAAAATAGAATAACCTGGAATGAGGAAATGTTCTGAAGCGATTCTTATCAAGTACATAATTTTTGCAGCCAAGTTCAACCAACGATAATAAACCAGCTGACGGAAGAGGTTTCGCTTCATATTCTTCTTAAATGATATGTTAATCAAATAAAATATGATTAATATATTAAAAATATAAATTAAAAAATAAAATAAAAAAATTAAATAAAAATTGAATTAATTAAATAAAAAAACAATGAATAAAGAAAATAAATAAATTAAATCGAAAATTAATTTTAAAAAATTAAAAAATCAAGTAATTAAAGGAAATAAATTAGACGACATTTCCCATTGATTGATTGATATTAATAATTTAAAATTTTGTAAATTTGGTAATAAATAATTTTGCATCAATAATTTTTAATAATTAACTTCAACAAAGGTAAATAAGAGAGCGTTTTGATTATTTCAGGAAAACTCCGAATTTCCATCAATTTTCATCGATGTCGCTTTTAATATTAAAAATTATATTTTAGAAACCTCGAAATTTTGAATAAATCTTTCATAAAAACCTTTCATAATTTCAGATAAATTATTCGAAGAAAAACCTCCCTATTTAAATAAAATAAATAAAACTTTTGTATACCAATAACTAAAGAAAAATTCACAATCAAACAGTGTTAAAGAGATTAAATTTAAAGGAAGGAGATAACAATTCTATTTTACTTTACTTCCTTTACTTCCTTTACCTCCTATAATTATAATGCATTTATAAGCATTGCTTTCCTTTCTCTATTTGTAAAGAACTTATTATTTAATTATTCTTATTTGTAAAGAAATAAATGAAATATTATAAATATAAATGAAATTATTAAATATTATTAAATATTAAATTTTTAAAGAAATATTGAGTAAGATAAGATAAAAAATAATAAAAAAAAAGCTAAAAATTATAAAATTAAATTAAAAAATTTTACTTTGACTTGATAGAATCGCAGGTTTTGATAACCGTAACACTGCCAATAAGCAACAAAGTAAGAGCGGAAGAAATAATTCGAGTAAAGTTGTGACCTAAAATTAAATCACCAAGTCTCTTAGCACTGTTCTAACATTTAATAATTTTATTAAGAAGGAAGAATGGCTGCTCAGGGGCTCTCGCTTCGAAGCGCCGGGATTGAGGTTCATGGCAGAAGCGAAGCTGTCTTTCAAAAATCCGGATGCTAACGGCTCACCTATACTCACTTGTCGCCGAGTGAATCCCTGATAAAACCTTTTTCCTGGTCCGACAAGTCGGCGGAGGGATATTGTGAGTGGTCTTCAAAATAATACCTATTAAATAATGAATGTTTCGGGAGAAGAAATAATCATTCAGTTTTAAACGACCAATCTGTAACCCGAAGATGCTAATAGGTCAACCACGAGGACCTCAAAGGGTCAATGAGGACGAAGAGGTGCAAAATTAAAAATCCACACAACGAGAAAGAAGGGCCGGTTAGAGAAGCAGAGGAACGCACTGCCATCCTTTAAGTACTATGTCAATTGCTCGCGTGGGTGGGTGTGGTCGGCATATGCCTTAATAAGTCATTGTACGACGTGTCTGGCCAATAGAACTGAAGAATTCATTGCTATAATCACACCCATATAATCACGCAATTGACGTATTCCTTGGAACGAACTGTTTCTATTTGATCATCTCTGCTGGCTGCTAGGATGAGACCTTCTCGCTAGAGGTTCAGAGTGAGAACCACAGATGAGTCGCTGGTATAACTCAGATTTTAAGTTATTTTCAAGAAGGCTGCGTATTGCTGGCTTTATCATCTCAGGAAAAAATAACGAGTGATAAGATGATAGTGATAAAGAATAAGAAAGGAATGATAAGATGATAAGGAAAGATGATTTTAAAAAATGAATGATTCAAACAACAAATAAACACCAATCACGCAAAACATAAATTGCTAATTAATTAATCGCTAAATTTTCCTTTAAAATAGAAAAGTAAAAAAAAATAAAAAAAAATAAAAATTTACCGGTGAACGACGTTTAATGAGAAAATTTTGCCAAATTAGAAGACGCATTTGCCGAAAATTATGCATTTTATTCTTTACAAATTGCTGGCTGAAAATAATTGAAAATCGAACACAACCGTTTCAATACGATTTTCACCGCACAATAAATTTATTCCAGAAATTCTAAATTTTTTTTTTTTTTGCAGAAATGATTAATACAAACCAAAGACAAAGGCAAATGCGCTTTCTATAGGAATTATTTTAATTTTTTTTCGAATCAAAAAATTCTTTGATAAAAAATAATATAAATAAGAATTTTGTGGTAAAAATTCTTTGGTGATAAATGATAAAATTTCATCTATAAAAAGAAAAAGAAATATGAATCATTTATTCGTTAACAATATTTGTTTTCATTATAAAAATTTTGAAAAAAATTTATCATCAACAAATTTATCATTGGATTGGAAGAAAAAAGATTGAAAACAAAAAATTAAAAATAGCCGATAAATAAAACTGAAAAAATGCAATGATAATTAATGATAATTTTCTGATAATTTATAAGTGATAAACTCGACATATGAATCACTTTTCTCGAATTATATGTGTTTCTTCAGCTGAAGATGAAACAGAATCGATTCGATTGACCGTTCTTGAAAACTATTCACAAAGGAGTGCTGTGCAGGCGGTTGCTGGAAAGCGGACCTGTAGCTGCATCAAGGAATAACGGCTCCTCTGAGAATCGTAGCCAAACAGCTGAACAGAACTGTTGCGTGCTTGGGAGGAGATGCGGTGAGATGAAAATAATGAAAAACTGGTTTTCTGACACAAAGTTTGCTCACCTTCGATATTTTTCACTGGGATTTTGATTTGAAAAATTTGATAACTCGTAAATTAAAATTTTTCTGGGAATTTTTTTCACATTTTAATAAAAAATTTTTGGTGATTAATGATAACACTAACAATTGCTTTCAAGAATTGCTTTTCAGTTTATATCTCAAAATATTCTTTTCGATTATTTTTGATTTCATCGAGTTCAAACTCATTAAAAATGAAATGCATGCGGTATTGAGAATACAGTGATGGTGATGCGATTGTGGTTCAATCAGCATTTTTATCGCTAAGTGGCCGTTCGAAAAGTTTCTAGTGATGAGTGGAGGAATCAAAAGTGAAGGAACTGAAATGCTGAAGAGGCATTCTCATTCTCGGAAGAGGCCCCTTACAAACGTGAATAAGCACACTTAAGCCAACGAAAACTTTCTGCCGATTCCAAGTCTTCTCTCATAATCCTTTTTTATATATAGTTTATTGCCTAAATTATATAATAAAAAGAAAAAAAAGATTATTTTATAAATGAACTAATATTGGACATTATTGGACGTTTATCTGGCTAAAATATCTAAAAGCGAAAGGAAGATAAATTGATTTATACAGATCCTAGAAAAAAATTTTACTTATTGATTAGCGACAATTCACTTTCGTTTGCTACTTCCTTTTATTCTATACAACATAAGCAAAATGCAATTATCACTTATCATTTATCACTTGCAATTGCATTTATCAATTATCATATCAAAATTTACTTTAAACGAGTCCTAAAACATTTAAAACATTTTTTAAAATAATTAAAAGTTCACATATTTCTAATCCTTTATCATTTTATTATTCATATTAACCATCTCGAAAAATTTGCGAATAATCCAAATATTAATCGACATAAACCAAAACATTCTAACACATCGTTTATTGAACTGAGCTGTTTTTTTCACAACAAAAAATTATATTGCCGGTGAGAAGTACTAATTCCAAAGTCCGTTGAAGTAATACCAAAGTAGTACCATAATTCCGGGATGATGCGATCATTTGTGCAATGCGAGTGCAAAGTTTGGAAGTTTCACGATTTTTAATTATGCGATTCCGGGAAAAGGCGTTTATTTAGCCTTAGTTTCGCCGAAACGAATGACATTTGAAAAAAAAGTCTTCAAAAAAATGAAAAAATCTTTTCAAAAATCACAATTCTCATTTGCGCGAAATGCGCGAATTTCTGTAAATTAGTTATATTCCTACAAAAACTCCCTTCTAAAAAATTAAATTCCACAAAAAAATCGTTAAATTATTTTTTAGTTATGCAAATTATTCGGTTTCATTGCTCAGAAAGTTTCAGTTACTTTATTAAATTTCAGTTATTTTGAATTTATTTTTCAATAATTTTATTATTTCAACTGGTCTGTTTAGGCTTCTCACTTCATTTTTCATTTATCTAATTCTTTATATTTTTCTTTTTTTAGCGGATTTTCAAATTATTAGATATGGATTCCTCTGGATCAAATGGATATTTCCATATATTGCTGGGTTCATTAACTGCTATACTTCTGCCATTAGCAAGTATTTTACAGTGTGGCATAAGAAGGTACCACCTACTTTTCATATTTCATCAGCTTCAAGTAGTTTTTTTTTGCATGGGAATACTTTAACCAGCTACCGATTTCGAGCTCAAGCGAATCATTGTCAATAAAATTAGTTTTAGCTTGCTAAACGAGCGCAGTGAGCACTCAGCTTTTTATCATTACATCTTTTTAAAGAATTTTTCAAAAATTATCAGAAAAAGGAATTTTTAATGGCACTATTGCAGAAAAACCCAAACACCAACAACCACAACTGTTACAACAGAATCTGCAGACATCAAACAAGGAGAACCTCATAAAAGTTATAAAGAAAAGCAAAATGAAGGAAAAGAGGAGAAAAAAGAGGAAATAAGCAAAAAAAAAGAGCAAACAAGTGAAATCAAAAAGAAAAAGGAAGAGGTTTCAAAAAAATTACCATACATTAGAAAAATAAAAAGGAGTAATGGTGAGATCAATATAAATCATAGAATTCACCGATATTTAGGTGATCAAAACCAAAGAAGAAAAATCGAAGAAGGAGATTATCTCCGCGAAAAAAGAAGTAAAAAAGGCAAAAAGTTCCAAGAAGGATGAAGGTGAAGGAAAAGATTCTAAGAAGGAAAGCCAAACCGTAAGTAAAGCACATTCGCTCTAAATTTTTTTGCCTCATTGGACAGTACGTTTTATCTCTTTAATTGTGCTGACTCCGGATTATTTAATTAACGCCTGGAATTGAAGCATCGTTGGCTCTTCTGGGTTTTAATGAATTTAATAATAGTATCATATCAAAGAAATGGACTGACATGGTCAGAAGATTTTGAACGTATAGGTGGACCAGCAATATATGGACTTAAACGATGGAAAATGGAATGGCTTCTATTACTGTTAACGATGGCATCAGACCGTGCCGTTTGGAAGCCTTGTAGCCGTTGGAGCCAGCCTAACCAATAATGTTGAGAACTGTTAAAAGATTAAAGAAATGGAACCAATCGATTTTTCGAATCGATTTAGTTGGAGTACCGAAATTATCTTCCAAATTTTCCTAAAATATTCTTATTTCACATTGAGTTATGAGATGAACATTTGCCTTTTGATACGCCATTGTCAAATGAAAAGAGTAAAGGTAAGAAGCGAGAGGTACATTGGTAAAGATTTTTGATCGCTTATAAACAAAGTTCTTTTTAGTATTCAAAATTTAGTGAATTTTAGCAATCTGTAAAAGTGATAAAGCAAGGGAAATCAGAAGAAAAAACAAAAAAGGAGGAAAGAAGCGAGGAAGACGAAGATGAAGAAGGAGATGATGAGAAGGATGAAAAGGAATAAACGATTCGAAGAGCTTCATCTACTTCTGACTATGAATAAATAAAGATAGTACTAAATAAAATAAATTTTGTAGATTTTATAGAAGTAAAAAATTTTGGAACGAAAATTTCGATGTCTCGCTTTCCATGCAATATTTCAATGATAAAGTATCAAATATCAAATAATACGAACTTCAAATAATTAGGAAGATTAAACGACGTAACAAAAGAAAGGCTTCAGATACCTTCGTTATGCGTTTTGGGACGTTTAATATTGGGAACGTTAAATTAACGAAGAATTATGCAATCCTCCTTTTTCTTCCAACAGCATTCATTATTTTTGGCTTGATTGGGTCTACTGGCTAAATAGTGAAAGCTTTTGGTCAAAGAGTCGTTTGAAAGAAGAATATAAATAGGTCCATAGCATTCGGCTTTTTAGATTGCCGTGGGTATAATGATTCAGCGGATTATGGAGCACTGGTGTTGATGTTCTACTGTTCTACTCCTAATAGTAGTAAATCTTTCTTTCAAAATTTGAATTTGAAATTCTTGGGCAGATCAAGAAAAAGAATCAATTGTATGCTTAAAGTAGTACAGTTTTGCATTGGAATGTATGCTAATGTAGTCAAAATTGGTTTGGCGATCTCGATTAAAATGCCAAATGCGTTTCACGAGTTACCTTGCTTCAAGTTAAGTACCATTACGTTAGAAAATAAGAAAATATGATAAATGTGTTAGAATAAACTACGATCATCATGTGTTGGTTTTTAGCCTGTGAAATTTACCTGTTTTAAACCAAAATTATTGTTCATATTTTGCTTTTAATTGTGCTAGAAACGACACAATAGCGAAAAATTAATCATATAAAATTTTGAAGAAATTTAAATTTGGTTAAATTGGCGAAATTCCTCATTTTTATTTTTCGCTATAAGTGGTTGGTTTGTTTATTTAAAATTTGATTATTTTGGTTGAACAATTAATTTTTGTGCAGCATCAATTTTTTTTCAGCGATTTTTCCACACTGAATTTCATTTATTTCCATTTGATTTCGTAATTTTTTCATTTTTTCTAAGTTTTTTGCATATTGCAAAATATATTTTATTTCAATTGTAATCAATGCAAAGATCCATCCTGGGGCGTTCTATATTTTCGGCATCGCTTAACACCTCTTCGAACCCGGCTGTTTTAATATTTTTTAGAACATCACTATTCTCCTTTAGCATCTCTGGAAACGAATTTCTGCTATGTCCTTAACCAGCAGCATTTGCTTTTGCGGCTTCATAATTTAATGTTAACAAAAAAGCACTTTTCATACGGGCTAATAAAGTTTCTTATTCTTAGCTGCTTAGGTACCATAAGTGGGTTCATGGTGTTTGGAGTAGTAAAAAGTGGTTTAAGATAGATGATAATGCGGAGAATTGACGGGTTAGAACAAGCTGAGGAAAGGCAGGAAGTTGACGAGAATCAATGTGGTTGAGAAAGAGCTTTTATGGTGGCTTCTGATGTGTATACTCAAAGGACATGGGAAGAATTACATATATAAAATTTGAGCAATAATAGATTAATTTTTCCCAAATTAAAAAAGCAGATTATTAAACAAATTATTTATTATATGTTCATTAAATAAATGTTAGCATTAAAAATGAAAAATAAAAATTAAAAAATTGTTGCAGCTAGGAAAAAATACACTTTTAAAAATATCTGATAATGTCCATATTTTGGAATATTCCTGATTCTCCATTATTATTTTTCTTATCATTTGTATTCGTTGCTCTCATAAATATAATGATAAGTGTTGGATGCAAAGCACTCAGGAAAAAAGTAAGTTTTCTTGATTCATTTGTGATTTGATTGCTGCTTTTCTAAGAATTCCGGTGATATTTAATATTTCATGTTAAACCAATCTTAAAGCACTATTTAAAGTTCGCGTCTGATTGTATTTAAATATGCTTTAACTCATCATAGTTAGCTGTTTCTTCTAAAATTATGCAGATTTGTGACTTTCTTGTAAGAGACAGAATAGAAGTAATTGCTTTTTAATGCCACACTAATTTCCCTTCAAGTGGCAAAAATCGAACGGATGATTATTTCTTTAAAGCAGTTTGAAGCAACTGAAGTGACATGCAATTCACAGTTCACCTATATAAAAGCTCACTTGCTCAGAGTAAACTCCAAGTAGGCACATAATATTATAAGTATTGTAATTTGGCCATTTGAAATATTATATATTAAGTTTTTTCCGCTAACCAAATTTGATTAGCAACCTCCATTTTTTTTAACTTATTGCAGAAAAGCAAATCTAATTCAGAAGGTAAATAGTTATGAACTTCATAAATTTGCAAGTTCTTGCTTAGTAATTTGACAATCAGTAATTTGGCAAACTAAATATTATTGGTGACAAGCATTTCTTATTTCCTACAAAAAATATATCGTATATATTTTGTGTTTTTTTACTCGTTTGCTCAAGAACTTTAAATTATTTTGTATCAAAAGTAAGTGACGTAAAAAAAGGAAATAAAAGGTTTTCGTCGGTAGGTCGATTTTCGTTTTTCTTAATATTCCTTGAGGAACATTTTGAAGTAACTTTCAACATAATCAGTTTCATTCAACTAAATATAAGCTTAAATTTTTTAAAATGAAATAAAAAATATAAATTTACTTATAATTTCTAATTCCACTGAATTAAAGGCGAAGTTACCTTTGGGAAACAATGGAAAACTATATACGTTCCGAACGCTTTTCAAAGTGATTTTTTTGAAAAAATAGCCAATTTCTCAAGAATTTTTTTTCTTGCTTTTTAACTTTTTAAAATTCACCAAATTTCATTGATTTATCAATTTCAATAAATAAATAAGTAAGTAAATGGTAAGCATTTCCCATTTGGCTATTGCTTTTTTCTGGTTCGCTGTTTGTTAAAAAATTTTTAATGGAGAATCGTTTAGCGATAAAAATTCAAATGGATGGTATGCTTTGAATTTTCTAATGGCTAATTCATTCTTATCGGCGGTAAGAGCCGAATCCTTACCTCTCAGCATGTATTCTAAGCCCTCACCATTCAATGCACTACATATTCAACCTTCATATTCGTGAATTATTTATTTCGGTTATTTCCTAATTTATGACTCAATACAAGGAAATAGCCGATATGGTTTGACTGAATTTCGTTGAAGTTACCCAGGAAATATTTAATAAAATCTGCTTATTTATATATTATCACATTCAAATTCTCTCCAGAAGTTTGATGCCTTTAGAGCGAATGATGCGTGGTAGAGAAAAAGCCAAAGCACCACCTGCAGCTAAAATGCTTGATGCAAATCGTCAGGTAAATTTCACTGCTTTTCGTATTTTTCGTTTTCACTATTTGATTTACATTTGAGATTCAAGATTAATGAATGCATTGTTATAAATTATAAATAATTTAATTGCCACTTTTATAGAAGTTGCCGGAATTAGATCGTATAAGAATTTTCAGAGGACCACAAGCTCCAATGCAAGGAGGTGTCGCAGGTTGTTTTTTAATATTTTATCGCCTTAAGCCATTATTGAAAATTTGGAATAAGCGAAAAATGAAAAAGATCACTTTTTTTTGAAATATTCAGCTTCAGCTAAACTTCGTTTGTTAAGTTCCTTTTTTTGCATTTTACATGTAAATTCTCAATTTTTAGGAGTATACGATCCAAATTATCAAACATTGGCGGGAATTGATGCTGATATTTTTGGAGAAGATAAAAAAAGAGATTTCGGTGGATTTGCAGCAAAAGGTGGACCAATTCAACCTTACCGTGGAGCTGCAGGCATTGCAGGCTAGTACAACTTAACAAATCCATGGATCTCAAAGTTTAGCCAACAATGGCCTTTACTCATCAACATCTTTTATTTTAAGCAAATTAAAGCCTTGTAATAATAGCAATGAATAATAAGTTCCAGATACATATGATCCAAATTATCAGACGCTAGCTGGTTTACCTGATGTTTTTGGTGCAGATAAAAAACAAACAGACGGCTTTATAGCCGGGAGGCCACAGAGATATATGCAAAGAGGTGCATTTGACGATAAAGGGCCGACAGTACCTATGCAAAGGGGTGCTCAAGCTGATATGTACGACCCAAATTATCAGGTATCAGTTTTCAAAAACTGCTTCGAATTTCCAACTTACATGCTTTTTTGCAAAAATTTTGGTTATTTGCATTGGATTATTTTTGGTTCTTACAAATTATATTAAGAAAAATTAGAATGAAAAAGCCAAATTTGCATTTTTTTTTAAAGAACAACAATTTTAAATGGAGGGAATAAAATTGGTTCTAGGAAACAAAACAAAAACTGATATTGCTCTTAAATGGTACTTTCATTTTAAAATTTCATCACATTTCCCTCTAATACGCTTCAAAACATTTCATAGAGATGAATTGTTGTGCAATTGTTTCTTACATTATCGTTATAAGATGCTCAGATCTGCTCCTCCACTTCACCATTCATGCTATATATGAAAAATTTACATTTTATATTTTGTTTCAGACATTAGTTGGCATTCGTGAAGATATCTTTGGTACTGATAAGAAAAGATGGTGAATAAAAAGAATAATAATCAGCACTTCATGAATTATCTGAGATAATGCCATAAATGTTAACTGATAAATGATAAATATTATTTTCAATAATCATATAGATGAAACAAAATATTTATTGAAATAAATTCAAGTCTATTTTGTGAAAATTGGTCAAAATTTGCAAGTTGATTATAAATAACATGGTCGATGGGGTAGAATAGAAAAAGAGTATATTGGACAGGCTAGTATAAAGTGTCATTAGTCAAAAATCCAGGATATTTTTAAATTCTATCTCTATTTTCAACTGACTTGCAGGAGAAGTGCTCAGTAGTCAGTGGAACAAAATAAATAAGACTACAGGAAAAAGGAGAAGTGATAATGTACAAATTTTCCGCAGCAATTCGCAGAAAAACCTAAATAAATTTATATAAACTTTTTGCACCAATAGTAGCAGATGATTACGAATTGTTAATTGCCTATGCCTTTCATAGCCTTAATTATTTGTTTATTCTACAAACATACATCCCAGTTGGAAATGATATATATTATTTATACTATATTTTATTCATATTCATGTATTGGACCTGTTGTATGGGTCATGCAGGTTATATGAGAGGTCAGCGAGGGCCTTAGGTATATTATCTATGATGCAAGTTATCAGGAAAAAAACGTAAAATTTAAGCCTAAATTTAGGAAAATCTATTATTAAAAAAAGATAAAATTTACAGTGTAAAAAAAAAAAAAAAACGAGGATCTATCTGATTCTATTCTAATATTCGTTTAATCATGTTCGTGACAAAGTGACACCTCGAACGTTGGAGTTTCTTTAAAAATTTATTTTTCTGAAGATTTATTTCCCAAGGAAATTTTCATCGAAATGTATCATCTACAAAAAAAAAGAAAATTATTTACAATATTACAAAAAAAAAAATTCATATTTTAAAGGCTAAATTATTTAAAAGCCTAATGGAAACAGTGAATTGAATCACATCATTGCAACTTTTCTAGAAAATAAAACAAAAAGTTTGAAAAATCTTTTAATAGTTCGATAATTGTTCCGCTAAAAGGTATCTAATCGAGCCAAGCTAATTCTAACTAATCCTAATTCTCAATCCTAAATCCTAAAGATTAAATCCTAAAGATCTCAAATCATCTAAAAGAAGTTGGCAACCGCCCTAATAGTTAAAAAATGGGTCGTGGATTATGACATCTTTTTTTTTAATTATTGTACAATATTTTTAATTATTGTATCCTTTTTATTTACTTTTAAAAGATTTTACAAAAAAAATTTTTTTCACATTTAATTTTTATTTATTTAATGTTGATAAATGAGGTAGAAAATGAACATTTAATTATTTTCCATTTCAAAATTTATTTCAATAAGTATTTCATTCGTTAAATTTAGAAGAAAGTACCAAAAAATTAATGCTAATTAATTAACAAGAAGCCAATGCATTTCATAAAATTCCTGACCTATTGTGATTTTTTCTGATAACCTCAGATATCATTATTGTCATCATTATCATTATGATGTTCGTAATTAATAGTGGATAATGAGTACAGTTTTAGGACTAATGCTATCACTATTTTTCTTATTAATTTCAGTCATTTCTTTTAATGGTAATGGTAGCAGCTATTCCTGTCAATTTGGTCGGCTAGGGTGAGGATTTTGGACACAAAAGCAATTGAGCATAAAAACATAGACGACCCTTATAGCCGACCGAGTTTTACTTTCAAGAGGTGAATTTAAATCCATGCTCACCTCAGCCTCAAAAGGCACTATTTAAGCACACAGCATTTTCATTTTTTACCAAATATTTTTTAAATATTTCAATATTTTTTCATCTCTAAAAACTATTTTTATCAGTAAAATCTAAAAAAAACGAATAAAAATCTATTATTTATCAACATGAACGAGCAAAATTTTGTAGATAATAATTATACGGCAAACGAGAAGGGAAATAATTTTCATATGGGGAATTGAAGCTTGGCTAAACATATTCATTGCCATTTTTGGTTTTAATTAGATAGCGAATTCGATGCCGCTAGCGCTCTTCATCGTTTATGCCTCACAACTACGGTAATATTGATATGGTCGGTTGATATGGGTCGATCGCCCAGCCCTTTCGCATCGTGCGACTCGACAGCAATTATTGTTGTCGTCGTTCGTGTATTATCCACACTTGCAGGTAAAAAAAAAAGTTATCTTTATTGTAAAATTTGGCATTCGTTTTAATAAAAATTTTTATTTAAATCAAAAAAAATCAAGTCAAAATTTTTATTAAGCTAATTTTTTTGTTTGAATTTTTAATTAATAACATGGATAGGTCTCATTTAATTATTTTGGTGATTTACTGATAACCTATCAAATTCAATTCCTTTCATTTCCTCAAATATTGTATTTGCACTATATTGCCATATTGGATTTGCGATTGTTTGTTCGACGGTAATTAGAATTGCAACTATTCAGAAACGCTTATTCCTAAATTTTTTTACCTTAAACCAAAACGTCTATCAAAAATAAGGTTACATTAAAATTATCTATTATCACTAGCATATATTATCTTAATTATTTAAAATATTTAAAAAAACAGTTTTACTTCTAAAGAGATTGAAACGCATCCATGTTTTAAATTAATTGTTATATTTTATCATTCTTCATTTATCATTCTTTCGCGAATTTATTGAAAATGCCAAATTAAATTTGAAGTTTCATGATAAATTTATGGCTTTTTATAATAGCAAAATTATCTGCTGTCGTTTATAATGCAAAAATTTATCATAGACATAAAGCATTAAAAAAAACTGCCATCTATCTTAGTTCTCAGCTAATGTAGGTCGATATTTAGAAATAAAAAGGTCTTTTACCATAAAATCCAAAAAATTTCGCTCATTCCGACCGTAATTTTACTTTTTTCTTCTAATAGAGTTCGTTCAATTTTGCTAAACTTTATGATTTTCTAAATATAATTCTGGGTTAAAATATTTTCTATAATATTAAATTATATTCTTCCACTTAATTATAGATAATTTCTAAAAGAAGAAGAAAGGATTTTTCTTTCCATACAATTCCGAAATGGTGAAACCGTTGCTTTTAAAAGGCCAATAGCTAAACTAAGATAATTTATATTAGAAAAGTTTACTCTAAAATTTAACAAATTTAAAATTAAAAAAAAAATTGTGACGAGGACCCCCTGCTAAGGGTCATTGAGTTCACTGCTGCTGATTTATGATGCAATGGGATATGAACAAAGAAAAGCTGAAATTGTTTCCTCTAGATAGATAATAGGCTCGTGAATTCGCCCTCTCGATGTTGCTTTGCGCTTATCTTGTGTTAACTATTATTGAGCGACAAAATAAAGATTTTACGAGGTCGTATTATCTTGAAAATAATGAAGCCACATGTCAGCGGTCTGTAAAAGTAACTTTGCTCTGACTAACATTTCGAAAGATACTGTTTCGGAGATTTTTGCTTAATTTGCTGTATTTTTCAACTGATTTATGGAAAACGAATGAAATTTAGAGGGATATTTATATAAAAACTAAGTTTTGCAGCTTTAAATCGCTTTTATACTTGGGGTTTGGTTAAAATAGGCTGGAATTTTTTTTTATCAAATATTTTGCATGATATACAGATTTTAATAATGATTTAATGAACAAAGAAAGAAAAGTTTTTCCTGAAAAATTTCTTATCCAAGCTGAATGGTAAGGTGGAAGACTGATTATTGCTCGAGTTGTCATCTTGACCGTCAAAGATCGTCCTCCAGCATGAATAATTCCTCATTTAAAATAGGGAGCTGACGATTCATCTATATTTTTATTTCTAAGTGATTTTATTTTTTAGCAAAGATTTCTTAGCGTGCTATTAGTGAAGATTTCGCAACCAGTGAAGCGAGCCTAAGCAAATCATTCACTTATAAGCCAAGTTAGTTTCATTCACTTTATTCTTCTGAATGTTCGGCTAATATTTCTCTCGAATTTCTCTCAGATCAATCAATCTCTCACTAAATTTGACATTTTCGATGATAAATTTATCTATTTGCCAAAATCAAATTCATTAGTGAAAAGCTACTTTAAAATTATTGAATTAAAAAATTATTGTGCGTAATGAAAATTTTTTTATCATTACCGTAAGGAATCTCTAAAATTAACGGAATAATCGGGCAATAAAATTCAATCTAAGCTTAAAAAATATTCTAGCTAGCGACTTCTATTTGACCTCTCGAGTATTTTGAATTTATAAATAAGTCATTAGCATTAAAACGAGCAGCGAAGAGATATTTGTGGCTGATCCGATGATCGCCTAGCATTTCCACCTGCTGGTATCATATGTAATCCTTCTCTCCACTATGCTTGATCGCATCCCTCTCGATTTTTAAACTGTTAATATGCATTAATGTTAATCCTTTCATCATTTTTTTTTTTGCAATAAACTGTTGATTCGTACCATATTTGATTGGATTAATGAGAAAAAGCGATTTCCTGCGATTTTATCACAAATAACTATCAACTCATTTTAGTATTGTTGAAAGCAAAACAAGAATAGCAAATTTTTCAGTTTTTATAAAAAAAGCCCCAATTTCGAATATTTATAATTTTTATATTTTTATGGATTGGCCGTTGTGCCATAGTGCCAAACATAATTTTTATATCTTTTTCAAGGCTCATACAAACATAGCTTTTTTAAATCTCGAAAATATTAAGAATTTTGAAAAATAAAAAGAAATAAATATGCAGAAAAATTGGAATCTACAAAAATCGAATGAAAAAATTTGCTAACAATATTAATCGGAATGGAAATCTTTTTCTCCTCATAACCTCTGAAATTGAGCTGATAGCACTAAATTAAATAAAAAATTTTTCTAAATTAAACTAAAATTTTTCGGAAAGGATGATTTTTCCTCTTTGATTTATGTATATATATATATATATATATATATTATAGCATATATTATAGCGACTTATTACCTTTCTATGCCATTGCTTGTTGGCTCCCTCTGCTGGCTCACCAGACCAAACAAATTTTACCAGGAAGTTGCTTGGCGATGGAAAAATGATGAGTGATGCTTCACTCTTATTTTTGAAGAATATGTTACTCCTTATTCCTTTCTCTCCGTATAATCTCATTAGCGCTTAGGGCTGATCCACTAAGGAATTTCATCCACCTTTACCTTTGCCGACATTGCCTCTCTGTGAAGCGAAATGTCAATTTCGGATTCTAGCCCAAGGCATCCTCGATAACTGGTGGTAATATCATCTCATCATTAAACCATCGACGCATCAGCATTTATCATATAAATTTTCCATTATCATATAAACCAATTCAAGTATATACTTTAATTCTAAGCTAAGCTGGTCATATTCGTTGGGATATTTTCTATGAGAAATCCATGATTTATATATACATATACATATTTATATATACATATTTATATATTTAATGAAAAAATGTTCACTTGTGAATTTAACTAGTATTAAAATTTGAGTTAAGAAAGCCAGCAAAAAAAATCATTTCTCAAATTTGGAGATAAGATTTTCGGAGTGAAGAAGACATTAATCGCAGTGACTTATCACTATTTTTACTAATTAAAAACCATTTTAAGTTTTTATTAACCTAAAGAGGACTAAAAGAATTAGTGAAAAAAATTTATACTTATCCACAATTCAGTTTTCATATTCGTTCATAAATAATAATAACAGTGATAGTGAAAGCATTTTGATGATAATAGTGAAATAATAAAACTTTTCTCATACATTCATCCATTTCGTTCTATTACTTTCTTAAATCATACTGAAAACTGAATTTCCTTCTTCGTCTAGCGGCACTCACTCGCTTTTTCTGGCTCAAGTTTTTATTAGGACAAGGCTAACAACTTTTTGCTAGGAGGTCTTTGAAAAATAGGCAATAAAAGTAATATAGATAGGCCTTTAGCAGCAACTCGAATTCAATCCCTTCAAAGTATTACAAACGGGTCTGCAACTCTGCTTAAATGTAAAGTTTGTTTAATTTCTTTAAGTTGACAAAATTTTTTCTAAAAATTTTACCATTCTATCCAGATAAATTATTTATTACAGAGGTTTAGTCGGATAAATTCGCTATTGATCGTTTTAATCCGTCAGTCGCTCCATTGGAACAATGTTTTACTATTGAATGTATTAAAATTCGCGCAAGAGTAACAAGTGATTATAAGCTTATCGGTTAAATCACTCAATCACAATAAAAGGTAAACCCCGACGATTAGATTCTTGTTGCCACTATATCCTAGAATTATATATGACCGTCTAAATAATATGAATATCAGGCATATCAACCATATTCCATTTGAAATGTTTCCTATTCATTCGAAATCAAACGCATTGCAGCGCTAATGATATATCTGAATTCATTCGATGAAAATAACGATGTTCATCCATTACCTATTAATATTCCGCCAGCGACTCGAATATTTAATGCATCTACACCAGGTATATCCACATTATCGCTTTTATCAACATTTTTACAAGAGTTAAATTCATTGGCAATTATTTAGAACTTCTTTCTTTAGTCTTTGGCATTAACCACTCTTTGCTTGGTTAATTTTGCTGATTGTTATATCGAAATTCTTTAGGATAAAATTGCCGAATAAGAATTATACGAAAATTCTATCATTCCTAATCTTTTATCAATGCGACTATGTCTTTTATCAATGAAGAAGAAAACCTGAGGCACGAATTATTAAAAATCATTAATTAAAAATGATTAATAGTTTATGAAACCACACTTTATTTTAAAAGATCTTTAGAATCACCGAACAACCGTCTTTAAAAATCACTACGAAACAAATATCATTGTTACCTTAAGCACCAAAAATCACCAGTTAACTTTTTTGAACCATCAGATATAATCTGCAATAAAGAACATAAATCACCAATAAATAAATTCACCAATGATCAACTATAGTTTTATGAGCTCATCATTATGAGCTATGATAGCCGGCGGACCCATTTTTCTGTTTCAATTTTTTGAACAATTATAAGTTTTTTCACCATATTTCTGTGGAATTTTAATAATTTCTTTACGACGATTTAATTTCTTATTAAATATTAGAATCATAATTAATTTAAGGATCGTTTAAGAGTAAATGCTAAAATTCTTCTTTGTTCATCAAATTTTTCTTATTGCTATTTTAAATGCTATTATGGTATTAAAATAAAAATATCCCGCTATAGGAAGGTGCACATCATGTCTTCAGCCAATCGCGGATCAGTATTTCTTAATGATTGGTGATCTTTGTTGGCATTCAAATTGTCTTCGTTGCTGTGATTGTCAATGCACACTTCAAGCACAAACTTCTTGTTTTTACAAAGATGGACTTGTCTTTTGTCGCGAAGATTACGTTTTGTAACGATTATCTTAAATTTTTATCCAAATTTAATGTGTGATTAGCCAGAGAATAACGAAAAATTTCCATTATTTCGCCTTTTTCTTTCAAAAATCTCCTTTAAGAGTGGTCAAATTTTTTGAATTGAACCTTAAAATTTAGGAAATTTTCGAAAAGATGCGGTCGATGTAGTTCAATACTCGCATGCACAGACGTCGTCATGCGAGCACGTGATGTTGCTTTTCATCTTCAGTGCTTTACTTGTATAATTTGTTCTATTCCTTTGCGGCCAGGAGAGATTTTCGCGATGTGTGAGAATAAAAATCTATATTGTCAAGGTTATACAAATTTGAAAATGAATCTACGATCAATTTGTTGTTGTCGATAAATTTATCTAAAAATTTGTGAAAATCAACACTTTCTGCAGTATTTAATAATTGCAGTCCTATTTTCCATAAATAATTTTCCGTTTAAAATAGACAGTAAAATAGATTTGTGAAAAATTACATTGGAATTGGAATTTACAAGTTAGGTTTCAATTTCATCTAAAATTTTTAGAACATTATGCTTCACTCTTAAATGCAAATTGCACCAATTCGCTCGATGACTTAAATTCTGATATGAAATATATTAAAACCAAACAACGCTACCGGAAAAGGCGAAAATCCATAGATGAAAAGGATCAGAGAAATGTCAAAGGTTATACGAATGTTATCAAAGCAAATTGTATCTTTTCACTATTTGAACTATCATTTAACCTTTGAGCTGATCAAATGTATAGATTTACTTTCTTATACGTAAAGTTGAGCATATAAAGCAAAGATGTGAGGACAGGACAGCTTAACTTTGCTAGATAGTTCGAACATAAATATTTTCGGACCCTACTCTCCGCAGCTTTTTTTTTAAGAGTTATTGGTTAAACTCATTCCGCTGGCTTGTCACATTGGACAAATATGCCAGGGAGTCCCTTGGCAATAGAAATATAGATGAATCGTCAGCATCACTCGGATTTTTGGACAAGTTTACTTTTATGGGGAATAGAACCTCAGCATCGACGCTACCTATTCTCCGCAGTAAGTAAATCGATTGAAAAATTTGCGATATACTGGAGACAAACCCTTTTTTGCTTTTCTTTAAATGAGTAGCAAAAATTTTAAATCATATTAAAAACAGATCGGATGAGCCTGACCAGAATAACAACCAAACATTTTATTTTACTCACATAAAAGGCATAGAATATGAGAAAATACCGTTGATCTTTCTGTAGAAACTACTTGCACCGTCTCCAGCGACCAGAATAAATCTGGCTTAAATCTGGTTTTGTCTCAAAGAAAAACTTATTTTTAATATAGATTTTGCCATTAATGAATTATTTGCTGTTCAACTTGGAACCGTTTTTCTCAAACAAAAACATTGATTTAAATAAAAAATAGCTTTTTTCCTTGTTTTCTAAAATTTGTAAGCGTTTAACCAACAAATTCATAATTCAAAGAATTTATAAAAACATTTATTTTTTTCTAATTTCAAAAGATTTTTTTAAACTATTAATTCAGCTATTCTCATGAAAAAACATATTATTGACATATTATTTGCTTATTATATTATAAAAAAAAAAAATTTTGTGGAAATCTGAATTTTCGAACTTCGCCAATTATAGAAAACTTTCAGTATTCAGAAATATTTAAATTACTTCTATACGGATGGAACTTTCCTATTTCGCTAGAGAACTTCCATGTGTCCGTCTAAAAATATCCAAAAATACTGGCATTAAAGCTCAGATTTTGCACAGTCTCCTCGTTTCAAGTTATTTCTCTGCGAACGCATATATGTTTGCAGCCTTTTCATTGTCATACGATAGATAGATAGACGCAGTGGTCGACTCATTCCTACAGTAGTCTTTCACTAATTGGACGACAAACATTTGCATTTGACTTTTTATCGACATTTTTCCGTTGTAAATTTACTCAATCTATTCATTTATTCCGTCATTAATCTCAAATTTAGTCATAAAAATCCTTTTTCAAATCCTTAAAACTCTTTTATATTTCTTTTATTTTTTATAAGGATAATTATCGCATATAAAAACGAAATATTTTTATAAAATTTCAAAAAGCTAAAATGGTTTAAAATTGCGAAATTTCCTTCCCTAAATTAATTTTGCATGATAAGCAATTATCATTATTCTCGCATCGGTGAACTCCAATAAACTTTTGTAATTCGCTCAATAAAAAGTCTCTGGGATCAGCGATTTTCAAATTCTTTCCGCTCAGAATCCTTTAATATTCTTCGTATATTTGGCATACATTTGTCGATATTTACCGTAATAAAAATTAGAAATTGGAAAAAAATATAAAAAAAATATTTTTTGTTTAGAAATAATGATAATTAATATACTAAGGAAAATATTTTCTTTAAAATTAAAAATGAATGTATCTTTTAAAACCAAAAAAAAATTGGTGAGAAGACCGCTTTTGGTGGGTTTTCGCTGTAAATGGTACTAAATAAATATTTTTAATCGAATTGTTGAATTTTTTTAATGAATGAAATCTGAAGATGAGCCGAGAAGTGTACTGAAGAATTCTTCAGGCCAAATCTTGCTTCGTCAGAAAATCTTCTAACCCCTTTCATTTAAACATTTTCAATATTTGATTATTGCAAGAAAAAAGTTCTTTAAAATTTTTCCTAAAAAAAGAAATTAAGCTGAATAACTGAATGTTCAAGTTAATCGCTAAAAATAGTTTCAGCATGTTGTGAAGATGAAGGAATCTCTCAGTCTAATAGGTCAAAGCGAATGCGCACCAGTTTCAAGCATCATCAATTGAGGACGATGAAAAGCTATTTCAATTTAAATCACAATCCGGATGCAAAAGATCTCAAACAACTTTCGCAACGAACTGGACTTTCAAAGCGAGTTTTACAAGTAATTTTTTATCTATATATATTGTATCAAGTCGTGTAACAGACGACTGCTTTCCTCTATTAAGAGCGCTTTTCATTCCTCGTTTGGATGACTGCTCGCTTATGGATTGGCAGGATGAGATCTCTTCGTCAGAAAATTGTTTGGAGATGGAAACATCAGGAGACTTCATTTTAGCGACAGCTTTCATTCTCAGAAGCGATAAAAACTAGAGATATAAGATATTTATTCTGTCTAAGAGATATATTATCGAGATCTTATGTTGAATTTAAGAGTGAATATGGAGAGGTAGTCACCATTTCTTGTTAGGCATATTTAGCCATAGCCATTTGGAAAGACATACAGGTGAGTACTTTCATGAAGAATTTATTCCTGTCAAGAGTGGGAAAGGAGTGTCAAACTACGATATTTGGAGCCATTATGGAAGCCCTTTATACCCTTTCCCTTACCGTTTCGGTACCCTTTCGTTTAAAAATGTATTAGATTAATTTGCGTAGAACAGCTATAATTATAATTTTTTAAAAAAGCCACTGATTTTCTTTCATCCAATGTAAGAATGATTTTCCTTCATTTTTTTTACCATATAAATGGTTACCGTATAGGCCCTAAACCTCCCAATGTATGCAATTTTAATTAAGCTAATTCAATTGAGAGAAGAAAATATATCGTTATTTTCGGTTTCTATCACATCAGTTAAAATCTGCCCATTTTTATTTCAAGAAGACGAATTACTGCACCATGACTGAACCAACCCTACCGTCTTAAATTTCAACTTTAGATATTCTATATTAGAAATTGTATAATAATATGAGACGATAATGCAGCAATATGCGTACTTTCTTTGTTAGCTGAATGTACAATATTTCCTTCTTTAAAAAAAAAGAAAAAAAAAAGCCATTTCAGGTATGGTTCCAAAATGCAAGAGCGAAATTCCGACGCAATAATACTCGAAATCGAGATTTAGCCAGTGTTTCACCACGCGGTAATCAAATCAACGATATTCAAGCCACTAGCGAACAGGTAGAATATTTTTTAAAAATTTTCTGGAGCAATTAATTTACAACTTACTATTTCAAATGCCTCCCACTTTAAAAACTTCTTTCGCACCCAACTCCTTAGGTAACGAATTTATCAAAAATCATCAATACAATTCAGATATAACGATTTGAAAAGCGAATAATCTATTAAAAGAATCATCGAAAACCTTTTAAGAGATTAAGTTCCACTAATGGTTCGATTGGAGATTCGATAACAATAAGTCCAGATGGTAGCCAAAAAAACGACAGTTTCGGTCCTTTAAATGGCAATTTGGACAATTCTAGATGCTGCGAAATGAAATCTGAACAGTCTTGTATAAATGAATCACCTGATAAAACCTTAGCTTCTTACTTCGAATCTGAACCAAATTTATTATGATTACTATTCATTTAAAGATAAATTATGGAAAATGCGACGAGAACAGAAGCCAGAATGAATACTTACAAACGAATTTTAACTGATAAATCAAGCCCATTACACTTGCTGATATTCGCTCTTTCTTATTGTTCTGTATAAATTTCACTTTTTTATTTAAATTTTTATCGAAAAAAATAATTTATCATAAAATGCTTCAAGAAAAAGAAAAAAAACCATAAAAAAGAAAGTGGAAATGCAACAAAATATAATAAAATAAAATATCAACAATAAAATAAAATGAGATAAAAAATAGATAATACGAATGGCTAAACTTATGAATTTGATAAAAAAAAAAGCTGATAAAAAAAATCCTACGTGTCGAATGAAAAGCCATCGATTGAGCAGTTTGTAAATTTGTATACGGCATACTTATCAGTTAAATATCAAAATCTATAAAAATGATTTCTTCAAAAAAATATGAAAACAAAACAATAATTTGTTTCCATCAGTGTAGAAACTGTTAAACATTCGCTTTCGTTATGGAAGTAACCTACCAAACTCCTTTCTTTTTTTTTAATATTTCTTTATTTATTCTCTTATTTATAATGGGTTTTCTTTTTAAAGGCATAGGCCAAAATTTTCCATGAATTATTGCAATGTATTTAAATTATGATAAATTTCACCAATCCGTGCGATAATAAATGTAAAGGAGCGAAGAGAAGAGAATACGAGAAGAGTTCTGATGGAATTTAACAAGAGTTAGAAGATAAAAAAGTATACAGCATCAAGGCAAAGAAGTACAAAGGGCAATTTAACAATTTAACAATTTGAGATGATATTAAAAGGTAAGGGCAAGTAAAAGGAAGATATTTAGCAAGTAGAATGGAGGTTAGTTCTCATTCTAAAAATGAAATTGTAAAATGAGGCAAAATATTAATAAATATTAACGCTACAGGCTAAAATCTTTCTGCAAAATTACATTCAGCATATTTGAGTTCGAATTTTCACCAATTCACCAATTCGCACCGATCCTAGTTTAGCTGGTTCCATTTCTTACTAGGAAATACGTTGATAAATTAAAGACATCAATTTATTTTAATCAAAAACATTTTATCATTCACGAAGCATGTAAAATCGTAAGGCAATTAAAATCAATCAAATCTATTAAAAGTGATAAATTAAAGTGACTAAAATTTGGGTCCTTCAAGACTTTTATAATAATAAATACTTATAAGACTTTTTTTTTAACATATAATATTTGTATGTCGCGTTTATCTTTTTATTTTTTAGTGTCGAGCCTTTATTTTGAAAATTTCTTTAAATATTTAAAATGAAAATTCTAGCCTTCAGCAAGATTTTTTGAGGTGCTTTTTTTTCACGTTTTATGAACAAAAAATTATAAGATTCATAAGAGTAAAAAATTAAGAAACTTAAATCGAACTATTAGAAAACAAGAAAAAACTTTTATCTATACGAACAAATAAATGAAAATGGTTCAAGAAAAATAAGCAAGATAGGTACCCAACAAAAAAATTAACTGCTAATGGTGTATTATGTAAAAAGGCACCTTTTTCTTTTTTTCGTTAGAATATATAAGAAAGATCAAAGTAACCGCAAATTAAAAATTATACACTTTGAAGACTTCTTAATCAAAATTTTCTAAGATCATTTTTTTACTCCAATTCGAAGTTAGCCATAATTCACCATCTATCAATTTATTTTAATCAAAAACATTTTATCATTCACGAATCATGTAAAATCGTAGGCCAATTAAAATAAATCAAATCTATCCTGAAAACAACATTATTAAATAAGTAAAAAACTAAAAATTTAGTTTTTGCTGAGGAATGTATTATCCGTTTTTTCTCACAGCAATAAAATATTCGCTAATATAATATATTATAAAAAAAATTTTTGAAATAATAAGAACCTCTAAAGAATGCAAAATTTTTTATAAAAATGCAAACCAAAAAAACTATACCCTAGCACGAGTTCTATTTTTGTTTCTTTTTTTTCGCCACCATTTATAAAAGCAACAAACAGGTGTGAAAATACAGACTAAACAGCAGGTAAATGCAACAGCAAGTATGAAGACAAATGTAATTAGGAGAATCCTGAAATTATATATACACAATGATTACATAAGAACTTTATATAAAATAAATTATATTTTATTTATATAATTATTCATATTAAAAAGAGAATATAAAAAAATCACATAAATCACATAAAATCACATAAAATTTCCAGTTAATTGCTTAATTATGTTCTTAATATTGTTAATATTGTTAAAATTAGCCAAGCTCAAGCCTTAAAGATGATAATCAGTTATCAGAATGAAAGGATGAAACAATAGTTTTTCATAATAATTTTGTTGATTACTATTAAATTTACTATTAAATTTTACTATTAAATCCCAAGGATTTATTTACTCTCACTTTATCCATAGCATCCATTTGGCTAAGCCTGTTGATTTAAAAAGTTATTTATAGACAAAACTGCACCATCCGTATTTCACATTTACTTGTAATTATAGGTTTATTCACAACAGACTAAAAGACAAGAACTAATCCAAGGGTCAACCAACCGTCAATGCTCAAATAATTTAATAATGAATCAGGAATTTAATTCATTGCTAATTGTTAAGAACGAGCTTGAGAGAAATTACTGACGCTACTAAGCCAGGCGCACATGCAACCATTGGTGATTTTGAATCATTGCAATGATCAACAAGATAACAGGAAAACCGACAACCATTTTGACACTCTTTCAAATTCGAATAACATGTTACCGATATACCCGAAATCGAACTTCCACCATCTTTTTTTTCACAAAATCCGAAATGAAAAAGTACTAAAATAAACAATTAAAATAAAAACAAAAATTGGAAAAAATGATTTGTTATACTTTGGTTCCTCGTTCAATCGGAAGCCTATGGCCAAAAAATCCGAGTAATACTGAGGATGCACCTGTGGTACAAACAAGTGATTACCCTAATAAAACTTTCTTTTCTTATCTAACTAATGAAAGGATGGCTCAATGGGTTATTACTCAATTGGGAGCGCCGAAGTTGAGGTTCGATTCCCCTCAGGAGTAAATATATATGTACAAAAATCTGGATGATGCTGGCGACTCACCTGTACTTCAATCCCCAAGGGACTCCCTGGCATATTGCCCAATGCGACAAGCCAGTGGAGCGAGTTTAACCAGTGATGGTGAGGACTCTCAAAAAAAATAAAAATATTAGTCCTGGAGAATGTTAATCATTTCCGTTTATATTTTTAAATTTTTAAATTTAACTTTGATTCTCTTATTTTTCAATTCTCATAGAAATTTTAATCTATGTATCTTAATAAATTATTTCATAAAATTATTTCCAAAATTATTGATCTTGAAATTTCTCCTTAATGCCGATTGTTGCCTGGCAGCAGAAATCGGAGTAATTTGTGGCAGCTTAAATGACCATCTAAAGCATTTTGTTTCTAAAAAGAAAAAATTCTTTAGCATAAAGGTAAATAAGTATTCGTTTTATTTTTTGCTCCTAAACTGTTTAAACTGTTGTTTCTTTTTGTTCCAAGAGATTTTATATTTTATAAAGAGATTTCTGGTTTGCTTCAGACCCACCCGTTCGTTAGTGAGTCGAGAAAAAGAAGTGCAGCTAAGTCTCCATCGTTTCCAGCAAATTCCGTCTTACAAAAGATTTTCTTCTCTAGTATTTCTAAGGTGTCACAACTTTTGTCTCGGAGCGTCCAAAGGCTTATCGGGCTAGATGAAACTCGCCAGGCAGTCACCTGGCCAAAGAAGCACACTCGGGATTTTTGAAAACAGGTTTTCGGCTACAAGGAGTTGAACGCCAGCACCCGTGCTCTGCGCTAGCGACAAACCACTCAGCGATTCTATCACCAATTAAAAAACTAAGAATCGATTCATAAGAAGGAAAATATTAGTGGAAAAGAAAAATTATAAAAGAATTGCAAGGAAAAGAATTATTTAAAAAATAATACCATAAAAAATTAAGAACCGTTGAAATTTATCGCTCGTAAAGAATTCCATCAAATAAAATAGCAATAAGAAAAAATTAACTCATTTTAAGCAAAAACACCGCCACCCATTTTCCCACTCTGTTCACTTCATATCATATCACAAAAATACAGTATATGAAAACTCACTTTAGGATTAAAATTTCAATTTCTTATCCGATATTACAGCTCAAAAACATGGCCTGGATAGCATTTGATTTTTTTTGTTTATTTTATTTTATTTATATTTTTATATATATTTTATTTATATTTTATATTTTTCTATTATTTTTAGAATTCCGAATTTTTTCAATCAAGAAATTTTTTAAATTTATAAAATAGTACATTATTGCAGTATATTACATTATCTTCGAGAGCTGCAAGAAGGAAATGATAAGGAAATGATAAACAAAAATGGAGAAGCCTACGGCACGCAAGGCTATTACTTGCCATAAATCACAAATATTACAAGCGAATTTGCATTACATTGCATGCCATGCAATGTTTAGTCAACGATTTTCGTTACGGTAATGGAAAAGAAAACTTAGATATTGCAGCACATTGGGAAGAGAATTTATACTGATAGCCGATTCAGCAATCGAATACTTAATAATATACTTAATAATAAACAATAATTTAAAAAATGCCTTTTTCAAATTATTTCACATTCCAGTTTGATATTAATAAAGCAAAGACTGCATGTTTTAGCCTTATCAGTGATCTATTATCAGTGAACTCTTCTCAATATCATAATTTTATCCAATATTTTATTCGACTTCCCTCTACATTTGTATTACATTTGTATTGTATTTTGTATTATCAAATCACCTAAAAGACTGGAAATAATGAAATCTATTGCTGCGATCGCAAAAATTATTTCAATAGAAAGCGTTTGAAATTTGCAAATAACCGAGATTACCTAATTATCTAATAAGAGCAAAGAAAAGTTTCCTAGTCTTTTCCAAATTCGAGATTCGCTTTTGCAGATTTTCACTAAATAAATATGCCAAATACATTGAAAAATATTTATTTTGGCAATCAAATGGGATTATCGTAAAATTAATTCCACTACAAAATGAATGGTTAATTTTTTTTTCTTCAACGTTCAGCAAAAAAAAGGAACTAAATTGCATGGGGGCTGATGATAGTGCTTGGCACCGTGTATGCGATGCATGTTGTCAGATAAGTGGAATGACCAGTGCATAATAAATGAAGATCGCAATTTTCAGTATAAGCCTATTTCATCTTTAAAAAAAGGATTTTAAAAATGTGAATTAAATAATGTCAATAAGTAGCGTAAATAACTACGAATGTCATCCTAAAAGGCAAGGATAACCGAGCGAGTATTGTTTCAGATTATGGTGAATGTCGGGGACGAGGAGTTGGCTTCTGCCTTGTAGTTCAGGATGTTGTACAGGAGTAAGTCATAAAATAGGTATGGTGCCGATGATATGATACAAATTTTCTGACTCTAGAGAAAACCAGCGAGGCTTAACCAAATAGAAATGTTAAACTAACGAACTCTTTCTTTTGTTATTCTGCATTTCTTCTAAAAGTACGATGGTGCTTATTCGCTGAAGAGCCATCTAGAATGAACAAATGGGTCTCTAGCACTACTCAGATTTCACTTTAATGAACTCTAACATGCGTACCCCTGTCAAGGGATCGAAAATGAAATGACGGCATGACTATAGTTCAAACGACTCGATTCTGTTCATGTTACACTAAGGTGAGCGATTTCTCCTATATCCATCTTCCCATTATTCCTCCAACTCCTCCTCCCTTCGGCTGTTTTCCTTATGTTCAATAATTTCATTAATAATTTGTTGCAAAAATTAATTTAAATGGATGTTCCATAAAAACTTTCTGAATTAATGAACATTTCGAAATGCACTTTGTTAGATTATTGTAATCCGCAGTTGGTGACAACTGATAATTCCATGCTTATAATATACTTTTTTTGAATATAGGACGACTTTTTGTGCATTGGCAGTAATAATATGTCGATTCATGAAACAAACAATTGGCACGAAACTGGAATATTAAAGATGCTAACAGGCATATGGTAATTTGGTTTAAAAGCTCGTCTTCCTACAGCTGAACCAGCAGTTTCCATTAAGCTGTTAAAGTGAACGGTCGAATAATGTTTGCCTTACTTCTTCTTTTTTTGGCCTTCGATTTATCCTTACAACAGCAGCAGGTTGCTGACTTGAACCTTCTCGCCGAACTGGATCGAATTGTACAAAATAATGCAACTGGAATCTCAGGTGGTAATAATAATAATAACCGATTAAACCGATTCTGATAATATAAAAGCTTCCATCGATCCAATATATTTCTTTTAACAAAATCCACCATTTTTGATTTTGCCTACTTCTTTGACGGTTTGAATTGCCTCCGTCCGTGGCGTTCACTTGAAAAGAGAAGTACATGTGGTTCTTTAGCATCGCTGGAATATGCATGCATTTCCATAAAAAATTGACTAAAATGAAAAAATATATATTTATTTATTCTTATCAAAATTTTATTTCTAAACTGGATATAAAATAATTTTAATGTAATTTTGCAGTTTGTTCCACTGATAATGAATGCAGAGTATTTGAATATTGTTCGTTTAATCGCTGTGTATCGGATACGAGGAGTATGTTATATTTTTATTTATTTATTTCCACTCATTTAATACATAAAAACTATTTAACTATTAAGATTGCCCGGGTGGTACTTGTCCAATGGGAACAGTTTGTATCGGCAATCAGTGTATTCGGGATCCAATAATAGCGACGACACCGTTGACAGCGCAAGTACAAAGAAGTAATTAATTAATTAATTAATTAATGTTCAATGAATGGTTTTTCTATGCATTCAATCCTTTTCATTGCATAACCAAGATTTCTAAGAAAAATATCATCTATCGGTTATTAAAGCAAAATCCCAGTTCAATAAGAAAAGTGACACAAGCGAGTCCCTAGCATCATCCAGGTTCCATTGTAAATAAATTGAGTCTCCCATCAAGATAGCTCATAAAGCCAATCTTGGCCAATATGAATACAGTAAGTCCAAATTAAAACTATGAAGGATTTTATTTCTCTGATGCGAAATAAGGCAATTTAAGACAACTTTATTTAGAATGCCCTCATCAGTGGATATTTAATCAACAATTCAACGCATGCTATTTTGTCGTAAGTTTCTTGAATTGAATTATTCTTCAAAATCTCTGCCACTCATTCAAAATTTAACATCAGGGTCGTGGGCCATACAGCTACGAAGGAGCTAATACTGAATGCACAGCTCGTGGTGGACATGTCGCATCTGTGCATTCAATGGAAGAAATGAACTTTATAAACAGTCAGTTTCGAATATCTTTGCCATAGTAGCTTATATAGTAAATTCGAAAAAAAATGAAACTAGAGAAGATATTCAAAATTTGTAAAAATTGCCCGTAGAAATTGGTTCCCAGTCATTCATATTAATCGATAGCTCTAGCTCTTAGTTCGCAAGGATCTCAGTAAAGTTTAATTAGCTTAAATTAATAAGTTCATAAGTTTGCTGTGATTCAGATCTTGTTGGTAGCGGCGCATACTGGATTGGACTTCGCAAAAGCGGTAGTTTCTTTCCGAGTTTCACATGGGAAGATGGAAGCCCAGTTGATTTCAAAAATTTCCGAAAGAGCCAACCGGACAATTGTTGTGGAGTTGGTGCCGAATGCACGCTAGTAAATTACGTTGGCAATAAGGGTGAATGGGATGACGCTAGTTGCAATAAACTGTGGCGTAATCCAACAAATATCGTTTGTAAGAGAGCACCGCAATGAAAAATTAATCAAAAATGGTGTTTTGGTTTATTTCTTGGTGAAAAATATACAAAATAAACTTATTTATAAACCAATTTTTCTAATTCTTTTCAATGTTTTCGATTTAATTGAAAATAAAATTTTGAAATTATCTCTTGAACGTCAAATATTGCCGGCTTAAAGACAATTATATTAGTTGATTAGTTAATGATAATTTTCGCCATTTCTAGTCGGACTTGCTCTACTGGCTGGAATAAGTATTTACGCCATGAAGATGCTTGAAGATAAAACCGCAAATCCCTAATGTCGCTCGAATTTTATAATGACTTTACTTCTTAATTGATGCTTAATTGATAATTATCTCATTGGACAATTCCAAAAGCGTAAAATTATGGTAAAAATACTCATCGAAATATCAATTATAAAAATTAAATAAATTTTAAAATTAACAAAGAAAAACAATTTATTACAAAAAACGAAAAAACTCTATTTTCAGCAAGAACATGTGCAGCATTTGCTTCAGTGCGTTTTCACCAAGATTGGTGCATGGACAGTAAGTTGGATGTCGAACCGTTCAGCATAAACAAAACAAGAAATTTTGCGGAACTTGAATTGTTCTTCTTCTTCTAATAGCTCTTACCATTACTGGCTAGGCTGGCTCCAACGGCTACAATAGTAAGACGCCATCCATCACGGTCTAGCAAGTAACGGATATGCGTCAACTCTTGTCAATGGACGATGAAGAACGTACCCTAACCAGCAAAAGCGACGCTGTGTGATAATATTATTTATGCAAGTGGTATTTGAACGAAGGTGGATGTGATCATATAATATCTTATTCGCTCGACGGATCCGTAAAATGTACCTTAGACAAGAGTGGTCAAAAACAGATAACTTTTTAATATCCTCCACTCTCATTGGCCATGTCTCAGAGCCATTATAGCAAGATCGAACGGATCAACGGATCACGGCAGTATAGATGCGGACTTTCCTTTTTATGGTAAATTGATGACGGCTCCATAAAAGTTTCGTTAACCGGAAGAACGCTGCCATGATCCAGGTTATCGTATTTTGCCTGTCCGTTTGGTATTAGAGTGGACCTAAGGTATTTAATCGGGCAGTTTCTTGACTGGCAATGAATTTACAAAAAGAGGCATTTTATCAGCTTCTTGCACATAAAACAAAAAGACTAAAAGGAACTTCAATTGTTAAAATCATCTCTACCGAAAGGTACAAGATCATAAATGGTGGAGACTGGAATGCGCATATAGACCACAATGCCGCCATGACGAACTCAATAATTGGCAAATATGGCATACGGGTCCAGTGCGCTAATGGAGAAGGCCTTCATCCCAGAACACCATAAATATTGACTTTTTATTATTGACATCGAAGAAGATCACTTGGAACTCCACAAATAACCAACACTTCAACCAGATTAGTTATATCTCAGCCATCGTTGGAAGAATTCCTTACTAGTCGTTCAATTGACAGAGAGAATTGCAGAGCTTTGGAAGATGATGGAACGCAACAGTGTTCCAGAGAACATCATTGACTCATAAATATGCTCATTTCTAATATGCTCATAAAGGTATTTTATGAGCATATTAGAAATATTTTCTTCCGATTGATGAAGCTTTTATAGACTCTTCGTGAAATCACTATAAAAATAAGTTTGCGTCTATGTAGTCGTAGTTCGCTCGATCTAGCTATTGCTGCGAAACCTGGCCATTGAAAGTGAAAAATATTTAGAGCTATCTGCTTTTCTCTCCTGATGTCAAAGATATGAAATCTTACGAGCAACCAAGACCAGAACTGATACAATCAGAAAAGGTTTCGAACATATAGGGGGACCAGCGATATATGGATTTAGACGATAGAAAAAGGAATGGCTTCTATTACTACTAGCGATGGCGCCGGACCGAGCAAATTTGAGACGTCTTACCCTTATTAGCCAGCTGAGGCAGCCTAATCAGTACTGGTGAAAGCCGTTAGAAGAAGAAGATATAGGTGCACATTGCAGAAATAATATTGCGTGGATTTTTTTTGCTAAATCCGTGTACAATTTTTCCGTACATTCGTAATTCTAAAGGATGCAGTGTGTGCTTTGTCGAGCCAGAAAATTAATCTACGGATTAATCTAACTACCTTCTTAGGTGAAATCATCTTTTATAATTATGCTGGCAATTGCTAATTGCAATTTTGTAGATCGCTATGCTTTATCACTAAATCTTATCAATCACAATCATAACGTTAAAGAATACAACAGAAAAGATAGATGCGATATTCATCCACAGCAAATATTCCTTGCATTTCGAAAAAGATTTTAATTTAGAAGGACAAGGAAATGTTATATTTTCAGCAAGATAAATGAATGTGTAACTAAATGTACGAGATATCACAATGTTTACTAAAATTCAAAACCTTCTACAAATTATCTATTTCCCTTTTTAAATGATCATAAATAATTATGAATCAATAGGGTCAATGATAGGTCAAAAAGTAATATTGGTACATCGGCCATGAAAAGTGAGGAATAAGGGAATTCCTCGAAATTCCCTTTTATTTAGCTAAATTTTCTCTTGATTTTAAAAAAAATTAACCTTTGCTAGCATAAAAAAATATGCAAAATATGTTCATATTAATTATAAACAATACATCAAAATTTGTATCCGAAAGTGCTAAAAGATAGGTCTGAAGAGGATGAAAAAAGAATAAAATAAAATTGAATAAAATAAAATAAAATTGTTGAAATGCGAAAAAAACGTTTTACGATCTGAAAATGAAAAAACAATCATAAAAATTATTCACACTACTAAAAATGTAAATAATAAAAATAGGCAAAATAAGAATGAATAAAAAAATACCTATCATTAGGCCTATTTTCAAGACTTATCTGAATAATCTTTTCTAAACTGCAATTTTTATAACAACAAACGCCGCTAACAATTTAAAAACCAATACAATTTTGTAACAACAAAGATATAGAATAACCAAAAAGCGATCGAAAACCGAACAAGAGAACCATAAAAAGTCATCACATAAATTTCTCTTCAAATGTTATTTTATTACTATTTAGAAAAAAGAATTTATCGAAAACGTAATAACCTAATAATTACAATATTTACACTTACCCATCTGATGAATTACGTCTAATACTCTTCCAATATCAAAAAATTCGTTAATTTATTTATCATAATATTCAATTAGTTTAATATAAAAAAAGAAAAAAAAAATCGAATCTAAATGACCCACAACCTATAAAACTAAAATAAACAACTGCGTAATAATTCCATGTTCTAAACTTTATTCAACTGAATAAATAATTCTATTATCTAATTCTATAAATAATTCTATAAAAATCAAATATTTAGAAAAAAAATCTAGAAATGGAAAGGACTCCGAAATTTGCCGAATTATCCTTTCACAACTTCGTCATTTAAAGAAGATTGTCCTCCATACGCGCAGAATTTTTCAAATATCATTGAAGAAAACTGAATTAAAATATTTTCAATCAATCCAGGTGCAGATGGATTGGCTTTATTCATGAAAGCAATGTGTCCACCATGTTGGGTAATAGCTACCGCTACATTTTTATAATTAATTATATTATCGACTGGTATCGCTGAAATAACTAATACATATGAAAAACCTTTGCGCCACTATAAATAAAAATACGCAAACTGATGAAAATATAAATAAAAAGTGCTAATGTAAAAAATGACTTAAAAATGCCTTTTCTATTAAATAGCCTTCATTATTTCTATTTCTTCCGTTAAAATTAAAACAGTACATTTTAGCGGACTAAAACAATCGTCAGCCGCATTTAAACAAAGAGTTGGTATAGGAATTCGATCAATCTTCCGATCCATGGCAGCTTTATCATAATATTCATTCGCATTCTTATACTGAAAAGTTGGAGCAGTGAATGATTCGTCATATTCGCGAATAGTTTTTGCTGACATAACTCGATCCCAATCACAATATTTCTCAAACAAATATTTATATCTAAAATAAAATACGATGAAAATTTGAATTAAAAGAAAAAAAATGATTCATTTAGACTTATAAAACTGCATCAAAAATAAAAAACTGGAATCCGGGAAAATTTATATTTTAACTTTCGCTAATAATCTCTGATGGAAATTTAGTATATCCTTCAGCATCAGGCAGTATTCTGACCATTAAAAAACACAAGTATTTTCACGCTACTTTTTGATATTATTGCAATTATACTATTATACTTGTATTATATAATAATTATATTTGTTTTTTATGACTACAAAATTAATGATTTAAATGCAAAATTGGAAAAAATTCAAAATCAAACAGAATGTTTAAAAAAATTTAAAAATTCCACTATAGTCTATGGAATGAGCCAAAAATAGAAAAAAAAAACATTTGAAAAAGTGATATTGTCTGCATTTAGTCAAGAACGTTTTATTGTCATTAATATTCATTTAGTTTCATTTAAAAACAATGAAAATTGCAAATACCAGGCTAAAAAATAAAAATAAATGGAATACAAAATACATACGGTTTTACAACGGCTTTAAGGTTCTCCACAATTCGGGAATTGAAGATTAATCGAGGGAAGAATCGCTCAAGTGATGTTAGTGAATCATTTGGATTGAATGGGCTTGAAATACATAATGCTGCATTCAATCCAGATTCACTGCCAGAATTGCATTCGGATAAATAATTCCATAAAATAATCCTGAAATAATCCTTTAATATTTTACCGACTATGTGATGCTGGCGATTCACCTGTATTTCTATCGCTAAGAACTCCCTGGCATATCTATTTAGTCTGACAAACCAGCGAAGTGAGGGTAACAAATAATGGTGAGTGCTTTTAAAAAAAAATATTTCATCGTACCCTATTAAAAAGCAAAAAAAAAAAATATTTGAATACATGGATATTGGTAGAATTAACAAAATTTTGAATTATTCAAAAATGATAATAAAAATTCAATATAATAATAATAATAAAATAAATTTAAGAATTCACCCTCCCATTGAAAAACCGCAAGCGATCTTTGGAGCTTCTGGAAATCGCTGACAGATTAAACGCATAATATAATGAAGATCCGAAGTATAAGCTGCATTGTAAGTTCGAAAGGTCTAAAATTTTAACTTTTGATGATTTCAATTTTCAAAAAATTTCAAAAAATATTTATAAACAATGCAAAAGAACGGACTAACAATTTAAACGGACCATTCGCTTAAATATTTTAATCATTATTCATTGTTAGACAAAATAACAAAAAAAAAGTTACTATTAACTTAAGCTTAAAAAATTGAGCAAATTTAAAGATATTAAAATGAACAGTATAAATGGGACAGATAAAAATTTTAATAACGAAGGAAAATCTTTAAAATTAAAAAAATTTTATAATAGCAAACCTTTAGAGAAATCCCACCAAGACCTCGATTATTTATTACAACAGAACGATAACCTCGCCTCTGGCATTCAAGCACACAATGTGAAATATACGCTTCACGACTCGTTCCTAGAAATTTATTTTTCTATAAATTATATAAAACAATTCAGCTGGGAAGGAAAAATTAAGAAATGCAATGATCACCCGTTATGCCGGGCAAAAAAATAAGGATTGGAGCGGTATTTGATCCATTTTTAGGATTTAACCAATCTACTGCCGCTTGCCCAGAATCGTCAAACAATATAATTTCCCTGAAATTTTATTTTATTAATATCAATTATTAATAAATTTATGAAAGCTTTCAATGTTCCTTACATTATATTTGACGTAATTCGCGTGATGTATTCTCACTTCTAGAATCCGTCTTATTGATTTCTTCATTTCTTTATGATGAAAACCGCCAATTTAGCTGAATTTTCTGAAGATTATCAGTTGCAGTAAACAAAATCCTCCACATCAACGATTTGGAATTAAACTGGTGACTTTTCATTCCTTGAAATCTTCAATTAGGATTTTACACTTTTAAGATATTTTGGTTCATATAATATCTGAAATCACAGAGTGCAAGTGGATTTTCAGAGGCAAAAGCAAGAAACACCTCTAAGAATGTGAATACGATGTCACAAATCATTTCGGCATTTTGCATTTGGTACGAAAGTTAGGTTTTGCTCTTTTATTTACGCATCCTTTGCCAATCTCTATGCAATTTTTTCATTCACATTTATCTCAACAAATAATGCCTATGGTTCGCTACTATTTATGAATTATTGTGTACCTCCACTTTCATATTGGATGAAATTTGAATCCTCGCACCGCTGGACTGTCATTTCGGTGTGTAATCACCGTCAGTCAGTAATCGAAGGTGATCGAGCTTATTTATCCATATCAATATATTTCGAAATCTCCAGCGCAACTGGGAGAAACCAATGCATAGACGACCAGGTATGAGTGCGCTAATAAGAAGGATATCAGAGAGCAACCCAAACGGGATTTTTGTAAAATAATATGATTATTCTTTTTATTATTCTTTTTTTTCTATCATTAGTATAGTGATGCATCATCCTTATCCTTACCCTTACTGCGTCGAAAATGCAATGCGCATCCTCTGGATTTCTTTTCAGAAATAAATAACGGATGAACAGATGAAATTAAGGTTTACTGATGGCATCTTCATTTTTTCTGTGAAAATTCTGCCTAACTATTGAGCAATGGCACTTTATAAATAAGCTGGGTGCATAACAATCAGACATTACCATACCATGGATAAAAGGTAGGAAAATCGAGTGGATCATTACTGGAATGCTGGGAACCAAGAGTTCTATTAAACGTTAAAAAATCGGTGTGGTTCTGGTGAGCAACCTTTTATTGCCAAGTGAATTCTTTGGCAAAAACTTTTAATAACCAGCGTAGCAAACTTAACCGAAAATGTTAACTGCAATCAGATCTGAGAACTCAACAATTAGATGCTATGTTACACCACTTAAATCAAACAATTTACAAAAAAACAAACAGATTATGAAATAATTAGATGACATAGGTATATATAAAGAATTATAAGTAAAATTATAATAAAAACTGTCGAACAAACTTCAGCTTAGCGGATTTGGTTTAATCCTCATTGGAATCCTCTATGGATATTTCACCACATTCAATTTTTATTACAATTTATACTTTTTATATTATTTGTTTATCGCAAAATACTGCGAAAAAATGCAAAAAAAAACTTGTGAAAAAATAAACGTTGAAAATCTGTTAAAAAATTAAAATTATTAAATATTCACCGTTCAAATGCAATGAAAGGATTTTCGCGAAAAATCCGAACTATTGTTTGCATAAATCCAAACGGGCACCACCATGTCGGATAAAATATTTCATTTAGACAAGGTACATATGTTTTTAACGCAAGTTCAAAATTTGATCCTTTAGAGACAATTAATCGCGGACTCTGAAATCACTCAAAACGAAAGTTTCGCGAAATTTCCCTTCAAGATAATTTCCCCTTTGATGTAAAAGTTTTTTTACATAACTAGTTTTTTTCACTTTTTAGAATAAAATTAAGAACTGGCAGCGTTAGTTTAAGGGTGCATACTAACCATTTTACCTATTTAATTCATTCCATTCATGATAATTCTGCAAGAAATTTAAAAATTTTTTTTTGAATAAAATGACCAATCTTTGACCAATCTTTTATTACCTTCGATTACAGCACCGAAAATGGATATTTCATCAATTCATTAGAAAAATAGATATAAAAAGGAAAAAGCCAATCACAAATTCGTCATTGAACAAATTCTACAGCAATAATCAATTGATGAAATGCAAGATTAAGGTTTTAAATTATAAAATCCCTAATAAATAATAACAGATCATCAGAAAAACTTTTTCAACATCAAATTCAAAGAAGTTAAATCAAATAGACATGAATATGACACACTAAATTTAGAAGGGAAGTTGAGCAAAAAATAGTGACACCTGTTTCTATTCGATACTACCCAGATGTACAAGGATAATAGTAAGCATGAAACTATATTGCAACAAGTTTCTCATATATTAACATTTGCTAACTCTTTTATAAATCGTTCTCTGTGGATGATATTTGTTGTTGCAATAATTATCCTAAAATTATTATGTTGAGCCAATAAAGTCAAAGCAGCGATTTCTGCATACGTTACACCACCAATAAAATAAACCAAAATTGCTTTACGAATACGACTGTCTAATGGGCGATTTGCTGGCATATAAGAATTTTGATCACAAAAAACCGATTCACCGAAAGTTTTTTTCAATTCCGACATATTCCAACCATTATTAACAGTATCAGCAACAAGTTGACAAAGCGGGGGTGTAAATGCACCCGAAAAAACATATCGCATTTGGTCTGGATTTCTAAGATCGAGTGGCGGTTGATTTTTTACTGGCAAAAGATTCATTTGACGAGACAAAAACTGAAATGTTGGTCGCAAATTGGACGATGGCATAAATAGCTTTATAGACGATAATAAAGATGAGCCACGATCTACTAAAACGCCTCTAAGTGAAAGATAATGGAAAATTGGATGATATTCGTAACCATAGGCGTGAAGAAATTGCCTACGAAACGATAAGTAATATTTTGATGGAATACCATTCTGACAAACAGACCAAAGACATGCAAGAAGAAGAACTTGCCACTTGTTTTTTTGCTGGCACATCGTATCTTCAAGATAAGTCATTACTTCATTACAACTATATTCACCACTTACTAACGAATGTTCAAGATTTAATCGCTCTGATAATCCTTTAGAATTCTCAAGAAGAACTTCGCATGCACAAATATGCATTTCAAGAAGTTTATGTTGTTCCTTAAGCGATTTTAATTCATTTGAAACGAACTCTTTCATATCTTTCACCTGATCAAGACGAGAACCTTTATCATAACTTGCCTGTAGTGATTTTGCTTTAGCACTAAGAAATGGAAATACAGCGGTCATATGCATATTACGAATAACGGCAAATATAGCATCATTGTTATCAAGCGTTACTACTTTTAAAAGCTTACCATCATCACCACTTTTCAGTCGCTTTTCAACTTCTTCGCCAAATGTAACCTTACCGCAGTTTATATCAAACATGTCATGCAGTGTTGATTCATATGTGAGCCCAGTTAAAAGAACTGTTGTTAGGTCGAGATTTCTATCGAGAAGAAACAAATGACTAACGGGTTGATCTGGTGATGAACGAGGTTCACCTAATTCAATGAACATCTTCTTCATAACCAAATTAATATTAACACTATTTGTTCCAACACCATAAACAGTAGGAATTAAACCATATAATGACTGTAACTGCCAAAGTGATTTTGCTACACATCGTAAATGCGTAAAGGTTTGATCAACGAGAATCGAATATGCAAAATCCGGATGCTCTAAGCTAAACAAATGTGAATCAATTGATATTAGTGGCATATCGAGATCATAAATATCTATTAAACCAAAAACACCATTATGTTCAAATTCAATTTCGCAAAGATATAAGCGATTTGGTACAAAAATAACAGAATATTGATGCTGTGGTTCGGCAAGAATATGTTCTGAAATAAGCCGCGCAGATGCCGCTGATGGCCGTACAATATAAACACGTCGAAGTGAATGTTCACCCCAAAATGGTTGCGTAGACGATGAAAGTTGCTGAATATGAGCACAGTTATGTTGTTGCAGAAGAGACATTGAAGCAATTTTATCCAAAAACCGCATGAGCGTTGGATCCAATATAATATCTTTAACTTCAGGCATCATCTCCAACAAGTGAATTAACTGTCGCCTAGCCATTTGAGCCAAAAGACCAAAATCATCAAATTCTGCCATATTATGCGCTGATTTTCTGCAAATAGCGACGAGTAAAAACGTTCTTCTAGTTTACTAAAAATTTTCAAGCCTATGATCAATTGACTGAAGCAGAGGAAAAATGAAAAAAAGCAATTTAATGAAAAGAAAGACTAATGAAGAAGGGAAATAATAAATAGAAAAGCATAAATCAACTAAAAAATTATAAAAAATTTTGAAAAATATCCATGGAAAAATTGTAGAACCCAAGTTTCGGAATTCATGAAAAAACTATAAAAGCACCAGAAAACGAGAAATACCAAAAGAAATTGAAAATGATTAAAATAATTAATTCTAAAAATTCTTTAATTTCATTTTACATGTGCTATTTTTCTTGCTTTTTATAGATCACTTATCACATTAGCTTCGATCCACTACCTATTAGAAAAAGCCTTTTTCATTGTTTGGGATAGAAGCACAAAATATGTCTCGCATCACTCGGTTGCACCTTCTCATTTTTCCAGTTTTCATTATTATTATCAATGCTAAGCCTATAATTTCATTCTACTCAACCTAACAGTTAGTGGATAAGCTATGCCAAATACGAAATGAAAAATCAATTTCGCTTTAAGTATAATCAATTTATCGAAAATCCTCGCTTTCTTAGAAACATCACGAATTTTTTTTCTTCATTTTTATTTATAACTTTACCAAATAGAAAAATCACTTATCGGTATCACTTAACAATATCAGTTTTAAGAAAAAATTAGTTTACAAATTAGAAAAAGAAATTAAAAAAAAAAAAAGCGGCAGAAAATTAACCTTAGCCGAACGCCTCGAAAAAAGAAACAATGATAAAACGGCTATTGGAACGCAAATTAAGATAAAACTCATAATCAATTAAAAACTGCTCGCGATTATCGGAATTGTTGCAGAAATTTTTCACCGCGAAACTGTCCTGGAATTGGAAAAATTTCTGCGATGAAATATTTCGAAGCTCGTAGCTTTCAAAATAAAATTCTCAAAAAATCCAAAAAAAGAGATAGAAATTAAAACCTCTAAAAAATCAACCGATTAAAAAAAAATAAAATATTAAAAATTTAAAAAAAAGGAAAAACGAATGACACATCTACCCACCGTATCCATGTTTTCGTTCTAAGAATCATCGCACATTCAAATTTTAGTTTGAAAAATATGATGGAAAGAATTTTCCTCATTTTTTTTCTTCCGTTTACAATGAAAATATTTTAAATTGAATAAATGCGTTAATAAATTTACCAAATTTGATTCAATGGGCAATGACCAGTCGAATATCAAAGGAATTGTTTGCACCAAAAAATTTCGGTGTTAAACAACACAAAAAAACAACAACATAGCATTTGAGCCTTGGAAATGCCTTACTTTATGATAGGGCCAATACAGCCAACACAGCCAACACAGCCAATACAGCCAAGCCAGCCAAGCCAGCAATATTGCATACTATTCAGGAGAACCAATGCAACCAGCAAAGCCAGCGCAATCCCAACTTATCAACGTAAAGACGTCTTTTCTAGCGATCGCTTCAGCGTATACACGAAATGGCCATAAATTTCACGCATAAGAGGAAACGATTCAGCTAAACTTGTTTGCTGTTTTGGTTTAACTACTGCTGAACAGCGAGAGATAAAAAGGAATGCATTATAGCTCGAGGCGAATTTCTTCAGCTATGCTGGCTTCATTTCTTTTTTTGCCCAACGGCGAACGGCGAATTAGTTTCCGCTCAACAACAGCGTGAATTAATCGCCTTCGCTCATATGGTTTTACGAAATAATTAACCAATAAATGGCTTTACTGGCTGTCAGTACAGCAAGAAATAAAACTTTCACCTGAGGAATAATGAAAGCTTTCCACCTAACGAAAAAGTTTTTGCCAGAGGGTCCTTTTCAATTGCCAGAGGGTTCTCGAAACGATGCGAGCAATAACCATTCAACCATTCTGCCTCCTCAAAATTTCAATAACTATATTCCTTTTAACTGCACATACAATGAAGAGTTTCTTGAATTACTGTGAGCATACTGGTGCGTTCTTATGCGTTATCATATAGCCATTAGAGGAAGAAGAACCAAATAATGGTGCAAGTTTTAAGGTTTCATTGATGGACGATGCCCGCAACAGTCGCACCAAACGCGCTGTTGTAGGAGTTAAGGTCGGCACGGATAATGCCTACACCAAGATAATCAAGAAAATCACTAAGTTAGGACATGGAATTTTTATAATCTTCCTTAACGACTGGACTTTATTTAAATTAAATTAAGCAAAATCAATTAATAATTTTGATAACTTTTATTGTTTTCCTCATGAATTTAGGTTGTCCCAGTGGATAGATGAATGACAGAGATTGCATGTTATTTTGTTGTTTTTCTTGGAATCAGATTTTATCTCTCATTTCAGAATTCCAGGATAGCATTCCGCGTTTCATTTTCCGACTCTTATACTTTATACTGAATGGCATTTTGAGAAATTCGATCCGAATTCCAGTTCCTTAAATTAGTCGATTATTGAAACGATTTCGCAACTAATTTTTTAAATTATTCCATGAAAACCGAGAAGAAAAATATTTTGGAATGCGCAACAGAAAAGAAAAACTTTGAAATTTTCTGGATAATTCTGCCGAACCCTAGGAAAAAATATCTTTAAAACAAATTTTGTACTCAGTTGATTTCACCATTTTGTTCGACGCTGAAGAACATTTTTAAAAGGTTCCACTGTGATGAAATATTTATCTCTAAGTCTCTAAAGAAATTTTCAAGAAATTTTCAGTGCTTTCTTCAACCTTTCGTATAATTAAATTAGAATTTCTCCCTCGATCACATCCATCAGTGTTCTGGAAAAAGTTTCCATCGGTACATTGGAAATTTGGTAGTTCACTCTTATTTCATTTTATAGCAGCTCGAATAACGTTATTTTTTACTTTTACTTTTAGTATGGAAGTAGACAAATTTAAAACCTCAAAATTTCCATCATTCCATAGTCCAGAAGCCAGAAAATTTTTTCCTTACGAAAAGCCTCTATTTTCACCGATTTGATAAAATCTTTCAAGAAAATGATCTGAATTAATTAAAAATTAAACATACAAGTCAAATAATATTGAAATTTACGGTAGTTTCCGAGTTTTCCAGGTGAAATTCTAAACGTGTCTAAATAAAAGTATCCCCGCAGAATTTGTTTCAAATAGCTTATATATAACTTTAGTAAATTTTCAGCCCTATTTCTCTGCTATTTTGGCCTTTTATTAAAACAACTGTGCTCATGGACAATCATCCATCTCAAGCAATTTGGCAATTACCAATTATTGCCAATGTAAAATATTCAAGCATTTTTATAGTTAATAATTTGTTAATTGCTATTCAGTTTGCTGTATTTCGAATTACTCTGCCGAATTTCAAGCATTTCCCAACTACGTGAAAAATAAACAATTCCTTCAGTTTTCGTAATTTCTTACCTCAGAATCGTTTTCGAATAGATTATTAAGCAAAAACAGCAATGAAAATACAGTCGTTGTCGCATTTATATTGTTTTGTCTATAAATTTTAACTTTTCTTTTTTCTACTAAATTCCTGAATCCCTTTCAATATTCCAAATTTCTCATATTTATTTCAACTTTCCCCAATTCCTCCAATTTTATACTTTTAACAATTATTCTATAGATTTCACAAATTCTCCTTTCTGTTTCCTCCAACATTCTTAATTCTTCAAATTTTGCAAAATTTTCTACAATTCGTATTGCTCTCTTCATAAATGATACAATTTTTTCTCACTTATTTCGCTCGCAATTACGCAAATATGTCTTTATAGCGCATTAAATACATTAAATATATTAAGTATTGCTACTTATGATAACGTTGCATTATCACATTATTGAACAGCAAACCGATTCGGTACTCTTTTTTTGACTGAACTTGTCATAAAAGAAAATGCACCATATAAGAGATAACAAGAATGAAGTTTGTGCTTGCCTCAGTGATTTTTGCGCTCAAACATGTGCAAAAGGTTAATGAGATAAGGCCGAATTAGAGGTTATTGAACACATTATTTAAAGGATTATGTATATGAGTAGAATTATTATTACCTGTGCTACAACCACGAGTAAGCGAACTACGATTTTTTAACGATTGCGTTGATAATAGAGTTGCCCGATTTTATGTTCAATAATAGTGGTGTAATTGCATAACTTTGCAAATAGAACTACGATCGAACTATGGTTAAATGACAAAAAAAAAAGATATAACGAAAAATCAAAGATATTAAATTTTTCGTTACAACTTTTAATATTCTTCAATATTTTTCTTCCAATAGCATATTTTATTTTGAGTAGTTATTCTGGTTCTGAAATTACGCAAGATAACTACATTTTCTCATTACCACGAAATATCTAATGACAGATTTATTTTATTTCTGTCTAACGACAGTAATCGAAATATTTTCGAAAAGAATCCAATTTTCTGCAAAAAATGTTGAAATGTAACACAGATTATATTGGATTATAGCTATTTTATAAGTAAAACAAAAAAGAAATTTTGCCAACAAAATTATGCCAACAAAAAAGAAATTTTCTTCCATTGTATAATGAGTCAATTGAATTATAACATTAATTAAAAATAAAATCCACTTCAACCAAAAAGCGCATAAGAACTTGGTTGGAGTTGTAGACGACATATTCATTGTATATTAATGAACAACCCTTCTCTTTATTTGCAGTTAATTCAATTGGTTTACCGCACGGTACAATACATCCATCTTCGCTGCAATTTTTAAATAAGATTATTTCTTTGTCATAAGAATAACCAAAAATGAACTAAATAATTAAAAAGACAAGGATTAAAAAATTTTTAAACTCTAATAGGAAATTATATGCAGCATTTCTTAAGGGCAGAATGGTTCACTGGGATGTTGATCAGTTTGGAGCGCTGATGTTTAGGTTCTACGCCCAGCAGAATCCAATCTTACTGTTTTATAAAAATCTGGGTAATGGTGACGACTCGCCTGCACTTGCATCACCAACTGGCCAATCTCTGGCCAATTCACTCCCTTTATCCAGCCCAATAAGCCAGTGGAATAAAGCAATGATGAGAGCTCTTAGAAAAAAAAGTAAAGGCGAATTAATACGTACAAAATCTGGTTCTCTTGAGGATTAGGCCCCATGCTTCCCAGGCCTTTGGTACTATGCTTTCCCTCTTTCAACTTGTCGGCATCAGAGTCAGCCTGTAAAAATTCTTCACATTCCCCAAGTGCAACTTCAGCAAGAAGAAGAAGGCCAGGTTTTGTTGGTTGCGGGAAGCAATAATTTGCCGATTTGCTAGATATTTCGGCAAAATATATTCCTTTTCCGAACATATAACCAGTCTGTAAAATTGAAATACATAATAACGCAAGAATGAAAATGAGAACTAAATTAAACAAACTGATTTTTTTATTGACGGACAAAATCAAAAAAAAATAAAACAAAAAAAGGACAAAAACATACGACAGGCGCTTCTGGTGGTGCTACGCGCAAGCCTTGTGAAAGTATACCGTACCAGTTAGTTAACCGGGAACCATGCCATAATAACATCCTGAAACGCAAGAACAAAAGAAGTCGCACGTCCATTTAAAATAAAGTTGGTTGATTTACTATTTTTCAACATTTTTCAACATGGAAAATAGAATTAGAATTACCTATTACCAATATCTTTGCGGAATTTTGAACGCTCTTCACTTTTATTGATTTCGAATAAATTTCGTACAGACATGCGATAATGATTATGCGTATTTGCATGAGTATTATGGAGGTAATTTTCAATAAGCTGGAAAAGTTATAAACTTTACAGATTACAAATTACACAAATGCAACAAAATAATTAAAATAGCATTAAAATATAATTAAATAATTAAATTAAATTAAATAAAACAATTAATTCTATTAAGTAGTTCAATTCTGCTGTTGTTCCGAACAGCCGATGCTGAGGTCTTATTCCTGTATTAAACTTATCTTTGGAAAAATCTGGACTTGTGACCCTGCATTTCGACTCACTGGCAAAAATATACCCGATCCGAGAAGCCAGAGAAATAAGGGTCCCAAATAAGCGTTGGCAGAAAAAAAACAGCAGTTAATATAGTCCACACCACAATAAAAAGCAGGCTGTATTTAATTCAAGTTATATCGCACACATCACTTTTAACCAACATTCAAACTTAACACGTTGAAAGACAAATATACAACACTTACCACATAACGCGAATCAGACATATCAACAACTGCGATAGAACAATGCATACTGATATATTGGTGGTCAAGGGGGTGACACTTTATATTATCACCTTTTTTGATTGTTTTGATTGCAATCTCAATTTTAGATAAAGCATCTAACAGTGACAATTCAATTTTGAGCTGTTTTATAGTTTTAATCAACGTAGGCTGCTTCATGCTGGAAATTATAGTTGTTTTTCTTCAACCAAAAAATAATATTAAAATAAAACTTATAACTACAATCAATTATATTGCTAAAAATTCCTATGAACAAATAACTACCAAACCAAAAAAGAGAATAAATAGAAAAAACAATCGAAGAGAACAGAACGGCACAATTGATTGTTCCCATTTCGAAACCGGTGTCCTATTCTAGGCACAAACCTATCTTTCAAAAACCCAGATGATGTTAGGGACTCAACTAATTGTGATTCAACTTGACTTTTATCGCCAAATCCTTGGCAAAAATGGTTCATTAGATAAACCAGCCAGCGAAGCAAGCTTAAACAGATGGTCAAATGAGTACTCTTGGAAAAAAACAAAATAAATGAACCCAAAAAAATGAGGAATTTTTGTGTAGTAATCGTCTATTGCTTTCATAAATCCTGATGAGAAATTTTTTTTCTTTATAAAATTCTCGATGTTTTTTAAGGCACTATACCCAGCAATTATTTGTTCCTCTGTCACTTTCCCTAAAAATTATCAGACTTTATGAGTTATATTGATCATTTACATATATAAAACTATTTATTTATAAAGTACCAATAAAGCTGCTAATTTTACTGAGAAAATTAACAGAAAGAATAAAATTTATATTAAAATTGTACATACCTAAAGGCGCCTTAGAAGAATCAAATTCCAGTTCCATAACCGTTTCTTCCATAGCGCGAATGTCACAAATTAATTTCAAAAGCGTTTGTAATGGTTGACTTAACGTACATTCATAAATCTCCACATGTTTTTCATCAGCTTTCTCTTCACTTTTTTGTTTGCCAATGATTTTCGAATAATCACTCTATAATCATTCTAAACAATCAAACTACCAACTTTAAGATTTTACAAAAGAAATAATAGAAAAAAATTAAATAATCATCGTTGAAAGTGGTTTAAGTATATGTCAAAATATTGTGAAGAACGATAAAAGAGAAAAAAAATTTAAAACCGCTAAATAATCGTATTTGCCAGGCTGTTTAACAAATGAACGGCGAAGACTCCATTCTACCAACGTCTTGTCAAAAAACTTCTGGCAAAATAGTTTCTTGGCGTGATCCAAATTGGTACCACAACATTCAAGCATATTTTGGCCCTTCGAAGATAAAAAAATTCAATCTTCTAATACCATAAAAAAAATCCAAAAAATATGTGCAAATCCATTGACTGAGATAAATATTTAAAAGATGGAATAAAAATTTAGAAAAATTTAGATTTTACCTTATATCCAACTCGCCCCCATCTGAACCAGACTGAATATATTTTCGCATTATCATCTTCTAACAATTGAAGTATATAGTACTTATTGCTATTCTTCTTAATGTTGGTCTGAAATCAAGTGAATAAATTTATTTTAAAAAAAATTTCATCATTCATTATTTCATTCGTAACACCAGAATTCACAATTATAGAATAAAAATGAAGTATATGAACAATAAAAGCAAACGAAAAAATGCGAAATCAAGATTTAAAAAAATCTGAACTAATAAAGAAACGAGCCTGGTTAAGCAGAGCATCATAAACATCTTCTCCTTCAGTATATACATGCGCAACGCCTAATTTTTTCGTACATTCTGAGTCGACTGGTGCAGAACCTTTTAAAATTAATTTTCTCATCTGGTTTTTGGTTTCTGATGATACCTGAATAATTTTAATGATAAATAATGCAACACAATAAGGTAATTTTATATAAGATTAATCTCGAGAATACATGGCAAAGCCCATGTTGATTTATGAAATCTCGATTCACTTCTGAAATTAAAACCAAGGTGATAACGAATTTTTCTCTGCATATACGTTTCTGCTCAAAGGAGAAAACTCAAGCTAATGAAACCAGCTAAACCAGAAATGGTGTGGAGGTATCAGAATAAAGTTTAGAAAAATATAAAAATATATATACGTTTGGCTCTTCCACTTCATCACACAAATCGGCTGAATTCTTGAGTCCATTATCTTTATGGTTTGTCTTTACGGTTTTTGTGTTCTTAGATGATCCATTTTTAACGCGATTTCTTTTTTCTAATCTTTTATTTTCATTCTCAATATCTTTTTTTTCAATACTCATTTCTCTCGTTTTCTCATTATTTGCTCGTTTTTTTTCCTCTTCCTGCTTCTTTAATTTTTTCGATTTCCTGTTCATTTTGTGCACATTTTCTTCCTTCTGGGGACGTTTCCTCAAAAGTCGAGTTTGGCTAGCACTTGGAGCTGGTTTGGCACATACTGCAGATTCCGCGTTCGAATTTTCCCGACGAAGCTAAAAAGTGTTGAATAAAATAAAAATTTTAAGGAACAAAACATATAGCCAGTAAGAGATAAGTATCAAGAAAACGAATCAAGAAATACAAATCTCTATGAAATCTTTCAACTTCAAGAAAACAAAAATATAATCAAATATGGCCTTAAAAGAAGTAATATTTTCGCAGAATGTCGTTCACTTGCCTTATAACTGCAGTTTTCATCGTTATTTTTAATTGTAAATTCCTCAAGATTGACTTCATACTTGGTTTCACCAATCATTATTTCAGTCTTTGTTAAACCACTGTTATAACATTCTTCGAGCTTTTTTGCTGCATTTTTGTTCATAGACTGCCATCGTCGTTTGATTCCCAAATATTCCCATACATAAGCATTACCAGAAAATATATCATATTTTCAAATCATAGAACAATCTATAGTTAGAATTAATGGAAATTTATAATTATTTACTACAAAAAAAATAACAAACACGTTTAGAAGCAATGATACCTTTTATGCTTTTAACGGCACATCTAACTGATCGTACATAACCACTATTCATATTTCTTTGCTCCATTTTTAAAAGATTCACTTGCAAATGAGATTCTTCACAGTCAAATTCAACTAATCCAGTATCCGATGATGAACTGCAAAAAAAAAAACGATTATCTATTATCTTTGAATCAAATTGAATTAATTTGAAATTAAATAAATTATCAGTGAAAGAATTCACAATAATGCTAAGAATGGTGTGATAAATCGAGACCAGCACGTCAGTTTTAAATTCAATTTTAGGTTTATTTACACGACAGAGACGAAAAGAAACAAATCTCTGGCAAGTGACGAAAACCTGCGGTAAATTTACAGGAAACTTGGGAAATGCTAAATTTGGTATATGTAAAGAGGAATGAAGTTTTACTGCTGCAAAAACAGAAATTTTAAAAAAATAATGGAATGAAAGCTAAATTAAAAAATGCATTTGCAAATAACATAAAAGTTTAAAAAATGAAAAAGAATGAAATGATTTAATAAAAATAACCAAAGAAAAAAGGTTCACTTGATTTTTTCGATAATAGATTCCTCATATCTTATCCATCGACCTTTACATAGTTCATATTCCCAAAGAATAGCGATACCATTCTCATCGGTGGAACTCGATTCCATATCTAAATTCCTTCCTTATTAATCCATCCTTTCTTTATTTTCCCCATCATTTCCCACAACGGTGTTGCTTATAACAGTGGTACTTATGATACTAAAAAATAGGTAAATCCTTGTCAGAACTTCTCCTACATTTCGCACGAGAATAACTGATTTTCTTTTGGAAGACACCCCATCACTTCTGGCTTGGCTCGCTCTTCTGGCTCGTGGAACCGGACAGATTCTGCCAGGTAGTCACTCGGCGACAGAAACACAAGTGGATCCCCAAGCAGCGGCTTTCCTTTCCTGCCGGGCTCAGCGCTCCGAGGCAACAACAAAAAATGCGCAAAAATCACCATCAAATAACCACACTGTAAAAAGAAATTTAAACCATCGAAAAATTCTTAGATCGACCGCAAAATAGCGATCCGAAAATGAGCGGGAAATTTAAACACTATTTTTTGACTCATATTTGAAAATCATTAATATAAGCTATTCGATCGGTCTGTTTCTAGGGTTTTCGAAGTGCGAAAAAGCTTTAAGACAACTCTGTTCACATTAGAATTGAAAAAAACCACTTATCTTCGGCCGTTTCGGTATTTTTTGATGCTAAATGTCTCTCATATGATGAAGAAAAGTCTCGCATTATGCAAGCCGAATTTCGTTTTCCGACAGTTATTTTTGTTTCGACGCGAAACGGCGAAAGCTAAAAGGCTACTTTTAGAGGAAATGACTTCAAGCTGATTGTCTTCGCAGTTGTTGAGGAGATGTTTCATCTTTTCCAATCATACTTATTCAATGAATGGCTCCATTCCCACTCATTAATTTTTAGACTAATTCCTCCTTTTTTTCCCATTCTTCCAATTTTTCCATTCGTTAATGCGAAATTGAAAAATTTCGTCGACAAGGACTTTTGTAGAAAGTACGCTAATCGGGTGACGAAAGCTCTTGCGATATGGCATTGGAAATGGAGACGGCGGCTTTAGATGGCTGACGGATTAGGCGATAATAGGAAACTATTACATTTTCTTCATAAGGCAACTATACCTCAAGGGACAATCAGCGAAACGGTACGGGCTAACAATGGTGTTCCTCCTATTAAGAATATTAAGGATTGCCTCATAAGATGGAAAGAATAGTTTGAGGCCAAACTTAACCAAGATATGCCATCTAAAATCCTGGTCATAGCTAATTCGTTCATTGTGCAACCCCAACAAAAGAAGAAATAATCTTCACAGTTCCTAAGCTCCGAGCATCTCAAATGCTATTCAACGCGTTTTCAATGCGTTTTATGGTAGGGAAGAAGAAAATACCAGATGACTGGAGCAAAGCAATTCTAATTCCCAAGAAAGGTGACACATTGCGACAATTATCGAGAAATCAACCTGCTAGACATCTCTGGGAAAATTTTTGCTTCTCTGCTACTCAACAGACTTATAGAAGTACAGGATATCAGGATCGCCCTAAGCTGGATTCAGACTGGAACGCGGTTATGCTGACCAGATATTCACATAAAAAAAGTGTTGGAACATCGCATTAAATATCAGCAACCTACTGCCACTGTCGACTTTACAGCCTTCAATTCAATTGATAGAATGGCACTTTGGAGGATGATGGAATGTGAGGGTGCTAAAAGATTATTCGCGTTTTATCAGCGGCACAGGTCTGTATCGGAAATTGACAGATCCTCTTGAAATAAGAAATTTTATTCATAGTTGCATGCTTTTTTTTACAATATTCAACCATGCAATAAAACGAACAATGGACATCATTTGCGATAAAACGAATAATAGAAATTATTTTAGGTATCTTCGATATTTGCATTCGAGAGGTGCAAATCAGTCCTGAGCATAACATCATAGACCTTGAATAATGTATTCATTTTTGCTGAATTATGATATCCAAATAATGCTAAACAAAATTTCAACGACTACAAGAATCTCAGGAACTAGAATCTTTTCATTTTCTATAGAAGAAGCTGATAAGATACCTATTCTACCCATTCATTGTCTGCCGAAGTAGTACCTGATTTTAGATATCTTCTCTAATTCCACTCTAATCCTAAAGGGGAAGAAAAAGACGAAGTTACAACCTGGATGACAATAGCTGGAATTCTTTTTTTCAACGAAGCCTTTGTGGAACTATAACGAAATTATTATAAACAAAGAAAATCCATGTCTATACAGCTATTCGCTAAATTTGTTTATTCGCTAAATCTTGCTATATGGTTGCAAACATGGCTAGTGAGAGTGGAAGATTTTAAGAAGCTATTTTCCTTTGACCACTCATATCCACTTTATATTTTGCGGGTCCGCCGAGCGGATAAAATCTGGTGTGATTGCATCTGCCTTCGCTCAAATACCATTTGCATTAATAGTACAATCACAGAAATCATAGAGCACGTTGGCCATCACGTCAAAGCCAAATGTGCCAGTCAAAACCTAGAGAGAGGAAAGAAAAAAATTTTGAACATATTGAATATTTTAAATATATTTTATAGGATAGGACCAGCAATATATGGACTTAGATGATGTGAAAAGGAATGCGCTTCTATTACAGTCAACGATACAGCATCAGATCATACAGCTTAGAAACATTTTACCCTAATAGTCAACGATCAGCCTAACCAGTAATGATGAGAAATCTATTAGAGGAATCTACTTCGTGCACTTAATCTGATAACTTAAATTTATGCAAATTTTGTTCGGAAATTCTCAAAATCTAGGAAAAATTAAAAAAAAAATAAAGAACGAATCAAAACGAATGGAATCGACTTTGCTCCTAAGCAAATCACATCTCGACCATTCTTCAATTAATTACAATCACCGTTAATCAACACCATTAATTAAGCAAATAGATTTTTCACCATAGCAGACATTTCTGACACCGCAAAAAGTTAAATTACGATATCATTTCAGTTGGAATTTTTCTAATTCTAATTATGGCAATATGGTTGCGATAAATTTTGGTTCTTTTTGTGCTCCTTCTTTGTCCCATTAATTGATTATTATTCAAACGATACGCTCAAAAGAAATTAAAGCATTTTATTAAATCCTATAAAAGAAAAAATTACGAAGAAAAAATTACACAAATCCTATAAAGCGATTAAATAACAAAAAGATTGAAACTTAGAAATACTTCGAAAAAAATTGCTTAATAGAAATAAAGAGAAAATTTCCTTGTTTGCAACAATTTTTTAATAACAGAAAAAGGATTAGTTGCTAAAAATTATTTTTAAAAAATTATTTAGGCAATAATTTCTGCAATTTATAATTTTAAATTAATTTTGAAATGATTTCCTTCATCAGTGATTTCATACAAATTTGAAATTATTGTTAATCGATTTAAACTGTTAAAAAATGTTACTAAAAATTCACCAATAAAAAGGTACATAAATTCTAAAATATGCAATCTTTAAAAGAGATATGTCCTCATGTAAATTGATGTGGATAGATTCTTTGTCCAGTTAAGCATGAAAATTGCGAGTTTTGAGGGAGAAAAGGATGATATTGGTTCACATTTGGAGAATTGGCTTGATTCGAGTTAATATTATTTAGGTTCCATAATGCTGAGCCGGAAAAATTGCCATTTAAATCGGAATTCGAATTGTTCTGATGAGTTCCATTGAAGTTTGCATTCTAAAAATTTGTTATTTTTCTTCTTCGTTTCAAATTTTTATTAAATTATATTTACTAGAATTATATTATATTTGCAATTATCTTTATTTCTTTCTTTACAAATAATTTTTAAAATTTTTCATTTAATATTTAAAATATCAAAAATCGGGAAAATACTAACGAATTGTGCCACCCGATTCTGTGGATTTATTGGTGGTATTTCATTTACAACTGGTTGCTGATTAATAAACATTGTCAAATGTTCAACAAGATTCCTTGGGAAAACAAGATTGGGTGCCTGCACTTCATGTGGGCCATGGGCAAACCTGTAAAGCTTTAGTCAACTATAATTGAGTTTGAAAGTTTATCAGGCCTTTTAAGGTGTTTGGAATGAGATGTACATACTTTAGCTTAAACAAGTTTGCATGACAGTTTTTTTATAATTTATTTCAGTCATTTTTCCAATAAGCGTTTTTACCTACTATGACTATCCTTTTAAATAAGACATCGGGTCTAAATCTCCTCCTATTTACAAAAAATAATGGTGCGACGAGCAAAAGAATTCATCCTTACCAACAGGCATTTCCAAAACGACAAGGTATTCCTACCAACCAGTATCGACATAATGCGGTTTTATACAGTCTTGGATTCCGTGGTTTATATTGCATCTAAATTATATAACTGAATATACTGTAAAAGAAATCAAATTCTAATTGTTCATATCTAATAGTAATCCTTATAATCCTTATAAAATCGTGATATTTTGAAAATTTTCGCCTAAAGTAAATACAATTTGAGTGAGTTGTGAATATTTTGAGTGAATTTGAGAATTTGAGTAAAATCTCGTTCTAATTTAAGTGATTTTTTCTTGTCTTCTTCCGATAATTATAGGTTAGGCTGGCTCCGCAAGGATAAGACTTCTCCAGGATATTCAGTCAGATGCTATCGTTGACAGTAATAGAATAGAAGTCATTCTTTTTTCCATCGTCTAATTTCATATAAAGTGCCGTTCTTTCAATTAAATCGAAGATAGCTGCAAAATCGATGAAACATGATGGTGTTGCTGATATTTTGAGCGATATATTCCAGCACTCTTTTGAGCATGAATATCTGGTCAATACAACAGCGCCCAGTCCAAATCCAGCATATCTCTTTTACTGCTATAAGTCTATTCAGAGAGAAGAGAAATTCTCCTGGATGTGTCCAAGACTGCTGATTGCTCAGTAATTTTCATAATATATCCTGTTGGGAGCAGATTTGCTTTGTTCCATTCATCTGGTATTATTTCATTGTTCCATAGCAGAGATTACATTTGTTGAAGATATGAAGGAGGATGGACAACATTTGAGATAATCTTCCCTAGGAATTTCATTGGCCTTAAGTTTCTGGATGATCTAGATAACGGAGATTATTTTCTCCGTCAGATGTTCGCAGTTGGCTCGACGAGCGAATCAGCTATTTCCAAGGCAACAGATGGGTTAAGTTTGGTCTCAAATTTAAGTGTGATTCTTTTCTAAATCTAGGTTGATAAATCTCTTAGAAATACTTGGATAACCTGATGCAATAACAAAATAAATTTGCGAAGCTCATTTTCAGTAAAAATTGATAAATCTGGCATTCCAGATATTGGATGTGACGGCGCTCGCTGCCAACTACAATTATAGTTATTCTGCCAACCAGCAGTACCAGCGCTGAAACTGACAATAATCTAAATTAATATGGTAATGCTAAGGAAGATCAATCATATGTACATGCATTCAAAAATCGATGCGAAGAGCCTTAAGTTATAAAAATTGTATCAATAAAAATCAAATTCTTCTATACCCATTAAAAGCTGTTAACTTCCTATTAGAAATCTCCTTCAACCACTCTTTTTCAAATGGAATCTCCTTAAACCTCCTCATTCATTTCACATCAACCATTTTGTTTAGAATAGAGCAGTGGAGGACCCATAATTTCTTAAAAAAAAAACTTACTATGCATGCTGGTCACCAATTGAATTCGCTGAGTTTCTTTGCATATTCTAAAATAAAAGAAACAATAAAAATAAATAAAACAATAAATAAATGAAAAGAATAAAATAATAGACTTCATATACAACTCGAATCGAAAAAACGAATGTTTTATAAAGGAAATGGCCACAGTAGCAGAGCACTACTACTGCACATGTAAGGGCAGCAGCATTCCCAGGCCCTTGACGGTCCATAAGAGGATTGATTGGCTAAATATTGCCAAATTTCAGCCTACGCTTCATTCATTACAAGCCGACCTTTCACTTGAAAGCAAAATAAAATTAAACGATTTTTATTCTTTTTCACTTAACCCGTATACTTCAGTTGTCATTCATTAATTGCATGCCAAATTAATACTATCATACCATCGTTTTTATCAGTTCTAATTTCACATTTTTATTTCATCATTTCTTATTCAAAAAGCATTTTATGGAATATGTGACAGTTGCAGGAGTGGTAAATAGAAAAGAAAGGAGAGGACAACAGATCAGTTGGGTTGCTAATCAGATTAGCGCTCGAACTTCAAAGTTTTCTCTCAAACAGGAGTATACTTGACAAAAAGTCCAAGTCGTATTCGGAATTTATTATAATTCTGTACCTGAAGTGACTCTCGGAGGAAAGTGATCATCGCTTGGGATGTGGGGAGAGGGGAGGGAGTGGTTAGCTAATTTGAAATAAACCGCAATTTATGTTGTAACAGAAAAGAGTAAAACGGTTAAGGAAATATGAATAAGTGAAAGATTAGTAAAAATAATAAAAAACTATAAAATAATAGCTGATAATAGAACATAAAAATCTTCATTAATGTAAGTAAAATGGTAATAATAAAAGAGATAGGCGAGCATGAAATTGAGAAGAAATCAACAATATATATATACCGTTCGAAGATTTTTTCATAGTACTTATCAGCATTTTATTACCAAAACATCGGTGATAACGAAGATGTGCATATAAATCCGATTGGAAATGTTCAATTCTTCTAAGAGAGGACAACTTAAACTAATACAAATGAATATTAGTAGGAAATTTAGAGAAGAAGAAATGATTGGACACAATAGTAGCAATATTCGCATTCCCACCGAATCATTAGAACAATTAAAATATAATTTGCTTGTAGATAATCAATTTAGAAATGCAACTATAAAATGAAATGAATTCTTTACATTGCTAAATTACGTTGATTTATTAATTATTTAATATTTTTATACAATAGTAATAAGTTTATTGTAACGAAAAATTTAGGAAAAAAAAAGAAAAAGCAATCTTTTCAATTGAAATTCTTTGTAAGGAAATTCGTAGAATTGCAGCTATTTTTAAAAATCATGGACAATAATACAAAAATAATATACTTAATAATACTTAGGTAATAATATTGTTGGGAACAGAATGGCTCAATAGGCGCCTATGATGAGGTTTTGTTCCTCGCAGGAAAAAGCCTATCCAAAAATCCGGGCAACTCATCTATACTTCTACCGCCAAGGGATTCCCTGGCATATTCATTGCGATAAGCCAATAAAGAAAGTAACGGTAACGACTCTTAAAAAAAAGGAAAGATAATATTAGTATTGAGAAAAATATTAGTACTAATACAGAAGGCAGCATAGTTGCTCAGAATATCGACTTCAGTGTCAAAACTCGGATTACTTCCGTTAAAAAAGAGCCAAATGCTGGGGTCAAATTGTTGACCCCTTCGTAACTCCGTTGCCAAGTGACAAAAATTTCTTGCTGCGCTAACAGAGGGTAGAGTTCAGAATTCGATGAGCCCGACTTAATCAGAAATTACGCGTGCTAAAACTTTTTTTCTTCGCTGTTATTGACCCTCATTAATTTGCTTCCATCTACAAATGTCCCGCACATTTGCCTTCAAATTTTCGTAATTTTAAATTATTTATTTAAAATCTTTTTTTTTTATTCATTTCTCGACATTTATTATTTTCTTACAAATTTCTCCATTTAATTTTTTCATTCTAAATGAGAATTAAAAAATTAAAGCGATAAGAAAGAGGAAAATAGGTTCTCATGCATTATCCTCATGCATCGATGGTAATAAAAGAATAATTTTCACCGTTCAATCTAAGAAATTTTGTTGGATTTTGAGAAATTCTTACACCTTAAAACTCTCCAAAAATATTAATAATTATTTGTAAATTAATACTAATAAATGAAAAGCGCCACACAAGACCGTTCCACAGGTGAGGAAATTCTGCTATGAAGGCTAAGATAATAAAATTTTCTCCAAAGAATTGCTTATATACCGTAGTAATGCACTACTTGTAAGTATCGTCTATTCGCTTCTTTGATCACCTCATTTTTCGTTTTCTTTCTTCTTCCTCCTCTATTCTTTCTTTTCGATCTTTCAAATATTCCTCTTTATCAATGGTACTCTCTTGCCAATAAGGTTTATTAAAATTTTCAAGTATTTTTATTAAATATCTTATTTTGTCTCTCTCTGATTATTGATATTTGAGATTTGACCCTTCCAGCCAATAGAATTTTATGAGTATAAGAATCTTTTCACTAACAAATGGGTAAAAATAAATCGGTTGACACCGCCAAGCATTTCAGGTTGCAGTTGCACCACTGTTCGCCGTTCTGTTAATACGACGAGAAATTTTCGTCAGATCGCTTGAAAAAGTTCCTCGGCACCATTTTTTAAATAGCAACGGATTTCGCCTTTCAACGAACAAAAATTATTTCACTTGTAAGTATCGAAAATGAAATTTACATTGCAGAAGCCGAGCATTTTCTTGGCTGAGAAGTTATTTTTTTGATCAAAATGAAAGAAAAACAAAATTTCTTAAATATGCATTCACTATAAAATTTTAGAAAATAAAAAAAAATGAAATTCTTCTATAAAAAATTTCTATAAAAAATATAAAATAAAATAAAAAATAAAAATATCTTCTATAAAATTAGAAATAAATAAAAATTAAAAATTTTAATAAAAATTGCGAAATATTATTTGTTCTTTCCAATTTATAAAATTATTCATTCCAAAAAAGCTCTCCTTTTCTTGACTGCATTCAGGATTTAGCAAGAAAATTCCTAAATAGAAATAATCAAAAATCAGTTCTATTTGGGCTAAACTTTCAGGGTCAAATGCATATGACCAAAGCCAACCAATTATTGTGTTGAGTAAGAATATATAATAAGTCCGTTCTCATTTTCTATTCAAATTTAATCTTCAAATTTAATCATTTTTTTCGCAAATATTAATTTGCAAATGTTGATTCATCAAAATTCGTTTATTAAACTATTGTAGAGGTCAGTGAAGTTGATTTGATAAAACAGCTTTGATAAGAAATATAATATGGCTGTATTTGCTTCGTCTGGATTATTTCAAACATTATCACTTCACTGGTAGCAGAATTTAGCCGAGCATTAAAAAACCGGATGGGAATGAGGGTTGTTTCACCAGCATTTATAGCCATAAGTGGCCTTTTGACAAAATTATCTTATCGTAGAACCAACTTAACTAGAAAACTAACGAGTGCCGAAGTTCGTTTTATTTAATAGCCATTCCCAGGTTTATGAACGGAAGGCATAATGTTGGCAAATAACACATATTTCAACATTGAATTTTTTAAATTATTTTAAAAATATTAAATGTTTGTTGTTGAATTTTATCTATGGTCACATCGTGGTTTTTAATTTTTAAAATAATTGCAGTAAAATTTAGAATTTATGATAAAAGATTGAATTTTATTTTTGTACAATTTGCCACAAGCAAATATTTCCCGTTTAAAAGTTTAATGAACTGTTCACAAGAGATTCAAAAGTATCGCCACTTAATGGTTTGCTAGCTGGTAAAATGGTCATTGGCAGACGATTGTCGTATAATGCTGGTGACTGCAGAAGAATTAAGAGGGTACCAAAGAAATTCACAGCACTGAAGAGAATTAACATCATGCGATCGAGGACCATTGCAATATAGGACCAATCTTCGGAAATCTATAACTTTACCACTTTGAAATTTTAACCTTAGCATTTCAATGATCGAAAGAAAAACCATATCATCTTATATTATATAAATATATAAATATTCATATAAATATATAAAAAGCACAGATTCAGCTTGAATGCGACTAAATGCAAAATTTTTTCGCTCAAAAAGGGAAATACGGCCTATATACATTATAAGTTCTTCGTTTACGCTTACCTGCTTAGGCTATTTTAAGTAATAAAAAAATGTTACTCGATCCTCTTTTTTCATTGCTCGAAAATGATCTGATATAAATGAAACATTATCAATCATTCGTCGGATCAAATCCGGATGCATTCCGCGAAGTTGAGCAAGCTGAGAAAGCCGTATTTCTCCGTCAACTGTTTGTGCAATGGATAAAAAATATGGGCTTGCACGGCGGGATTCCGGAGCTCGGGAACCTAAATTTTGAATATTGAAAATCATAAAAAAATGATTTACACAAAATATGAACAATAAACAAAATGAATTTGTGGAAATGAAATATTATCATTAAAAAATCTTTTAAGTGCTATTTCTTGCCGTTCTAAAATTCATATTTGATCAATTAATCTATACAAATTTTATAAAAACCTGGATTAAAAAACTATTTCTTTAAGATATGGGGCACCAAAAGAAAAATAATGTATTTGCAATATACATATACCTGAAAAGCTACTACCATCTTCGGATGGAAGGTCTTCATCAGGTGGCTTAATAAACAAATATTTAGGAAGAGTTCGTAAGAAAACCTGGCGCATCCAATAAGGCATTGGATGAGTTGTACCACTTCTGGAAGAAAAAATTAAATAATATTGATGGAAGAAAATTGGCAGAAATATTGCGAAAGCTTATGAACAACAAGTTTTTTTTTAAATTTCAAGAAAAAATTTGGTTCGAACTTTTTCACTTTTTCACATTTTTTCAAAGCATAAAATTTTCGAAATCGAAATCTGGTGAAAATTTAAATCTAAAAATTCGGTGTTTTTGCGAATATAGAGGCGCTGTATGGTTTATGTTTCTTTGCTAGTCTTCACAATGACAAATACTATTAATGGTATCAAAATCCAATTGCAATTCATACCTTTTTCATGTATATTTCTTTCTCAATAAAATAATTTTAGGCGAGGAAAAAAATTTTAATCAAATTATCATTAGATTTGGTAAATTTTAATTTATTTTCCAGGAAAAAAATTCAAAAATTTCTGATGAAATATCTTTCAAAATAAGAAAATAAGAAAATCTATTAAATTTTATTTTAAAAAAATCTATTAAAAATTTGAATATAAATGAAATAAAAAATATTGGAAGGTGTGATAATAATGACAGATTTATTATTCACTTACCTTCTATAATAATTCACCGTAAGAACAGAAAGAAGAATAGACGCTGAGACCAGAAACATTGTAAAGAGAAGATATTTACCGATAAGCGGTATTACCAACGATGTTGGTGGAATAAGTTCAATGAGAACAAGATAGAAGACGGTAAGCGTAACCAGAATAGATATAGAAAATGTGACTTTATGTTCACAAGCCGGTATATAGAAAACGAAGGTCGTTAATATTGCTGAAAAGAACGGTATAAAAGAACGGTCTACTTTTTCAAGCGGTTGAAAAAAAAAAGCGAATACGAAATTTTTTTGAATAAAAATGAAAATTTTTCAATTCATTTTCATTACCACATCCTCTTCCTAATTTTCGTCTTCTGCTTGTACTCACATTGGAAAGAATTTATTTAACGACTTGGATCCACTATAAAAAAGACTAAGCAAAAGATGAAATTCCAGCTAGGCTATCCATAGTAAGAAAAGACCTTCCTTCAGCCTTGCGAAATCTTTCAGATCATCGCCAAAACAAAAGCTCGCATTCCGATAGTAGGAATGCACACAATCCACCTATAGGAAGAAGAAGATGAAAATGCATTACGTTGTCTTCAGATTTTTTGATGAGTATTTTTTCCGAGTCAAAGGAGGAAGATTTTCCTGCCTTCATCGCTCTTTCTGGTCCCCACTAGGTGCAAATAGATACGATCGAGGATGAAGGAAACCTTTTTTTTTTTTAATAAAACAATATACCTATGAGCATGCACGGAATGACAAGATTGACTGTATAAAATAAAGTCTTGCGTCGTAACGAAATGTCAAAGGAAATATCGATATAAAACTCTTGCCCACAACAACCCGGATACAACTGCTCATGCCGCATGCTCGTTACGCTCATTAAATCCCACTCGAGGCTTCTGTAAATCAATAATAATAATTAAGTACCTTCACTGGTTAGGCTATCTCAATGAGCTATAAGTATATTCAAGCATTCCAATAGATTATTGACGGCTAGTGCTTGTCTCATACAACTATTTATTGCGTATTTAAGCAAAGACTTTTAAATCGCCTTTATCTTTTATCATAAGCAATAATTTCCAGTGCATTCGAAAAAATTCTGATAGCATATCTGATTAAAACTAATCATGAAGAATTCCTTAAATGAAATAAATGAAGAGAAGGAAAAGAAACTTTTAAATAAATTTACGGGTAATATGAAGAGAGATCCATTCCAACTTCCAAAAATTGATATTCTTTGCCTTTCTCATCTTCGCGGGTTTCAATGACATCCGTTGGCCGTGACTAAATGAAATGAAACTTCAATCATTCAATGTTTTCAAAAATCTCCCTCTGATGAGCGAAAACCATTTTTTAATGAAATATTTCTCGGTACCACACCAAGTTATAATGTAAAATATATATAAATTCACCTTCGTTTTTGGCAAAATCACATAAAAATTCTATAACAAAGAATGTCGTGGAATTTGCCACGCTACAAAATCTTTGAAGGAATTTAGTTATCTCTCTCTTCAGAATATTTCCTGGCTATATCCTACATTAAATGAAATGGATGTGGAAGGACAACAACTACGTGTCGAACAATTCTTCTTAAAAATTGACACTTGAAGTTAATGAAAAGAAATTGTTTCCTCTTAAAAAAAACAATATTAAATTAAGTAAGAAACCGTACGCAAAAATATTTAAATATCCAAATATCAAAAAATATTTTATACGGCGCCTCTCTCCTAATTGCAATTTTAATTATAAAAGGAAACTTCTACAATATAACCTGGATTCTCTGTCAGTTCGTCGTATTAAACAAGATTTAATTTATACTTATAAGATTTTGTATGGTTATATTAAATTAGATTGTTCAAAATATAATTTTAGTTAAATTTAAATCCAACAAGAACTAATGGGCTAAAATTACTAAAACCTATGTATAAAATTAAACTAAGGATTCATGATTTCTTTATTAGTAATATTAATTACTAGAATAAACTACCGAACGATATAGCTTGTGCGCCATCCCTAGTTATCTTTAAAAAAAGATGAGATAATATCATTTATGAATATCTAAAAAGTTCATCATGCAGGAAATCTCGATTTTTACCATCCGATTATAGTTATTTCGAATTGTACTATATTATATTATTTTGTAATTCCCTCTTATTTCATCTTTAAATTGTTAATTATATTTTATTTTTTATTTTATTTTGCCATTAATTCTTAATGGTGATAGCAAAATATATTTGCCGGAAGGAAAAAATGTTTCCCGACCTCGGCAAGATTCAAAATTTGTTATTTTAACTGTTATTAATACAAGCACATGACGTTTGCCTGCTTGGCTGGTTTTCAATAAATTAATAAATTAAATTAAGCACTCGAGGTTATCTGCTGATAATTAAAAACAAGTGGATAATTTAAGCGATAATTTTTACTGGTGCGACAAAGTTGCAAAATTTGATAAATGAAGTTAAGGATCTGAGATCATGGAAGAGTGGAAGAATGACGAGAAAGCTATTGAGATCTGCTGGTTTGGATCCTAGATCCAGATAGATTTTGTTAGTTAGTGACAACCACAGTTTCACACTGGCTGAGTAAAAAATAGTAGAATTTCATCTAGCTTTTGCCAATTTTCCTATCTATGTGACATATGTGACATGCTGATTCGACTAAGGTTAAACCAACACAAATTCGGCCACTTGATGTGAGCAAATATATATTAAGAAAGTGTAAAGTGAGATCTGCTGGTTTGGATCTTAGATCCAGATAGATCCAGAAAGTTCTTTCTAGTATTTCTGCCCTCTATTCATCTGACTTTCTAGCGATTTCAATAGAAGCCAGCCAAATCAGAAATGATAAGTTTCTTTGTTAATATATTCAACGACACTTAGTTTTTTGCATTGATTATATATTTATATATAATAAATATAACAATAATAATATTATTAACGCTTTTATCGTCTTTAGTTATTAAATATATATATTTATAATTTATAATTAAAACAAATATCGGTGACAATGCACGGGCTCCAATACCAAAAAAAAAGAGCATTAAGTACCATGGAATTCAAAAAAAACTGCAAAAGCAAAAGGAAAAAGAGAAACAAGGAAAGCCATACTGGGAGCTGTCGTACATCCAGGAGGAACCCGTTGTATGACCATCCACCAAATTTCATTGAACAAGATTGCTTGTCATATGGAAAATACTCGATATCAATCTGAATGACAAAATTTTAAAATATATATCGCGTAGTAAATTCGAGCAAAAAATTAAAATCGCTTAATTTTTACTCTAAAATGCCAATTTAGACAAATATATTTAATATATAATTCAAGGTCTTATAACGCATAACACATTAATTTTTAATAAGTTTGAACGAGAAAAAATAATTTGAGATAAATGTAAGGAAGCTTGGAGACTTATTTAGTTGGCAAATGGCTAGCAATCACCATTTCTTGTAAGGTCTATTCAACTTAGCTATTGGGATGAAATATTTTCATCTAAGTCGCAGATCCACCTGGATTTCATTTCCCATCACGGAATTATTTATTTTTGCGTAGAGCAAATGCTGAACCGTGATATTTGCCGTCTTTGCGTCAAAAATTAAACTCACTCACTCACTCACTGCAGCGAGAGTAAGTCTAATCAGAAATGCATTCGAAAAAAATCTGATAAAGAAATTTAATCAAAAATGAAATAATATGATCAATGTAAATAAAAAGAACATACCGGGCAAAACGATTTATAAATACTTGGTGGCTTCCATATAACTGCTCCAGTGTAATATACTAGCGCATCGCTCGTAACAGTAATATGGGGCTCACCATCCGCGCTGAAAAATTTCTATTCCTCATAGCACGAATATGGTCAGATCATGATGGTTAAACTAATGATCTAAATGATACACCACTAGTTTTTTTAAAAAATCGTGACGACGTTATTTCACCTTTTACCAAAATGCAATTACGATTCTAATTTATCTAAACACGATAGCCGAGAAGATAGTGGCTCAGGTCGCGTCATGCAGGACAAACGAGAATAGACAGGGCAAACTGTCATCCACGAAATGAATGAGTGCTAATCCGGCTTAAACCGGCGCTAACTAAATTAATAACTAATTAAGCAATTCTAATTATTCATTTTTAAACATTTACATTAACATAGAAAATTGATTTAAAAATTTTTTTTGGAAAAAACTATAAATTTTAAGGTAAAATTTCGAAAATGAAAATGAAGCATTTAAACTTATTGTAAAGCAGAATATCCGGTATCCATATTTGATCCGATGGTATATGCAATTTGCGGATATTGTTCCATTTTTCCGGATCCCACGCCAATTTATAATCGTACCACTGCTAAAAGAAAAAACTGGCATCATTTTAATAATCTATCGTATACCATTATGGAACTTCAATCGAATCGAATTCAACTACTAAAAAAGTTAGGCAAAAAAAAGAATCAATCATGCGATTGTAAATGGAGTGAAATTTGAAAATCTGATAAGTGAAGATAAGATTTCGAAATTATAGAGAAAAAAATTCTAGGAGGAGGAAACCGAACTCCATTCAGCCCAAAGCGAACCTCTGTTTAAAGGGACTTATTCTGTATAATAGCTGTCTAAGTCAGCCAAATGATGAATGGCGCAGGAAGGAAACGAATAATGGAGTTGGGCTTTGCTAAGAAGAAAAGAAACAGACCATTTCGAGCCAAAGATTCGTCGTAAGGACTTGGTTGACTTCATCCTGTAAAATTTCCTCTCTATTTTTACAAAATTCCATAAATCATTCATTTTTTTGCTTTTAATCTATTTTATTTTAAATAAATGAAACAACAAAAATCATTATATTTTTCTTTTGGCAACAAACTGCTTTTATTTTAAGTAAAATAAATAATGAAAAAAATTGCCGAGAAAATATTTTTCTTTTTTAAATTTAGATCGTTCATCATGATTGACCTAAAACAATTTAAATTTCTTTGTGATATGATAAATTCGAATTTAATCGTTTTTCATTTGCTCTAATTGAAATAGAGCATTTTTCTAATGATAATTACGAATAAATAAATTAGTGCATTGTCTTAGTTCGAAATGAAAACTCATGATTATTGCAACTTTTTGTGTGGAACTCATAATTTTTGGTCGAATTTGGTATCATTGGATAGTAAAATGATCGCCAGAGAGCCTTGCGGATAGAACAACAGCTTTCGATGAGGTTTTTAATTCTGTCAAAAGGAAAAGAGAAACTAAGTCGTATTAAGCTTTATTGCTTCATTACATATTTTCCTACAGAATCATTGCTTTTATTGGATTTAATATGGGATTTACTGATTTGCAATGGCTAATAGAAGTGAAATACGAATAGCTGTTGAGAGTGCAACCTGGTGAAAGACCTTGTTAGGAAGTGAAAGCAGCCAAAGCAAAAACTACGAGTGCTCCTAGAGGATTTATATAGAGGAATACTTAGGGCATGAACTTATCTAGAGGACTTGGGGCATGAATTTCAAATGATAAATCGAATGATAAAAGATCATAAAATGGTTTAAAACCATAAATAAGACTTTACAACGAAATGAGGGTCCATATTTTCGATTAGACGATTGGTTGCAATAAAATTAAGGTTATGGGGTGTTGCGTATTATTCTTCTGCCGACTCAAGGTAAGCCGATATCGAGAAAAAAACACACACACTCGGTGCATTCGGTGCAAAATTTCGTCACGATGACCCATTTTATTGCTTTTAAACAATTCTCTGGAATATTTATTTTGATATGACTGCTTGTCTGCTGGACTGTTTGTTTTCTTAACGAAACAACAACTTTGCCCTCGGCCATTATCCTTATTTCTCGTCGTAAGAGAAAGATATCCAATATATTTCTAGGATAAAGATTCTCTTTTTGGTGGAATTTTCAGCAAAAATAATTTCTAATTCATAAAATTTCAGTTAAAAGCATGTTGAAAAGCGATTTTTATTATTTCACAGCTGTTTCAAGTGTTATAATATCCTTTATAACGCTTTGTGCATTATTATTAACATTACCTAAGATTCATATGGAAGCTGAATACGAACGTGAAAATATAATGCAAAAATCTGAGCAGTTCAAGGTGATATACTTATATACTTTTACTTATACTTTTATACATACTTATACTTTTCTCTAAGTTATTAACAATTGGTGTGACAAGTAATGGTGATAATATGATAAAAATGATAATGCTGATAATGGTTATAATTAAAAAAAGTGGCGAGGTTCACAATAATTTTCTGATGAATGTTAAATGTGAAAATATAATCGAGTGGACGGTGGTTTAGATTAGATTATACCGTAATAAAAATTTGAAGCAAGATTTCGGCTCTTTCTTCAGATATGAACAAATCTTTCATTGAAAAAACCAGACAACGGTGTGCTTTTATTGCCAAATGCTTCGTTGGTACAAATTACTTAGTGAGACAGCCAGCGGAGCTAACACAACCAGAAGTAATGAACGCTAACCTTTTGTTACTTACTGATTACTGATTAGCTACAAGAATCGGTTTCACTTCACTTTCATCCAATTGTCGCTCGCATTCGTTGCTCGCAGCGATAAAAAAACTTCAGATGGCTAAATCGGATTTCTATTTCAATCTCGGAGAAACAAAATCCACAAACAATTAAGGCAAAACCCTTTATGCGAATGGATTAGCGCAATAAAAAGCCCTACGGTGAATAACGTTTTTATGATAAAAAGATTAATTCATTTAATTCGATAAACGATTATCAAGGCGAAGATAAATGAAGTTTGGAGCGAAATGAAAATCGCGACATATTTCCCAGCGGAAACAATATTGTTGCCGAGGAGAACGCGATCACCTTGGAATATGATTTGTTCGGGATGCATACAACTAAGGTTTCATTGTTACCGATCATTTACTTGAGGATAAATATTAGGATTTTTCACCAAAATGGATCATCTTTTTTCTATCGAAGCACTTTTATCGCATTTAAGTTCATTCTTTCTTTAAAAAGAACAATTTTAATTCTACGAGATTTATAAATAAAAAGAAAACTATTGACCTATTTTTTATTTCTCAGTAGAAATGCAATCAACAACCGTTCATTTCTGTCGAACTACTGAAGATGATCAAATAAAAACTATGTACAATAAAGAATAAAGAAATACACAGAAATATATAAATTCTAGCTGTCCCACTGGTCCTCCTGGTCTTGGAGGTCGACCTGGCCAAGACGGATCACCCGGTATGAGTGGGAACCCAGGAGCTCCTGGAGATGATGGTTTTGATATTGAATTGGCTCCAGAAGATGATTTACCATGCATTATTTGCCCTGCTGGTCCTCCAGGACAGAGGCTAGTTGGATTATACGAGATTCTTTTCTTACATTCTTATAAAAAAACAATTTATACTAATAAACAGTTTATATTTCAGTCCTATTTCAGAGGCATACAAGGTGAAATTGGAATGTCCGGTGAGCAAGGACCACAAGGAGAACAAGGACCAAGCGGTATCACTGGAAGTGATGGGGCATCTGGTTTACCGGGGCCTCCAGGGCCGAGAGGCTTTAAGGGACAGGCTGGGCAAGCTGGGCCGCCCGGTGACACCGTGATAGCTGGTGTTGGTGTAAAGGGAGCAAGAGGCCCGTCTGGCCCAGCCGGTCCTAAAGGTCCCACTGGTCCTCATGGAAAAACTGCGAAACGGGCAGGGACACCAGGTAAACCAGGCACGATCGGACCTATTGGTCCAGTCGGAAATGCAGGAAGATTTGGCGAGGAAGGATCGTGGGGACCACCAGGTCCTCCAGGTAAATTCCTTATTACCAATTTTTCAATCAACAATTAACTGCAAATTATTGGTTATTATATCAAAAATTCTATTCAAAACTCATGCTTAACTAGTCTAAAGCTAAACTCATTTTATTAGTAGAAATTCCTTATCGCTGATTTTCACAGGAATACCAGCCTCTTATTGCAACTCAGATTGTGGCCTACAGAAAGTGTATGCACCGGCATTCATTGACGAACTCATTCCGCAGAACCAGGACGAACCCTACCGATATCAACTGTAACTAAGCCACTAGGACAGATTCGATAGAGATTTATTTCTCCGCCATATTCCTTTTCAAATTAATCTACACTAATTTATTTGCCGACCGCATAAACTAAATTTAAGAAAATCTTTTGCTAAATTTCAAATATTGCGAAATTTTATAATATTTGCTGGCATAACGCATAACGCATTTCCAATTGTCAGGCTAATAGACCTCATCCTAACAGCTAAAGGAGCGAGCGAAACCAGAAATGAGTATTGGAAAAGAAAGCAATCATCTCTATAATATTCATGAAAATCCTGTAGAAAAAAAGATTAAACATTTAAAATGACTTCAGAAAAAAATTCCCCCCCCCCCCCACCAGATGGGAATAAAATGAGTTCTGAAGATGACTTTAAGAGAATATAGCGAAGTCTGCGACAGAATGCGTCAAGGAAAAGCAAGTCAAATTCAATTTTAGGCTATACTTCCATTATAAAAATTCTAATTCCTAATCTTATAATTTTTTACGAAATCATTCGGTAAATTCTCAAGTATTTAATAAAACTCTTTAGTAATTTGATTGGCACTTGACATGATTCAATTAAATGCTTTTTTGATAAATTGATAATGAAAAATTAAACGAACCACATCGATGATTCTTATCAGTGATGCTCCGAATTTCACTTGAACTGCACTACTTGCATTTTTAACAGGTCTTACATTCTTATTGTAATAATATAAAAGATCTTCATAGAGTTGATCCGCGTAAAGACTGCATCGTGCACTGTCAACTAAAACCTTTACACTTTCATATTTACATCTTAGATAGCCTCAAATTTTTTAAAAAATTTCTAATTATTCAAAAATAGAAAAAAATAAGAAAATAAAAAAATGAAATCTAAATTTCAGTTTAAAAAATGGATAATTTTCAATGATAATGATGATAAAAGTGATAAGCAATCTTACCAATTAGCACTAATAAAAATATAAATTTTATGAAATTCAGCATAAATAAATTTGCTATATGTAGTGAAAACTGGAGGATGAGAGAAGCTTAAAAGAATTTAGCCGACTTATCACAACGAATTTATCACTGACAACAACTGCTCTCAGCGATTCACATTGCATATAGATTTTTCGGATTTTCTAATAAACATATGCGTTAAATCCCTTCATAAATCTGTAAATTTTTTATCAAATCTTTTATCAATTGCGATGAAAATGAATTAGTGCGATAAACAGATAAATGCGCTTTATATTCTCTCAATAATTCTTCATGCAATATTAGAATGAGATGGAAAAATCTTAAAATCTTAACATCCCGAAAAATTTCGATATAATTAATCAAATCGTACTTTTAACGCCGTAAAATAGTAAATAGTAAATAGCGAAGCGCAATTGCACTCGTCTAACAATTCAGAAAATATTTCAACGAAATGGCTTAATATCACTAAATAGTAATAATCGCGAAGAATTTTATCAATCAGTTGTCTGAAAAAATTAGAGGAATGGCAGAAGGTTGTTGCTTATCGCTTCGAGAAAACTAAGGATCGTATCCGTCCTCTGAAAGGAATAAACCCAACATAAAAAACCAGAGCTCTGTTGACGACCCAACTGGATTTTATTCCAAAATAGCACCTTGCAAATTTATCACCACACTAAAAACTAATGCAGCCCGATACAAATGATAATGATGCTGAGAATGCTGAGATTTTTTTTATAATCAGAAATTATAAGAAACCTTAAAATTTAATTTTTATTCCAAAGAAACAGCGAAAAAGATATAATTCGAATGCTTATGTTTAGATCTTATAATTTTTTTTTCAAATGCCTGAAAATTTTAATATAAAATAATAAAACTGTGAAATTTAATCCAAGAATATTATAATTTATCATATTTAACATTCTATACAGCGAACAAAACAACGAAATTAATTATAAAAAATTATATTTTTCTCAATTAGAAGACGATTTAAAAAAATAAAAAAATTCAACAAGCAAAAATATTCTCAAAAAAAATTTTAAAGAATATTGAAATGATACAAACATTTCTTCGTTCATATAAAAACATAAATTTTTGGAACTGATCTGGAATTTGGAATGATTTTTTAGATTCAGCCATCGCAAATTTTTGATAAATGCTAACTCGATTTATAACAACGGCTGAATCCAATTACTGTTGAAAAATGGTTATCAATATTACAGAATTATTGAATTAGTGAACCATTCTATGAAAACCACGCCAAATTGTTCCTGAATAAGAAATCAAGATTCAACAAACTGTACAATCCATGGATGTTTCATAACCTTCGCTAGAGGTAATCGTCGATTAGGCGCTTTTTTTAGTAACTGAAAATCGAAATTTATAAAGCATTCCATAAAATTCAGTTTAATTATTATAGGACAGGCGAAATTGTAAAAAACCAATAAACCGATAAATGAACAAAAAATTAGATAAGATGAGAAAAAAATAAAAAATACACAAACTTTAGAGATTAGATCGCGAGCACCATCCGGAACAAAGTCTGGAAATTCAAAACAGACTTTACTAATCAAATGATAAGTTTCATTACTTGTTCTACTTTCAAATGGCGGCTTACCAACCAATAATTCGAAACAAAGTACACCCAGTGACCATAAATCAACCTACAAGTATGGTTAAAAAAGACATGCTTTTGCAATAAGAAAAAGTGAAATCAAAAAAAACTAAAGCTTAAAAAAAGTTATGATTACTTTTTCATCATGACAATCGCCTCGAATCATTTCTGGTGGCAAATAATCAAGCGTTCCACACATAGTCGCACGTCTAAGAAAAAATTAAAAATTAAATAAACAGAAAAACAGAAATGATTCCAATTTTTTTCATATTTTGCCCTGAGTGCTCAACACTTTCAACTTTTTTATGAATTTATATAACAACAAACCTCGATGATGGTGCATGAACTGACCAACCAAAATCTGCGATCTTTAATTCACCATTATAACCTAATAATAGATTCTCTGGCTTAATATCGCGATGAATAACTCGTTTCCCATGACAATATATTAAAGCATCACTCAATTGATATATTAGCTAGAATTATTTATAATATTATATTAGTTTATTTAATTAAAATTAATTAAATTAAAGTTCATTAATTTAAAATTTAATTAAAATTAAAATATTATTTACTTGAAATTCATTTCAAAACAAGCAATGAAAAAAATGAATAATTCTAACTTATCGAAAAAATTAAAGCGCTATTAGATAGAACTAACTTTTGCAGCTTTATCTTCAGTGAATCGACCACATTTTTGAAGATGTTTATATAATTCTCCTCCATATGCATATTCCAGAATAAGATAAATTTTTTTTTCATCATAAAAATAGTTGTACATTCGTAAAATATTTGGATGTCTAAAAATTTCAATAAAGCTAATTCGAATTTAATCAAATTATAGATAAGGGATATTGGGAAAACCTCAAATGTGCTTGAATCTCAATTTCTCTTCGAAGTTGATGTTCCATATTGGCTTTAACCAGTTGCGACTTAAACATCATCTGAAAGTAAAAGCCAAATGAGGCAGATTTATCATTTTTTTTAAAAAAATGAACAAACGATTATAAACAACCATCAAACAGAATAATAATTAATTTAAGTGAACAAAAAAAAACATTAGTCAAATAAAATAAAAAGAAAATCTTCCCTCTTAAATGAAAAAATCAAAAGGTAAATTTGAGAAAAAATTAATAAGAATATACTATATTAAATATTATGAACTAAGATAAGAAGTTAACAAATTTTTTTTGATAAAACCTTCAAAGCAATGATGAAATTCACGCCACGAACTCGAGCGAGAAATACGTTTCCAAATTTTCCTTTGCCAAGCGGACGGCCAATATCAAAATCCTTTATCGTCCATATCCTACTAAAAACTTTCAGTTAAAATATGAGAATCAATAAGAAAATTCAACAAGAGCCAAAAGATATCCTAATCTTCATTATTACCATAGGAAGCATTAAATAATTTCATCAAGCTTTATCAACAAATCTAAATCTAATCAGTCTAATCAATAATCTTGCAAATTTCACCAAAAGAAGCAAAAAAAGGTTATAAAAGCTTTCACTGTCCTATATTAGAAAAAAATAAAAATTAAAATAAAAGATGCAAAAAATTTCAACTAAAACACAAAAATCTAATGGAAAACTTTGGATTTCTGATCAAATTTTCATCGTCGATTTCCATTCTATTCAAATCTTGTGCCAAATTCTTATCGAACGTCTCTAATTTTTCAGTAATTTCACCATTTATTTCATCATTTTCATCATTTGTTTCTGATTTTTCATCAATTGGAATGCAAACACGCTTTTTATTTTGATGCAATCTTTTCATAACAAATTCTCCTTGGAATTTTTTGAAAAATCTGGAAATTTTAAAAAACGTTTGGGAAAATTGGTCTATAACACTCAACAAAATAGGATGCCGTTTAATGGAACATCGATAGAAACAACGGTGTTTCGATGGTGTTTAGGGAATAAGACTCCGAAAAAGTTGTTAGAGAGGTATAGCGAGGACTCAAAGGTGGTTATATTGGATCTGAGATATTTTTAACACTGTTAAGTACTGAAAGAACAATGGGGATGAAAGAGAGAGGTGATAAAAGGAAATAATGGAAAGAGCTTGGCATCCCAACTTATTTTTCTATTAACTGTAACTAAGGAATAAAAATAATAATTAACTATAATTATTAAAGAAACTATAATATTATGAAGCTATAGTATTTGCAAGTTATGAAGTGAACTGCAAACATTACGAAGACATATCGATATTATCGAAGATAATTGTAACAAAATAATGCAATAAATCCTGTAAGAATAAAAATTCAAGCTGGAAATGAATTTCAGATTTTTAATGAAATATAGTAGCTATCTAAATGATATTTAATATATGGTTTACTTTCATTGTTCATCCTTTTCTAACAGCGACCATCATAGGGTGATTCCATTAGCTGTAGAGTTAAAGCATTTCCAGGCCTCTCGATCGAAAGCCATATCTGAAAGTAACAAGTTCGTCCTCTCGCTACCTACGTCCAAACGCGCCTATGTTTCAAAGCCGCTGGTAGTACCAGTGCACTTCTTTTAACATAATCGATCACAAAGCTTTGTAGTAAGATGTGCAGTAATTGGTAGGATAAAATGCATTTAACCAATGAAAACGAAGCTTCGCGAAAAAAATGCTATGCTAATGCAAATTTAAAGCGCGCTTCAGGCACGAACGACCGATAGTAGAACTTCGTGGCATCTTCCATTCTCACGTATAGTAAGCACTACTGCCAGACAGATAATAACTTATTGATTTGACTTATTGATTCCACCACTATCTCAATATAGCAGAACGGAAGAGAAATACGTCGATCTGCGTTGAAATTTCGTACTCCGCTTGTCTCTTACCAAAAATTATCACTTATCACTTGGCAAAAATTATTATTAACATTAAGCGAAAATCATTGAAAACAACGCCACACTCAACTGCTGGCGAGGAAATTGGCACTGAGTTAAATAAAAAATAAAAAGTAAAATCGCGAAAAGATGATAATTTCCATTTGAGCTGCTCTTTTGAGTTCGAGTAAAAACATACTGACCGCAAATATTCAAAGTTATAGGAAACCGCGTAAATCATGATCGAAGCTTTTCGCGAATTCGCGAATAACTCATCCCGAAATTTAAAGAACCCCGAATAGCCGTCCCACCTTTTCTTTGAACTCGAAAATTTGAAAAATCAAAAAATTTAAAAACTTAAAATTACCACATTTTATTTTCATTTTAAGACCATTTTCTTCATAGAAGCACAAAATTTTGACAAACCTTACCCTTATTGTACCAATAGCGATTCTAATAATTGTGAACGTGGATACTTTTCGGTTACATGGGCAGCGCCAAAATTTTCTTCTACTCTCTTCTGCCTATTTTCCTCATTTGTTCCTTTATTCTCCCAATTCTTAAGAATTCTCTCCCATAGCTCCAATTTATTCCGTCAGTCAATTGCCGTATATTTCTCATCGTACAGCGTTATCAATTTTTTTTCTAAAAGTCCTCACCGTAACTGGTCAAACTCGATCCACTGGCTTGTCGCACTGGACAAATATGCTAGGGAGTCTCCGGATGATGCTAGCGATGGAAATACAGCGCCAGCATCACCCTGATTTTTGGACAGGTTTACTCCTGTTATCAATGAAGCCAGTGAATTCGTAATCAGCAAAAATTATTTAAATTTATAAATTACAGTTTTTTGGATTTATTCATATGAATTCGTTATTAGCTGCAATATTCACGATAATAAAATTTTTTGATTAATCTTTCTTTATCAATAATCAATAATCGTACGTTATCAGCTCGTTCCATTTAATTATCGTAGTATCATTGCAGATTTGACTGTCACTCACTTTTTAAGTTCTTTTTGCGCTTCTTTAAAAAAAATTTTCAAAATTTTTATTCATTAGGGATAGAGAGAATGGAAAGGCCAATCAACTGAATTTCTTACCTTAGACTCACAATGGCGACGTAATTCTTCATTTTTCTTTCATACATAAGAAAGGCAATGGGAGTTTCGAGAGAGCTAAAAGGAAAAGAATGATAGGAGAGAGAAAGAACAGCGACCAGTCTTGCCAATAAGCCTACGCCTAAGTCGACGTCGTTTGGCTTTTTACGACTGATAAGATATTCCAAAAATTTTATCATTGTCAAATGAAACCTTTATTTCAGTGCAATCATAATTACAAACCATAGAATCAACAAACAAAGGAAAAGTTTTATCGCGCTGAAATTTACGGAAATTCAAAGTCAGAACGCAATAAAGGCAGAATCCAATGAATCAACGGGAAAAAATAATGGTTTCGGCTCGTATTAGCATTATTTCGCGTCAATTTCTTCAAGGGGTATTGGTCGATCAATTGATAATTTATTCTTATCAATGATTTTCTGTATATCTGCAGTGACTTTATGAGAATCTGCTTTATGAATTTTATAAATAAAATAAAATCTGAGTGGAATCAGCGACCGCACTTGTACTTCTATCGCCAAGTGATTCTTCCCTAGCAAAAATTTCTAACTGAATTAAGAGCTAATGAAGTGATAACCAAAATAAAAACAAAACCTATGGGAGAAAATTATGGGAGAAAATAAAAATTATTTAATTATTTTATTATTTTTTGAATAAATAAAAACGGAGAATTTTATGAAAAATTTAAATTTTTATGAAAAAAAATTGGATGAATTTTCATAAATTGAATACGATTGATAAAAATATTCTAAAAAATTTAAAATTTAAAAATTAAAAAATTGAAATTCTCGAAGAAAAATAATTAATAGTTCATTAAGATTAGAATTAATAAGTTGTCAAAAGTAAAGTAAGTAAAGTATTGGATTTACGATTAACGGTTTGTCACTCATTGCCATGCGTTTCCCTCTTATTTTCCTTGCACCCAGTATTTCTGGTTTGGCTTATTCTACTGGTTGGTTATTCTACTATATTACTATCGCTTCAAGCATTTAGAAAACCGAAAGCCTCATACCGATAAGCCTAATGGGCCTTTCATATTCTCGCATTTTAGTGGTCGAATATGGTTCCACTCGTGAATTCTCTTCTTTCCTATTATCGTTAACTGAAAATCATTTTTTATAATTAAATAATTAAAAAACTGAGTAATGATCGTCCAAGGAGACGACTCACTTATCGTTTTAATGCCACAGCAAATATGCCTTCGAAATAATTCATCATATTCGCATGTATAGTTCAGTGGACATTGCCTTTTGGCGCAGATTCGTGGACGACTATTTTCAATTAAAATTTCTTGTGGTTCTCGACAAACTAAAAAAAAAAAAAAATCCAAAATCTGATAAGAAAAAATGAGAAAATCTGAATCTGAACAGTATTAAGGGTCAAGGATCCACGCTGTCAGCCGAAGATGCATGCATGCATGTTTTGGAGATTCGCTGCAAAATTTCATGAATATTAATAAAAATCTTACCAGAGCCAATACATTTGGTTTCGCATTCCTTTAAGGTCTCAAATCGATTTTGATTAACGCCACGACATTCGAGGACAGTAAATTTCTTACAGCTTAAGCTAATAATATCGAAATAATACATAGGACGCGAATCGCATTCACCATAACCAGGTTGAGGAGGCGATAAGCAAATCATCACTAAAGATCGCGATAAACCTTGATATGTTTAATTTTCTTTTCAAGAAAGAAAGAGGAGCAATAATAATCGTACTTCTTCGAGAACAACAATATGAGATTTGCAGTCCAAAATGAACAACACCAGGAATAGGAGTGCATGCGTGATTTGGCGAACAATTCGTATCTATGCGACACCATATCACACTTCCATCAGCTAATCGCTCGGGTTCAATGCCATAAGGACATTGTTCTAGGCAGCTTTATTAGGTTCAGTTGAAATCATAAATAATGGTGAAAATATAAAAAGTTATAAACGAAAATCTTGATAGATTACCAAAATTAGATTATAGTTAATACTGATTTTAATATTTGATTATAATAATTATTGGCCCAATTTTTAATTCTCAATAAAATAGTAGCTGAATGATCGTTGTTCAGCTTATTTTCCAGCAACGTGAAGATTCCACAAGAAGTGAATGTTTCATTAGGAAAACCTGGTGGTACCATGGATTTGCCTGTATTTCCATCTATAAATGACAAATACTCTCTAATTGCCACAAATTGTTTATTAACAGCCATTGAGCTAGAAATGCCAGAAATGCTAACTATTACTAACATATATATTTTTCGATCCACTTAAGTTATTAAGAAATAATCTATTAGATTTCATCTGAAATTTATGAGATGAAATTATTTTCGCTATTATAATTTAAAATTTATTATAATTTCGAAAAAAAATTTTTTTTTTTAGAAATATGCCTCTCTCGCATCTTTATTTGATTCATAACTGAGAACTGAAAACGAACCGAAATTGTTGTTATCAGTTATCGTTGATCTTGCCAAAAACGGCAAAAAAGCGCCATTTTCATGAAAAAATGAAAATGATAAGAGATTGAACAATTTTGTTATGGCAAACATCATTCATTTACAAGTTTTATCTCATTCGTTCCATTAAATATAATGTTTCTTTCAAATACCTAAATATTGAATCATAATTTTAAATTCTTTGAATTCTTCAATAATTGATAACAGCAATGATGATAAAAATGATAATGTAACAATAACGGCAGCTAGAATTATGTTTTTCCGGTTGATGAAACCTTTATAGAACCGTGGCGAAATCACCATAAAAACGAAAATCCGCGCCCATATGGCTGCAATTTGTTCGATTTTACTATATGGCTATGAAACATGGCCAATGAGAGTGGAAAATATTAAGAAGCTATTAGCCTTTGACCATTCATGTCTAAGGTACATTCTACGGATCCGCCGAGCAGATAAAATACATGGTTGTACCTAATATACTAAATATATGATTAATTTCATTCAAATTCGCCTTCGCTGGTTAGGGCTCCGTTGTCCAGCACAAGAATTGATGCTTGCTATTTCGTTACTTGCTAAACCGTGTGATGAATGGCGTCAAAGTGAGGTGAGCCAATCAAGACCTGGTCTGATACAGTCAGGAAAGATTTTAAACGTATAGGGAGACCAGCGATATATGGACTTAGACGATGGAAAAAAGAATAGCTTCTATTACTACTAGCGATGGCGTCGGACCGGGCAGTTTAGAGACGTCTTACTTTTGTAGCCAGCGGAGCCAACCTAACCAGCAATGGTGAGAGCTGTTAGAAGAAGAAGATAACAGAAATAATGGTAAAAATGATATTGTAACAATAACAATAAGAAATGATAAAGAAATACTAAGTGATAAAACAATTCATCGCTAATTATTTCCTTTTTTGTTGACTCAAATTTTTCATAACTGAATAGTGTTAGGCAACTATCTGTGTTGTTGTGACGAATCCACTTGTGCCTTTACCTCAAAGTTACCTTTTGCTAAAAAGATCACCGCTATCTAGTAATCGTCTAATAATAGCAAATAACTTTGAAAATTGGATTAACAGCCTCCACTTGATAAAAAGGAAAAAATGGTCGTTGTTGGCCAACCATTCATTGTTCATTGTTTAGTTATTAAAACTTCCTGATTAGAAAAAATATTTCGGAAATCGGTCAACATTAGCCAATAGCACCACTCAAAATTATTTAGGCGAGAATTTGCTGCCTTTGTTTTCATTCTTGGTACTCTTTCTCGTAAACTTTCATTTGTATAATTGGATTTAAACTGGATGCAAGCATTATTAATAGATTCTCGTGAATTGTTGCACTTTAATTTACCGCACCACAATTCTGCTCTTCGTACCAAAATGAACCAAAATTCGGAATCTGTAGTTTAAATCCATATTTAGATCTTATAAATTAGCGAGTAGATTATCGAGTAGCTAAGCCATTTATTATGTGTAGAAGTCTCGTAATTGAATATTTATCCAGTCTTTTCTTGTTCTAATAATGTACAACTGGACTAGTTCCACAGGTTTAGGGATGCAGCAAATATAATATTTTCATTAAAATTTATACGAACGGCATTAAATATTTGCATAACACTTTCTTTCGTATGAAATATTTTGATAATGAAACTCCACTTGAGAATATTTATTTGCTAAATGCCTAATATTTGTTTTTTTCATTATTCCACTGTTTGGCATTCTAATTAAAAAATTAGATAGAAAAACTTCAGAAAATTTGCCGTGGCTAAAGTGAAAATCAAAGAGGCGCACGACGAAATGGTTCCAGCAACAATAAAGGTAGATAAACGAGAAATGATACCTCCTGCTAGAAGAAGAATGCAGAAGGGGGGAGGGGTGGAAGAAGTTATTACTCAGTGTCCGCTTTCGAGACCAAACCTCTTTATAACGTAGGAAAAACGATATAAAAGGCAAAATTTTTTATTTCCTGCCATTTAGAAAATTAAAATGGATTTTTTCGAAGCATAAAATATTTTTGTATAAAAACAAAACCCTCCTCTATACATATATATTATCAATAAGCAAAATAACATATTACACATATATAAAATCAAATAAACACAAATAAAGCAAACTTAAAAACTTAAAAAAAAACTTAACATAACCGTTGATAAAAAATTTATAAAAAAAAAAAGCAATGAATAAACGAAAAACCAAATAAGAACCATAAATAGTAGTGATGAGCAGCAGTTTATAAGTAAGGAACCAAAAGGGCACAGAAAAAAAGCAGTAAAACAAAAAGTAAAATATTGCATAGTGGTGGATTTGTCAAAAAATTCTGAGGCCATGTCATTGAAAAATTTAACTTGAAATTGAGCATAATTTCACACATATTTACGATCGTTGAACAGAAATAATAAATTTATCCAAAATTATTTAGAAAATAGTTAATTGCATAAATAAATTTATTTCCGTTCCTATTTTAAAAATTTAAGAACTTCTTAATTTAATAAAAATTTGGTAATTAAAAATCCTAAATTGAGACTATATCATAACTAAACAACAATTATCAAATTTTATAATAATTTTTATTCCATATAATTCAGTTCACTTCATCTTATTCATTGTTCCTATCATTCATTTCCTATTTCTATAAGTAATTTTCAAGAAAAAAGCTTTGAATTCAATTTCCGATTTCAATAATAATTAACCAGTGGAACTGCCGGCTTTTATTATTACTGCAAATACCCACAAGAAAATACTCACATCACTGTATACAATAAAATTCAATTTTAGTTTAAGACTTAAAAAAAGAATTTAACGAAATGAACAATGAGAGTAAAAAACTTTCGACACACCCATGTCAGCAGTTACACGTCGTGCTAAGTATATATTTATCCGCTGAAATATTATGAGTCTATCAATCGATGGTTATGTTAAACATATCGCTCAAAAAAGTAAGCAATTCAGTATATTGTAGCAATTCATAACCAAAAATGCACTTTTAGAAATGAAAATATTTAAAATACAAACGAAATAAACATTATGAAATATCCCCTACATACTTGAATGTTTCGTAATCCTCATTTCTAAGCGTTTAAAAAGAATATTTATAAAAAGAAATAGCTAAACAAAAAAGAATAAACTGTATATAAACGCGAGTGCACAACAGTATATGGGACATCTGTACAAAAAAGAAAAACAAATCTATGGCACCAAAAATTTACATGTAATTTCGATAGGTATTACTTGGATCATGCCAAGAAGCCGGTGCTTCTGGACTTCCCATATGTATACTTTCCATGGCCTGATTATAATAGTAGTCTTGCATACCAGCGTTGCAATATATGTTACCCGCCACTGCTTCTTGATTTTTCACATCTGCTATATTTGAAAAAATATTAAACAATACTTGGTTCAATTCTATGATAAAAACAGAAAATTTTTTGATAAAATTTAAAATAAAATTTTCTGCATCAAAAGAAATTTCGCAATTTTATACGTGAATGAAAGAAAGAAAACAAACTTGATGGATAAGATGGCCTAATTTGTTGATGCGATAGCCTTTGCTGGGTTGAATCGAATTGTGGAGAGCAGAAAATTGTGGCAAAAGGATCATCATTTATTGACAAACCGGATAAATCCTGAAAGTCGCTTATTTCTTGCGAGAATTACGAATAATCTACGTGGGAAAAAAAGAACTGAGGTCTTTCATTATCTAACAATCCGGAAATTCCCATCTCATCAAATTTTTTAAAATAATATTGCCTAAAAAGCACAAAAAACTAAAGATCAAACCTAAATTAAAACCATCTATTCAACAGGCTTTTAGAGATTTGGAGATAAAAAACCTCAAAATTGAAAACAAATTCATATAAAACAAAACTTTTACCTCAGGCCAAAAATCCGAAGAAGAATAATCCAATGTACTACAATTCTGAGCATTTTCCCTCAAGTATGGTGTTGACTGAGAGCTGGACATTTGCACAGAAATATCCTGAATTATTTTAAAACATAAACCGAAGAATACCAGCTAAAATAATTTAAAATTTTAAGAATAAATGGTTTTAAACCATTGTTCAACAAAAATCTAAAAACTCTTTCATGTAAAATTTAATAATGCTAAAAAATAAGCCAATATGTAAGGTGACGTTGATAAATTTGAGATAAGTTAATGCAAAAGAAATTATTGGACTCATACTTGAACACTCTCCTCAGAAGAGCATTCATGACCGCCACATGCAATTGGTGTTGTAGACATCGTAGGTTGCTGCTGTTGTTGTGGAAAATGGCCCAATTGATCACCTATATATGGATTAGTCATCGAATAATTTGAAGGAATGTAATTCGCTTGGTGAGCTTGTGGATAAGATGAATTATAAGGTATTTGGTTAGGAGCTGTTGCAACTGTTGAGCGGAACATTGGAGCACTGTTCATATAATTATGGTAATGGATTGCCGGATTGCCACCTTGCAAAGACCTTTGATAAGCCTGTTCAGCATACGTTGCTGAAAGAAAACTTGCTAAAAAATAAGCCAATATGTAAGGTGATGTTGATTTCAATTTTAAGGTTTTTTTATCTCCAAAACTTTAATTACAAAGATTAAAAATTTTAGAAACAAATAAATAGAAACAAATAGATATAAAAAGAAATAAATTCTACTGATGGTATTTGTTCAAATGCTACTTTGAGTATTAATTTACTTAATAAAATGGAAATGGAAAGGAAAAAAAAATTCAGCACGAAGGAAGCTTTTCAAACTAATAACTTCAATAATTCAACAATGGATAAAAATTCATTTACAAATATTTGAGGGCAAAATGAAGTATTTATTTAATTTAAAAAAGCATAATTTCATAATGTCAAAAAAAGATATGCTATATAAGAAATAAAAGATTAACAGAGAAATAATTTTGCTAACCAAATGCTTGATTACGACTTCGAGAATAATGTTGAAATGTGGCCATCAATGAACTGTCTGATGAGAATAAAGCTGCCATCTAAAATTAACTGAATTTTGATAAATTCAATTCATATTCAAATTTATTCAAATAAAAAATATTGCATCAATGTTAGATATTTCAATTAATCATTGGTCTAAAAGTTTTATCCGCCTAATTTTTAAATTAAACTACAATAATAATCAACAATTCAAACTCTATTAAAAGAAATGGCATTCATATCACTAGGCATCGAAATGATAAGATCTTTCTAAAATTTTGTTCAATCGAAACTAGACGAAAAAAAATTTTACTAATAATAAGAGAAAAAAACAAACGTCTGGATATAAAGCCAATTCTGAAATCAATCCTAATGCACTGCGTTTTAAATTTTCATCTTCGACATATGCTTGGTAAAGGCAAAACGTTGGAAGCGGAACACTTTCTCCACCTTCTTTATAAAGATGATAGTCCTGTCTTCTAACCATATAAACAATCTAAAAAAAATATGAATATATTCCTGAGATGCTCCACAATTAAGAAAGCATGAACAATATTAATTATTTCAGAACAAAGATGGATTTATCAAAAAAAAACGGATATACTTGATTAAGAAGGTGTGGATCTCGGCACATTAACTGAAGTGTTGAAAGAGATAACTGAATAAGCTCAGCAACTCTGATTTCTTCAATCATTTGTGTCTAAAATATTAATGTTAAATATTTAATAGTTAATGTTAAATATTCAATATACGTTTGTTATTTAAAATAAAATTTTTTAAAAAAATTCAGCAAAAGATATTCAATTTGTAAAGGCATTTCACCTCATTTCAATATTTTTATTTCTAAACAAAACTTTAATTATAAAGATTAAAAATTTTAGAAACAAATAAACAGAAACAAATTCTGATTTTAGAAACAAATAAACAGAAACAAATACCGATGGTATTTGTTCACATGCTACTTTGAGTATTAAAACGATCCTTTCAATAAAAGTTGTTTCACAATCAGGAGAAATCCTCAAACGGGTTGAGCGTAAAATGGATAAATTACTATCTTGTAATGCTGCCTTATTCAGTATCTGAAAAGATGCGCAACAATAAAAGGTAAATCATATTAACCTAATTAATAGCTTTTGGAACTTATAGCTAAACTAGTAGGCAATTTTTCTTTTTCATTTTTTTATAATGTTTTTCATTAATCCAACAAAAAAGTTATAATTATGAAAAACTTAAAAAAATTTCTATAAAAACAACAATATTTAAAACTTTGGAAAGAAATTCTGTTAAAACCAGCAATCTTAGTCTTAAAGACAATATGTTGTAAATTATCACTATTTACAGTTGAATCACCTAGTTAAAAATTTCAAAAAACACCTGTAATGTCTGTTTGAGTATTGACGGACGCATTTCTGTAAGTTTACGTAATAAAAACTCAGCAGCAAATTCTGTATGTAATATCACTTTTTGCGCCTCAGCTTGATGAGAATGCCCAACACATAAATGACGCAATGTGGCTAATGCACGTTCCTAAATTTTTCGTTGAAAAATGTTTGAAAAAAATGTTTCGTTGAAAAAAAAATGAATAATGTTTATAAATTTATTTTAATCTTTGAATTTTTTTTTAAAGAGTCTTCAAGAGTCGTTATTGGTTAAACTCGCTCCGCTGGCTTGTCGCATTGGACAAATATGCCAGGAAGTCCCTTGGCGATAGAAATACAGGTAAGTCGCCAGCATCACCCGGGTTTTGTACAGGTTTACTCCTGCGGAAAATCGAACCTCAGCATTGGCGCTCCGAATTGAGCAACCCATTCTATCCCCAATCTTTACTAATATATTAATTTATGTTAATCGTTTATTTGAAATTTAATTATTAATAAAATTTCCACTATTTTATTATTTTTAAATTGATTTCACATCTCTTATAATTGATAATTAATAGTGAAGAAATATGGTACCTGTATATCTTCGATGCGTTGCTGTTGGCTAGGAGTTGCAGCAGGAGTATTACAATAATTAATGAGAACTCGATAGAGAGTTGTAATTGCTCCACGACCATACAAAAATTCTTTATTCTTCTGGTTATTAGCCAGTAAATTTGATAAAATACCTGTACAATAAAGAACGACAATTGGGTCGACAGCGCCTGAAAAAAAAAAACACCCAGAATGACTATAAATGAATGCACAGAAGCCGAAATCAGTACATTTTAAACCAAAAAAACTGACCTAAAAGTTGGATAAGTTTATTGAGAAGTGCGGAAACATCAATGTCTTTCGTTGGTACATCGGACATATTTCGGATGCATTCAAGCGTCGAAATTATCAACCGCTGACTCGCGTGATCCAACTGCCTATATAGAACATCATAACCGCCACAAACAACTACAGCTTGAGGATCCTACAAGTTCCGAATTTAAAAATTCTAAATGAAAAACTGGACTTAATTTTTTCCAATCAAAATTCATTTTAAGACAATTTTCTTTTATCCAAATAAATTTTACAACAAAAAAGCGTGAAAATATGAAAAAATAAATGAACCGCATTCGAGAAAGTCTTCAACAACTGAGTTGTCCTCCATAAAAGACCTTCATAACGCAAATTTCTAAGGATATTTAATAGTTTAACAGGACCATGTAATTGAATAAACAATGTCTAAAAAAACAATTATTTTCCATTTATCGAATCGAAAAATTTTATCCATTTAACTATGACTATTGTTTTGAGTTTGAAATTGCAAAAAAAGAAATGAATAATGAATGTTTCAAGCATTTAAACAACATTTAAACAATTAAAATGTTTACAAACCCTTTGCGATTGACTTTTATCACATAAAAGGCGAACACATTCAACAATAACAGAAAGCAATTTTTCATTAGTTTCCCGATCCAAAAATTGCGTAACTGCTTGAAGAGCAGCATTTTCCCTGGCGATTTCTACGTTTCGACCTTCGGATGATTTTTCGGCAATAATCGTGTGAAATGTTAAAATGGCATAACGAAGTGCTGATCCACCGCTGCAATGAAATATTGACAGTAAAAAATAATCTTGATTTCGATTAGTACGATCAGATGTAACCGAGTTATTAACACATCATTAAAAAGATTCATTTAAAATTATAAACTGACGTAAATTTAATATGTTGAATAATATCAATGAGAAGAGCACCATTCGTTTGCTCAATAAACTTTAATATACTTTCGAGGCCATCTCTTCGTTCAGAGATTTGAAAAAGTGCTCCCAATGTTGGCTTTATTATCGCCTGTAAAATAAATTTAAAAACTGAATTGTGTTTTTACAAGAACGTCAAATTCATCAAGCAGCAACAGTTTAATGAATAATTTAATTGAATTCCATCAAAAATAAAATAAAAATTAAACCAACTAACAGGTGACTTTGCATGAGTTCGCAATAATTCATTCAACTGAGGTATCACTTCTGATGCACGAATCACTGGTTCAGTATATGGTGGTTGATCTGAATCCATTTTGGCTATATTTTGTACCATTGTGGCAGCACGTTGTACGACGATCTGAAATCTTATCATTTTCATTTAATTATTTTTATTTATAAAAAGCCTATAAATGAAAAATTGGTTCTAATCAATTAGAACAGAAAATTTATAAAGTATTCCTTCTTACCTCATCCGAATCACTAAGAAGATGTATTAACTCCGGTATCGCATTCCGTGCCTCACTATCCTGTGAACCACGTCCAATGTTGGCTGGTATATTTTCAAATTTTATTTGTTGCTGATCCGTTAATTCCATACGAGAATGAGCATCATCAGACATCGTTGAAATCTGTGAGCCTGCTCGTAATGAACTAACTGATATTAACGATGGAGCCTAAAATATAACGGCCATAAAAAGTAATATAAGTTAATACTATAATCCAATATAATAATTTTTAGGTCAAATTACTACAGGTCAATGCATTAACTATCTTAGATATATCAAAAAAGATTTTCTAGGTTAAAAAACCCACTGAACTATGATTCATTGAATGCACTCCACTGTCAAAATTATTGGACCACATTTGGACACGAAACATCGCATTCGTTGCACCATTTGGTGGAGGTGCAATGGTAGCCGATGATGATGATGGCGAAGGCTGATAATTAGGCACTTGTGAAGAAGAAACATGTTGTGAGGCGATAACCTGAGGCGAAACAACTTGCCGAGACGATATAAGTGAAGGTTGTAGGGCCTGAGATGATGGCCTTCCAAGACCCGAATTTGGAGACACAGTCGCTATCGGCAAACATCTCGCATCAGCAGCCACTGTACTTGTTATGCAAGGTTCAACAGGAGAGCACTGAGGTACATAATCCTATAAATTTGCTTGCAGCAATTAAAAATAAATCAGATTAAAAGTAATTTTAATTAGTAAGTAAAAACAGGGATTAAACTGATATCTTAATAATTCGCTTCAAGCAAAATCCATTAAAAAATTTCAAAAAAATAATAAATAAATAAAAATGGAAAATAATTAATTAAAAGAAAAAACTAACATGAGGACAATTATTCATATCAGCATCGACTGTTAAAAACCTGAAATGTTGCAATCATAAATATCAATCAATTCAATCAAAACTCATCAATTCTTACTTTAAGATTTCCTGCTTGGATTTTTCAACTTTTTTTAATATTCGTTTTGGTATTTTCAATTCTAACAGTTAATGTAAAGAACAAAAAATATTAGAACGAAAGAAAAACTATGAATAATTTGAAATTATCAAAAGAAAATGCCAAAAAAGTCGCCAATTGCTTTGGTGAATGAGAAAAAGAAAATTAAGAAAAAAGAATTTTGACTTAAAACAAAAGGACCTAAATAGACCGATCAACCAGTACGAAAGAGCCGTTGCTTGCCATCATCTGCCTTTTTTTTTTCAAAAATATAATCCAATTTAATTTTATTACAATCTCAATTAATAGCGAAATCATTTTTATTATCAATTTAATGATAATTATCATCATAAATTAGCTCAACTTTTATTGCAATCTAATCAAATACCAAATAAATTTGTTGAACTTTTGACAAATTTTTTCATCCGAAAAAAAGGCAATATTTTGAAGGTCAACAAAAAGGCGATAACGGCAAACACCCTTTCACACATGTAGGTGGTCTTCATTATCATCAAATAAGTTCATTTGCCTTTACCCGATTTTCATTAAGTTTAAGACAACCACCTTTCATTAAGAATTATATTAATTTTCATATCGCTAATCTGCACTTTATTAAATATTTTAAGCGACAATCATCAACAATTATCCATAAGTTATGCGATTAACCAATTTTTGATTATCCAAATAACTAACTGAATAAACAAACAATAAGGTCATCATCCCTCTCCATTTGCTAAAAGCACTCATCATTTTTCGCTGTTGCGCTGTTTCTCTTAACTTCACCTTTCTGCCAAAAAGCTTTCATTTGAAAACAGAGATAAAGATGAGTCCATAACAGTCCATAATAATATTTATCCAGATTTTACTTTCAGTGACGGGTTTATTCAATCCGTATTGCCTACCCTCAACCAAAGCAAAATACAATAACTGATCCAATAGCCTAATTGATATACGAAACGGTGATCACAAATTATTTGGTGATATATAAGTAAAAATAGATCCCATTAGATTAATACAATAATAAGTAATCATTAGAAGAGAAACAAATACATGCATCCACAAAGAAAATCGAATGTCTACCAGTACAAATGGAAGAAGAAAAAAACCCATAGTTAAAATAACAATTATTAAGGGAAAATGATGCTGCTAATATCGGAAATAGCTGCAACTCTGCTAAAAGTTCAGAATAACTGCCATTATCATGATTTATGAGCAGATATCGCCGTCGACAGGCAATCGAAAAATAGATGAAGAACGATGAAAATTGTAAATTGTTATTTGACAACGAAAAGAAAAAGATAAGAGACAAGAATAATTTCTCAGCATCAGGCACTTATTTCCAGCTAAATTAATGACCAGTAACTCTTGTCTTATTATTATCATCACTATTATTATTATAGTAACTTTACCAAAGAACAATTTCGAAAAAAAACCTCAAAGGTCATATCATAATTTTTAAGAGGTCATAAAAGATTTTATTATAATCATAATTATCATTGTTTACTAACAAATGCACCAGTATTGTCCTTTCTCATTTTCTCATATCTTTCACTATTCATTTGCTGATAAAAATATGTTAATCTTCTCATAAATCCCATAATTCATGGACTTAGAATAATCTTACAAGTAATCAATTCATTTATCTCTTATCCACCACGAGTATAAACAAGAGAAAATCCTTAAACTTACCTTCCCTACAAAAAATAACCAAATTATAAGTAATATTATTTCAAAAAAAAAAATGATTTGCAAAAGGAAATAAAAGCTAACATATCGGAATTTTTATTCGAAAAAAAACAAGGACAAAGCAATTCTGCAAAGAAAAGAGTTGTTTAAAGGAAAAAATGATAAGTAACGAATGATAACTTATCAATCAATCGGCTGAAAAAAAATAAAAATAAATAGCATTCAAATAGCAGACTTAAATTTTTTTGAAAGCCGACTCATCATTTCCTTAAATTCACAGTCATAAAAAAACGATGAAATACTTAACGGTCGATATTTGGAAAGAATGAATAAGCTGTGGAAATTTTGATCATTAAAAATACCGAAAACTGATAAGAAATCACATTCTTATAGAGATGAAAAATAATTTTAAAAGGAATTGTTATAAACGGTTCTCGCTTTATTTCTCGAAACTATAAATATTTATTGAGTGCGAGGTTTAGTGCGCAAACTGATAATCTATATTAGATAGTTATATTTGATAGCCGATAATTCTTAAAATCCAGATTTCGAAACTGCAAAAAACTGCAAATAACTCGATTTAAGAGAACCATCGATAGTTGAGAAAGCAAATCAATGGTCGACATGATTTAAGACTTTCAACAATATGTGTAATATTAAGACTAAACAAATTAAATTGTTCATCAATCATCCGAATTCAATCAACACATTTTTACAGTTTCACAGTTTAAAACATTATCATAAAAATGTTTCACTTATCATTTTAGTGATTTTTGATAAGAAAATCAAATCAACGAAACAATGCATTTAATCGATTTACGACGTTTAGAATGATCTTTAGAAATTAAAATCATTCGCTTAACCTCAGCAAATCATAATTATCTAAAATAGTACAAATAATTTTAACAAAAGCGCCTCCATGACGATAAAATACGATAAAAGAAACTGTTAAATTATCAAAACCAAGAATGTCCGAACCTGGATTCTTGATGGTTAGAATCAGGAAACGATAAAATACACAATTGCAGAAAATTAAATTGATTAAATGATTATTTATCAACTTATCAAAATGATTGATTTTGATTGATCTGTTCTTCCAAATTTTTTCATATTTTTCGGATCACTATCAAACGATAGAATTTGAATGGTTATGCGTGATAGGCAGTCAATCATTATCCATTTACTAATTTTCGTAATTTCTTGAGGGAAAAAAATTTATTATTTAAGTAAATTTCAGTAAATTTACCTAAAAATTTCGTGATAAATTTCTTTTCTTCTAACAACGAATATTTCTAGTTAAATAGTAATAATATGATTAATAGTAAAGTAAATGCGGATCCATCTAATTCACTCAGATTTTGAACAATAGCATTAATATTTCGCATTTGAGGATATTTTTGCAACTTTCTAGAGGAAAACATTGAATCCGAGCTTTTTGTCCTCAGTTAAAGCAAAGAAAATGAACAATTTTTCAAAAATTCTACTCAAAAATAAAATTCTTTATTTACCTCTAAATAAAAACCAATTAAAAGATTCGACGAAAAGAATTAAAGAATTTTATAAAAACAATTTGTCTGAATGATAAAACTTAGAATGACAACCCAAGTGCTATACTTCGGATTCTATCGCCAAGAGAAGCCAAAGTCCAGGCGATCCTGGGGACTCACCTATTCAGATCTATTATCGAATGAAATCTAAATGCACTCTTATCTCTCTCGAAATTGATGGAAATGCAAGAAAAAATTCCAAAAGAATTTGCGATTATTTCCAAACTTTCATTTTTTTTATAATTAAGCATTATTAGAAGAAAAAGTAAAATGAAGGTTAACGGTAATTGCAGTGTGTATCCAAGGAAAGCAGAAAATATTTGCCTAAGCTTTAATGGCGAGCGAAATTGCGCACACTAAGGTAAATCTTAAGGTAGCAAGAAATACCCAAACATTGGAGTATGAAATTAGATTTTAAAAATTCAACTCAAACAACTCAAATCAAGGCTTTGCCCAACACGCCACCTATAATATCAACGATGGTAACGAAGCCGAATGCCCTGCTGTTGCTATTGTATAAAGCAAAGAAAAATTTATTGATGCGCCGCTTGCTGATTACTAATGAAGCAAAAAAAAAAACATTTTCTGTCGGCATTTCTAATATTATCGAAAAAAACCCATATCGATAAGCAGTTAATTTTAGAAAAATTATTTTAAAAATCGGCCTACGCTTATCAATTTATCAACAACTTTCACTTTCACTTTTTCCCATTCTTGAAATTCATTCTAAAGCTGACTGATCCATTGCCTGAGGTGATCATTTGTTTATCTTGTAATACGATAAGTATTACGCTAATCGATAGATTGATAGATGTTGAATACCAGCTGGAGCAAATCTTCATAGTTAATGGTCTTTTTCTTCAAATTATTTTTTTCTGTTCATTGGTTAATCACCATATGACCTTTTGAAATGAAATTTTTGCCACATTTTTAGCTAAATGTTATCGATTAAAAAATAATTGTCTTTAAAATTTCGGTAAAATCGAGAATAATCTATAGAATCATAAGGCTTGTTGGTACGATTCCTAATGCCTTTTTTCATCCAGAGACTTGCATCAATCCAATTTTTGTTATAAAAAACAATTTGAACTGAACTCGCGAGATTTTAATCGAGCATTTAGCAATTTAGCAATAACATAAAAATTTATCACTCTTATAAAATTGTTAAAATAAATAAAAATTAATTAAGAAGAATAAATAGCAAAGTTGAGGACCCATTTTAACCTCAACGAATTCTCTTTCTCCTCCAACAAATTACTAATGAAATGAGTTTAAGCAGAAAATGGTGAGTGCCAACTATTTACTTTTACTAGCTTTTTACTAAATGCTAACTGCTTTCTTTCAGATGAAATTTTCAAAAAATAGTTCATCAAAACGAGTTAAAAATCAAAATAGATAAATAAATATTTCAAAAGGTACAAATTCTTTGCCTTACTACTTCATTATATTTAATGCATTTCATGACTTCAAGAATAATGAGAATAATTAGAAATAAAAAGAGAAAATAGAAAGAATTCTGAAATTCACGTCGTATAAACTTAAGGCGAAAGAATAAATACCGCAAAAGAAAAAAGTTATATTAATTAATTCACTCAAGTCGAACCAAACATCTGCGATTACTAATAGCAGATTGCATTGAAAAAAAAGAGAACATCCTCAAATTAAAGTTTTCATAATAAAATTGTAATTCATAATAAAATTGTGAATTTAGCTTTTAAATATAAAAACTTGGGAAATTTGAAAAAAATTTTTTAAAAAATACACTATAATCTGCAAAATGAAAGGAAATGATGCGTGTATAAAAAAAAAAAATTCAACTTTATTTAACTGATAAATTCTATTACTAAAAAAATAAAATAAAATTCCTTCTAAATGGATTTTCTGATTTACAAAAAAATTTTGCCATTAAACCTATGAAACATATGAGAACGTGAATCCACTGCATATTATTTGAAAAATATGGTGCGACGAAGAAAGGTGTAATAATCAACGACTAAAAAAATACCTCTATTCCTA